ATACTTGAGAAGGGGTGACACAAAAGGTAGTTGTGTCACAGGGGACGCGGGGGATCACTCAGTGCGAAAGCCGACATGCGACCGGGCCCTTTTCTGCTGACACCAAGCCTTAGGCTTGTCAATATGGACGTCATGCGCTAGCAAATCACCACTTTGACAGAAAGAAGGGAAAATTTCAGTAAACACGGTCAGTGTTAGCACAAACCCCAAAGTCGCTTTTGCGGTACCTATGGATGCTCGAACCTGTCACTTTCATCGCACCGTTGGGTACGTGGCAAATGGATGTCGAAAAATCCGAATTGCGAGTCGAATGATGATGATGATGATGATGGTGATGATGATGATGATGATGATGATGAGGATGAGGATGAGGATGGTGACGATGATGCTGATGATGAGACACTGCGAAGGGGCTGCTGCGTGAAGAGACGCACAAGGCATGTGACGAGAGTTCACTTGGGGGGGGCATGGAACTGGACATTCAGAGCAGAGCGGAGATATCTGGATCCGAAAAGAGAGCACCCCACGATGTCCATGGTTGCTCATCACTTAGTCCATTTAAATAGCCATTTGGAGGTATACATTGTCAGACACACGCATCGTGCGGGGGAAAAAAAACACGGTCAGTGTTAGCACAAACTCCAATGTCTCTTTTTGCGGTACCTATGGATGCTCGAACCTGTCACTTTCATCGCACCGTTGGGTACGTGGCAAATGGATGTCGAAAAATCCGAATTGCGAGTCGAATGATGATGATGATGATGATGATGATGTTGGTGATGATGTTGATGATGATGATGATGATGACGAGACACTGCGAAGGGCTGCTGCGTGAAGAGACTCACCAGGCATATGGCGAGAGTTCCCTTTGAAGGGGGGTGGAGGGGGGGGAGGGGGGGGTCCGTGCTATGGACGCTTAGCGTTTATTTGGCGCCTTCAGCGCCTTGAGCGCCTTCAGCGCCCTCAGCACCTTCAGCGCGTTCAGCGCCCTGAGCGCCTTCAGCGCCTTCACCGCCCTGAGCGCCTTCAGCGCTTTCAGCGTCTTCAGCACCTTCAGCGCCCTGAGCGCCTTCAGCGCCTTCAGCGCCTTGAGCGCCTCCAGCGCCTTGAGCGCCTTCAGCGCCCTGAGCGCCCTGAGCGCCTTCAGCGCCTTCAGCGCCTTCAGCGCCCTGAGCGCCTTCAGCGCCCTGAGCGCCTTCAGCGCCCTGAGCGCCCTGAGCGCCTTCAGCGCCTTCAGCGCCTGAGCGCCCTGAGCGCCTTCAGCGCCTTCAGCGCCCTGAGCGCCTTCAGCGCCTTCAGCGCTTTCAGCGCCTTCAGCACCTTCAGCGCCCTGAGAGCCTTCAGCGCCTTGAGCGCCGCCTCCAGCGCCTTGAGCGCCTTCAGCGCCTTCAGCGCCCTGAGCGCCTTCAGCGCCTTCAGCGCTTTCAGCGCCTTCAGCACCTTCAGCGCCCTGAGAGCCTTCAGCGCCTTGAGCGGCTTGGGCGCCTCCAGCGCCTTGAGCGCCTTGAGCGCCTTCAGCGCCCTGAGCGCCTTGAGCGCGTTCAATGCCTACTTGTGATATATTAAAATAGGTAAACACATAGCGGTAGCTGCTAACTGCCAAATAGCCTCGAACTGTCCATCGTACGGGGGGGGTCCCTTATCTCTCCTGGTCGTTCAAGGATAAGGGGTCCAGCCCGCCCCTTTGCTTCGCAAAGTAAAACTCAAGGTAGCCTGCTAGGAGGCTACCTTTCGTGACAACTGGCATTGTCACTCGAAAACAAGCCAAAGGAATCTCCTGAATCTACACATGCACAAGGGAATAATTAAGCTAGCGCCGTCGCCTACGGGCGTTTGTAATCCCAATCCTGTCCGAGTGCCACTAGAAGATATCAGGCATTCAAGAATGCAAGCTTTGTGCATCTGCCCTATGCCATAGCAGCAGCTGAAGCAATCATCGTAGCCAAGCTCGCCGAAGCATGAGGAATGAAGCCTCACAGCCCCCAAGCCCAACGGCCCATGGAGTTGAACTTTACAAAGGACAGTCATCCTTTGGATATTTCGACGGAACAATGGATTGATTTCTGTTTGATGGATGTATGGCCAATATGACGTATCTATAGTTACATGTATATTATATATATATGGGGTTGTCATAGACCACACAGCACAGCGGCTTCCCAAAGTGAGTGCATGATGATCATGATGGGCTGTGGATGGGCCCCACCAATTCATGACAATTCAGCAAGAAGAGACACCATAGGGCTTTGAGGTACCCTAGTTTCAGACAGTGCCACATTGATAATCTCCATCCACTTAAGTCTTGACGCTCTCCGAAGCGGATGGAAAAGAGCGTAACGGGCTGACATACTCAGCCCGCAACATACACAGTTTTGTTGCTCTAAAATTCTCTGTGTGTGAAACCTGACCACCAGCGCAAATGTGCTATCAATGAAAACCATCAAACCTGAGTGCTGCAGGGCAGAAGAACGACCTTTTTCACCGCCATGGTCCCATGTGGAAAGCTTATAAGCAATTGAGAAAAAATCGGCGAGCAGCCGCATCAATCAATTTGCGAAAATCCACCAGTGTTCAGGTACATGAATGTGGTACAATGGATCAAAACAATAGTCCCACAACTTTGCAGTCAGACTTGATAATTGTGATTCCAGGTGGATTGCCATATATAGTCGGCCACGATCCGCAACACAGCTTTGAAAGAGACGGCTCCAAGATAGAACGAAGTCATCGCTCAAACTGCCCTGAGGACCACCGATCGCACATGTGAACAGCGTTCTCAATTGTGACACGTCAAGGGCAGAAACTGCCAGAACTGTCTATGCTTTGAGGCTTTGGATAGGCTTCTGCACCCCCGGTGAACACCATGAAAATAGCTGGAAAATGGATGCTCATCCCCTTCAATATGGTAGGCTTGACTCATTCCCAAGTGACAATTCACAGGCAGTTAAACCAGTTAAACCAGTTAAACTGCCAAAGTCATGTCAAGTCGCGACTTGGCTTTCGAGTTTTAAGTTGCTTGACCTCTCAGATCTGCTGGTAGTGTTTGCACAGATCGTTTGGCCGCAATGTTGCAAAGATCTCGCAGCTGTGGATCTTCCACCTCAGCAGCTGAGATGGCTGGGAGATGGACGAAGTTCGCTTCGGAAGCCCTTTGTTTCAGCAACACAATCATTAAGTTACTAGTGGTTAATACCGGGTATAATACTAATCGAAGGAAGTTTAGAAGTCAAACTTCCGACAATATGGACAGATGAAAAGCAGAGATGGGAAGAGTCAGAGAAGAGAAGAGAAGAAGAAAGAGAAAGAGTCAGAAGAAAGAAGACCTAGGTGCGCGGAAAGGTAAGAAAGTCGCGAAACACTCTGTTTTTTCCAATGATTTGTGGCTCCGGAGGGTCGAAAAGTAGGCTCGCTAAAGCGGCGGGTGCGGAGCCATCTGGCCAGATGAGAGATGAAAAATTGCACGCCGTTGTGGCGCGAATCACATTTCCAAGCCAAAATGTACAAAACACTTCAGCTTCGGACCACTTTTGGAAGTTGCGATGTCGAAAACGTTGTGGCGCGAAGCACATTTGCAAGTGAAAAAGGTAAAAACACCTCACGTTCGGACCATTTTTGGAAGTTGAGATGTCGAAAAAGGGCACGCCGTTTTGGCGCGAAGCACATTTTGAAGTCAAAATGCACAACACACACCACTTTTGGAAGTTGAGATGTCGAAAAAGTGCACGCCGTTGTGGCACGAAGCACATTTCGAAGTCAAAAATGTACAAAACACCACAGGCTCGGCCCACTTTTGGACGTTCGGATGTCGTTTCGCCTGGCAGGCGCAAGGGATTGTGCACCTTCTCAAAAGTGAGCAAAACGTGAGGGTTGTAGCATTTCCAAAAACGATGGCAGGCGTGGGACATTTGAAGAGGATCTGCAAAGATACATGTCGCATGGCGGGCGCAATACAAAAGACATGTTCATCAGAGATGTTAGGAGGTCAGGGCGCTGATTTCCTGAGACGGGTTGCATTTTGGAGCATCAGATCTGTAGGTTTGCTAAGATGATTTTGCGTGACAGGTGCAGCACTTCGTATGACCTGGCATCAATTTTTCGTGGCAGGCGCAGTACTTTAGACAGGTGGAGTGGAAAAATCGCAAAACGCATTGGTATGAGGCCGTCAGCGCTGCACTCAACTTTCCATTTTTGAAGGAAGTCTCGCAAAATTGCTTTGTTTTGATGTTGTCAAGTTCAAAAATTGAAGATGCCTCGCAGAATTGCTTCGTTTTGGATGTTGTCAAGTTCAAAAAATGAAGAAGTCTCGCAGAATTGTTTCGTTCTTGACGTTGTCAAGTTCAATCATTGAGGGAGTCTCATAGAATTGCTCCGTTTTTGATGTTGTCAAGCTCAAAACCTGAGGATGTCTCGCAGAATAGTTTCCTTTTCAAGCTTGCAGATAGACAGGTAGATAGACAGACAGACAGACAGAGAAAGAGAGAGAGAGAGAGATAGATAGACAGACAGACAGACAGACAGATAGATAGATAGGTAGCTAGATAGATAGATAGACAGAAAGATAGATAGATAGATAGATAGATAGATAGAGAGACAGCTAGATAGATAGATAGGTAGGTAGGTAGGTAGGTAGGTAGATATGTAGATGGGGAGATAGATAGATACATGGCTAGATAAACAGGTGAGAAAGACTGATAGCTAGATAGATAGATAGATAGATAGGTAGGTAGGTAGGTAGATAGATATATAGCTAGCTAGATAGATAGATAGATAGACAGACAGATAGATAAATAGATAGATAGAGAGAGAGAGAGACAGCTAGATAGATAGATAGATAGAGAGAGGGAGAGAGACAGCTAGATAGATAGATAGATAGATCGATCGATAGATAGATAGAAAGATAGGTAGGTAGATAGATAGATAGAGAGATAGAGAGATAGAGAGATAGATAGGTAGACAGACAGACAAACAGATAGATAGTATCAGATAGATAGATAGGTAGGTAGATATATAGCTAGCTAGATAGATAGATAGATAGATAGACAGATAGATAGAGAGAGAGAGAGAGATAGATAGGTAGATAGGTAGATAGGCAGACAGGCAGATAGATAGATAGATAGATAGACAGATAGACATATAGACAGATAGACAGATAGACAGATAGATAGATTAGATAGATTAGATAGATTAGATAGATTAGATAGATTAGGTAGATTAGGTAGATTAGATAGATTAGATAGATTAGATAGATTAGATAGATTAGATAGATTAGATAGATTAGATAGATTAGATAGGTTAGATAGGCTAGATAGGCTAGATAGACTAGATAGATTAGATAGATTAGATAGATTAGATAGATTAGATAGATTAGATAGATTAGATAGATTAGATAGATTAGATAGATTAGATAGATATAGATAGATAAGATAGATATAGATAGATTAGATAGATTAGATAGATTAGATAGATTAGATAGATTAGATAGATTAGATAGATTAGATAGATTAGATAGAGTAGATAGATTAGATAGATTAGATAGATTAGATAGATTAGATAGATAAGATAGATTAGATAGATTAGATAGATTAGATAGATTAGATAGATTAGATAGATTAGATAGATTAGATAGATTAGATAGATTAGATAGATTAGAGAGATTAGATAGATAGGATAGATTAGATAGATAGATAGATAGATAGATAGGATAGGATAGATTAGATAGATAGATAGATCGATAGATCGATCGATCGATAGATCGATAGATAGATAGATAGATCAGATAGATCAGATAGAGAGATAGATCAGATAGAGAGAGGGAGAGAGATAGATAGATAGATAGATAGATCAGATAGATCAGATAGATCAGATAGATCAGATAGATCAGATAGATCAGATAGAGAGATAGATCAGATAGATCAGATCAGATAGATCAGATTAGATAGATCAGATTAGATAGATAGATTAGATAGATAGATAGATAGATAGATAGATAGATAGATTAGATAGATTAGATAGATTAGACAGATTAGACAGATTAGACAGATTAGACAGATTAGATAGATTAGATAGATTAGATAGATTAGATAGATTAGATAGATTAGATAGATTAGATAGATTAGATAGATTAGATAGATTAGATAGATTAGATAGATTAGATTAGATAGATAGATAGATAGATAGATAGAAAGATAGGTAGATAGGTAGATAGATAGATAGATAGGTATATAGATAGATAGATGCAGGTAGATAGATAGGTGGATAGATAGGTAGAGAGATAGGTAAGTAGATAGGTAGGTAGATAGATAGATAGATAAATAGATAGATAGATAGATAGACATATTAGACATATAGACAAGATTAGACAATAGATAGATTAGATAGATTAGGATAGCATTAGATAGATTAGGATTAGATTTAGATAGATTAGGTAGATGGGTTACGATTAGATAGATTAGATAGATTAGATTAGATAGATTAGGATTAGATTAGATAGATAGATTAGATAGATTAGATAGATTAGATAGATTAGATAGATTAGATAGACTTAGATAGATAGATTAGATAGATTAGATAGATTAGATAGATTAGATAGATTAGATAGATTAGATAGATTAGATAGATTAGATAGATTAGATAGACTAGATAGATTAGGTAGATTAGATAGATTAGATAGATTAGATAGATTAGATAGATTAGATAGATTAGATAGATTAGATAGATTAGATAGATTAGATAGATTAGGTAGATTAGATAGATTAGATATATTAGATAGATTAGATAGATTAGATAGATTAGACAGATTAGGTAGGTTAGATAGGTTAGATAGATTAGATAGATTAGATAGATTAGGTAGATTAGGTAGATTAGATAGGTTATATAGATTAGATAGGTTAGATAGATTAGATAGATTAGATAGATTATATAGATAGATTAGATTGATTAGATAGATTAGGTAGATTAGATAGAATAGATAGAATAGATAGAATAGAATAGAATAGCATAGCATAGAATAGAATTAGAAGTAGAATTAGGATAGAATAGAATAGAATAGAAAGATAGATAGATACGTAGATAGATAGATAGATAGATAGGGTAGGTAGGGTAGGTAGGTAGGGTAGGTAGGGTAGGTAGGTAGGTAGGTAGATAGACAGATAGATAGATAGATAGATAAATAGATAGATAGATAGATAGATAGATAGATAGAGAGAGACAGCTAGATAGAAAGAAGGAAAGATAGATAGATAGGTAGGTAGGCAGATAGATAGATAGAGAGAGTAGATAGAGAGACAGCTAGGTAGAGAGATAGATAGATAGATAGATAGAAAGATAGATAGATAGATAGATAGACAGGTAGATAGGTAGATAGGTAGACAGACAGGCAGACAGGCAAACAAACAGATAGATAAGTTAGGTAGGTAGGTAGGTAGGTATGTAGGTAGGTAGATAGATGGGGAGATACATAGATACATGGTTAGATAAACAGGTGAGATAGATTGATAGCTAGATAGATAGATAGATAGATAGACAGATAGATAGATCGATAGATAGATAGACAGATAGATAGATCGATAGATAAATAGATAGACAGATAGATAGATAGACAGCTAGCTAGCTAGCTAGCAAGATAGATAGATAGATAGGTATAGATAGATAGATAGATAGATAAAGAGATAGACAGACGGACAGACAGACGGACAGACAGACAGACAGGCAGGCAAACAGGCAGGCAGGCAGGCAGGCAGGCAGACAAACAGAGAGACAGAGAGAGGGAGAGAGGGAGAGAGGGAGAGAGGGAGAGAGGGAGAGAGAGTAGGTAGGTACGTAGATACTCAGAGAAAGAAAGAAAGAATGAAAGAGAGAAGAAGACCTCAACCACCTGTCGGTGCATCAGTGTCTTCGCTCTGCCATCCCTGATTCACAACAACCGACCTTTCCTATAGGTTTCCTCTTTTTGAAACTTCCGCCACCGCCTTGTGCGGTACTACTGGTATAATATTTTCTAGCAGTTACTAGTGGTTAACAGTTACTGGCAGTTACTATAGTATTTAGTAGTGGTTAATGGGTATATGGCAAACAGTATGAATGGATAGGGAAACCCAATGCCTAAACCTAGCAATAATTATTGGGAGGATGGTCTACAGCTCCAACTCAAGTTCATGGGAACAGGCCCACCAACCCTGAAGCATGTTGGGTCCAGGCCACACCAATTTTCACCGATCTCATTACCGCATGTTTCTCTGCCTTGAAGCCCCGAAACCAACCCCCCTCTTGGCCTGTTCCAATACCTCGGCTCTTCTGCGAGCACTGCGAGAAGCACTGGCCGCGCTGACTGCACCAACTGACCTCGGTGGCATTGGAATCGCAACGCGCAGGAGTTATAAAGCGCAAATAGTGGCAGGCACGGTACATCCTGAAAGTGTTTTTTTCCTATTGCTGATATTTTGTTTGGGTTGGAAATGTTGGAAGGGAATGTGTTTTTGCGTGGCAGGCGCAATGTTTCGTGGAGCTGCAAGGTGTTCCTAAGTCTGTTTCCAAAAAAGACGCTACAAGAGTATCTGGCCAGAGTCCCTTGGAAGTGCATGGTTCTATGATGTTTTAAATGGAGGTGTCCCAGCACGTGTCTAACAAGAGTGTCCCACACCTACAATAGTGTCTTATAAGTGAATGTTGCTCTTGGGTGTCTCAGAGGAGCAGTTTCAAAGAATTCAGACTATTGCACAGGAGCGTCTTGCAAACGCCTTCCCTAATGATTTCTATTTGATCTATACTCAGCTCTTGGTGTCTGCATTGGGGTTCCTCGGATTCTATCATGTTTTCCAGTACATGACCTATCTCGCAGTTGGGAAACTTGGTTTTGACCCACAGGTGTGGGCCCTCAAGCTGTTCACCGATCCACCTGAGGAAAGCACCCTTTGGGTTTCCCTTCCGCTTCCGGTGGTGAAACATCATCTTCCGGCGCACACAGCGCCTCGGGCGATCTGCTGTGGCGCACGAAAAAAAGCACCGCCATATAATCGCAAAATGCGAGAGTCGGGGGAATGTTTCTGGAAATGCAGAAAGAACCGAAAGAACCTATAAGTGCCTATAGCTCAGCAGAAACTGCCCACAGTCGACAATGGCATCTTTCAATCCTTGTGATTTGTCTTGCGGCGCCTGCTCCACCGGCTCCACCTCAATCTCCTCCGGAGATGAAAATGAAAGCGCTGGGCCTACAGGCGCAGCTCAGAATCTGAAGGGTCCCAGCTACCAGATCTATCTGAAATCCTCATCAGCATCCTCTCATCTCATCAGCGTCACCGTGACAACCACAACCACCACCACAACCCCACCACCCCTATCCTCATCTTCAACCTCAGCCTCATCCCCCCCATGTCCCCACGAAAAACACCAGTGACACAGGCTGCAATTTGCCCCCCACCTGTTTCCTCTTTGAACTCCTCCTCCGCACGTTGTGCGCTGGGCTCAGCTTTCTCCACCGGCTCCACATTTCGGTACCAAGCCTCTACCAAGTCATCCACCGCCACCGTCACCAGGTCATCGACCTCAGCGCATGCCATGCCCGAGGCACTTCGGGCGCCGGGCGCAATTGAGGCACTTGGCAAATCTCCGGCGGGTGATTCGCACGGAATCTCAACCTCCACCTCCACTCTCTGCAGCCTTAGACGAGGCACAGGGCTCCGGTGAAGATTGGAGCTACGAGCAAGCGATAAACCTTGGAGTAGAAATAGCCCTGTATGAAATGAGCAAGTATGGAGTCAACAGCATCAGCGGTCGCTTCATATTTGACTCCAAGCTGCTCGTTCACCTGCAAGCAATGGCAACATGTAGCAACAGTGGCAAATTTTGTCCGGGCCAAACCGTCAGAGCAAAGAAATTGGGCAATGTGGTAAATCCGATAATCAACCGTCCCCCAAATCGCCATACATGGGTGGCGACTCTCATCCCCAAACGTTAAGATAAATGAACATGTCCAGCTTCAACCTGGAAATGTGTTGGATCTGCCAAACGGTGTTCAATTGTGGCAAATTCTGAATCTAAACGGAATATATAGTGACAAGAAAAACTGAATCTGCGAAAAAAACACGCTTAAATTCAGAGATGGGCCTAAGCTGAGATGAACTGTTGCTCTATCTACCACATGAGAGCATAAATGGTGTTCACCCTCATACTAAGTTACTAGCTGGATTTTTTTCTGGGGATATTCATGGATATTCCGATCCATATATAACTTTATATAACTGGAACATATATCTGGGGATATTCATGGATATTACTAGTACTATCTGGGGGTATTTCATTTATATATCCCATATTAACTGGGGATATGCCTGCTGTTAGCATTCAACTAACTTGTTTTGCAGTTCATCACCGTGCCTCTGCCGAGTGATGGGTGTCCACTGTGTCCACTGCAACGATCACAGCTGTCTCTACCTGCCCGGAAGCAGCGTTGCTATTTTGCGACTCTGTGACTGGGCCACACACAATAATGAATATATCATGAATCATCATGAATAAAATACTAATACTTCCTAATTTTACCAAATCTCTGCGGAATCTCAACAATCCTCGGTCGTTGACGATTGCGTTGAGCTATGAGAGAGTTCAGCATATAGCCATACCGTGCAGCTTATGTTCTTTCGCACGCCTGTGGCCCTCCAATTGAGGGTAGGAATCAAAACGCAGTAAAGCCATCTGGTCAGCAAACTCAACATGATGACTAGGAACAGCGACTCACGACGTACTCTATATATACATCACTTATACATTTGGCTATCCATCTTCCAGATTCTTGTAACCAGAGGGTCAATGCCTTTATTCAACATCTTGAGGACCTTGTTCCCATGAGCAGAATGAGATCTGCCAAGTAAAGTAGACTTGAATCTGATTCTTGGACTGTTCTATTGAAATTGTCCTACTGAACTGGGTGAGGTTCCTCGATGCGACTTACGCCTGTTTTTTTGTCGTCGTGCTGGGTTGAATTGGTTTTGATCGAACTTGCGCCTCCATTTCCGGCGGTGAATCTGCCGGGGGAAGCGTAGAAGGGTGCTCCAAAGCCAACTCCTTCCGTCCATAGACATGTGAGGAGGCTGAGGGAATGTTCGTGAAAACTTCAAGCTTAATTTGTTTGTGTTCCGTTTGATTTTGGATGGAAAATCCGTCTTTTGCATGTCCACTTGCAAGTTCGACTTTTCATGGTGATTTCCCAGCCATCTCAAGCCATCTCCTCTGGGTTGATCTCAGGGATCAAAGCATTGCCGTCTGTCTCCTCTACTCGGTGGCATCACGCCCAACCAAAAAACAGGCCGAACGCAGAAGAATGGACAGATTGTGAAAGATTAACCATCATATTTCCATAATTTTCCATAATATTGTTGACGTATTATGGATATTCACGATGGATGTTTACCATGAATATCCATCATACATGACAGCCAACGCCCATGTTTTCTCAATGGATATCACCCCCCGTCAAAGATGACCAATGATGGCCTCAGGCGGTGAATCTGCCGGAAGCTCAGAAGTTTGCTCCTAACGAGGCAAAGCGACTTGCACGGTAGGGACAGCAAACGTTATAGTGGATTGAACCAATGAATGGTGGAAAATGGGGAAAAAATTAAGGGATTCGACCAGCCATGGAGATATGATGAGGGTTAAAACCAAGGGTTGACAAACCTCAAGTCACGATGCATCGTTACGTATCCGTTGGTGCGGGTCTATATCGGGTCTATTAGAGTCTATTGCACCCATGAAGTATTTCCGCTGGCTGTGTCCCTCACCCAAAGGTAGTGAAATCACCTCCACCACTTTACAATCTTTACACTAGAAACCCCTTAAGCCATGATTCATGTCGACGCCAAGTCTCCAATGCGTTGCAATCTATACAGCTCTTGGGCTTGTGAAACACCACCTGGATGGCCATCTCCAATGCTCTGCCATTCAAATGCAGTGGTAGCTGTCCCTCGAAAGCGTCACAGTCGGCCACCAGAATCCACGCTCGGCCACGGAGCCGTGGTCGTCGTTCACCTTCGCTCTGCTGGTGCACCTGAGAAAGTGCTGTGGTTCATGTTTCAACCATCCCAAGGGAATCTAAGGATCATGGATTAAACATGGTTAAATCATGTTAAACCATATTAAACCTATATATATGAATTTGGAGGGAAGATCCGTTTTCTAGCCAATATAGACAAAGTCACGTAGAAATCAAACAATTTTATTCTTGGCATCAACAACCATACCCAAACAGTGGTTTGTCACTGCTATATCATCGTTCTTGCAACATGATATTGCAAGTTTGACTTAAGTCTGTTTTCAAACGCACCCAAAAACAGACTAGAACTGGTCTCCATTTCGAGTGAGAATTTCTTTCCAGCTCCCAAGGCGCTGAAAACAGCAGGACATGATTTTCCGCTGCTGTGAGGACGCAGTCGGAGACACCTCGGATGCTCAAAAAACATGGGGCTCAAAGGGTTGAAAATCCTGAAGCCATGGATTGTTGAAGGGAAAGATCCACAAGAACCGCAGGTTTTAACCAAATCTAGGGTTTTCTTGCAGATTTTTTACACTTTTTCCTTGAAACGAAATTCGTTTCAGCTCTGATCCGGGGCTCCACATATTGACACTCCAAAATGGATGGTTCAACGCCTCCGAGCCACCATAGACGTCTCCATACATTCGCTCCAACGTCTTAGCAGTGTCAGGGCACCCAGCGACTTCGCAGGTCACCAAAAAATCATTCCTTACTGAAGTTGCTGGGTGATCCATAAGAAACAAAACAACACATAAATAATGCTTCACAGACCTGGCTTTAACCTGAAACCAGGTTTAGCACAGCAATGCACAGCAGGTACCCCTGACAAAAGAAGAAAGTTGATAAGCAGCTGCCGCCCGAAGAAGCGCAAAAGCAGCTGCCGCCCGAAGATCCGCAGCACTCACCGCGCCAGCCCAGCGCAACATGAGAGCCGAGATTCAAGGACGTGAGATAAAGAAACAACAAATTCAAGGACCCCTCACGGTAGTTGTCGGAGGACACTATGTTCACCCCTGCTTCGGAAACTATGTGTTCGACAACCAAGAAGAGAACACTATGTTTCGGAAACCCTCAAACCTAATCCAAACCTTTATAAATAAACCTTAAAGTAAACATAAACCACACCCAAATAGACCATAAACCAACCCTGAACAAAGCCTAAAACAAACTTAATGAATGAAGGAATATTAATGACTTAGAGTGGTGATATTTTCTTATGGTTTCAAGGGTAGTTGCTGAAGCAAAAACATGTTTTGGTTGCTGGGCCTAGTTGCTCTGCAGTAGTTTCTGAAGCGAAAGTATTTTTGGTTGCTGTGGTTTTGGTTGCGAACAGGAAGTGAGTCCCATCCAATGACTCAATGAGTGCCACAACCTGGAAAAACAAGCGGCGGTTTTTGGACATTTCGGTCCACTCGGTCCACCACTTCCAAAGAACCCATCGTTATTTCGTAAGTCTCCTGAAACTCCCTGGCTGGCCAGGGCAGAATGTGGTGCAGCGCCTGCTCGTGCCCTAGACGCCGCTGAAATGACATCACCACCAAGGTGGCTGTGAGGAGGAAGGCGGGTAGCATCCTTAGCTGCGTGCACCCGTAAAACCCCCTGATCCTCACCAACTGGCATTCTATCTGGCATCTATTCTATAGCATTTTATCTGACATAGAATGCATTCTGACATTCTATCTGACATTTTAGACGGTCTATCTGGCTTTGTATTTGGCATTCTATCGTACATTGTGTCCGGCATATGTTCTGACATTCGACCTGACATATATTCTGACATTTTTTATCCGGTATTCCATGCGAAATTGATCTGGCATTCTGTCTCGCGTTTTATCTGACATATTTTCAGACATCCCGGCATATGTTCTGACATTTTATCTGACATTTTTCCGGCATTCTATCTGGCATTTGACCTGACATTCTATCTCACATTTTATGTGGCAGATTTCTGACATTTTATCTGGCATTCTATCTGACATCATGTTTTGCCTGGCATGGCATTCTATCTCACGTATTTCCAGGCTTTCAGTGCGACATACTATCTGACATCTAATTTTACATATACATATATGGTTAGTGGACAAAATTATGTGTTAAATGAGGATTTCAGTATTCGCAGAGGTATCACAAATCGAGTATCGGTATACAGTAGGGTCGTCCCCTATATCGGTTATGAAGGTTTTGTGCAACCTCGGAAAGGCCAAGGCGAAGCAAGACTAAATCAGTATTACAATCATTTTGTCGGTTACTCATGTGCTGGCATTCAATCTTGCATACATGCTGACATTCTAGCCAACGTTTTCTCTGACACTATCTGACATTCTATCTGGCGTTTTGCGTGGCATATTATCAAACATTTTACCGCGCATATTTTCTGACATTCTAACCGGCATATTTTCAGACATTCTATCAAACATGTTTCCTGACATTCTGTCTGCATACATGCTGACACTCTGTTCGACATCTTGTCCGACATTCTATTTTACATTTTGTCTGCCACATTTTCTGACATTCCAACTCCGACACGCTAGTCTAGCTGGCATTTCTTCTGACCTTCTATCTGACCTATTTTCTGGCATTCTATCTGGCATATACTCGGACATTTGATGTGGCTTTCATTCTGGGGCTTTATCTGGCATAGTGTTCGTGTCCGGAGAGCCGCCGAGAGCTGGCGGTGAAGCTGGCAATGATCTGCCCTCACCTGGTGGGGGAAAAGGGTTCTGACTTATGACCATTCCAAGTTTGGACCCTGGTACGGGCCTTCGCAGCAATGATTGCAAAACTGGGGCTTTGCAAAGACCATAGAAAACTGTTCACTCGGAACATCTAGTCGACGCCTATCTTCGCACCCCTTCCTGAGGTACAGAGGTACCAAGCTTCCAAGTCATGATCAGGTCAATCGCACTGGTGTAGAACCATTTGTTTGCATCCACCGAACTTACCGAAGCAATGAAAACGCACACCACCATGAAGCAAAGAAGCACATAGCAACACAGAAAGGACCAGAAAATGGCACGTCGAAGCCATAAAGGTGCAGCTTTCAACTTGTAAAAAAAATGACCAGCGCAGCGAAAGGAAGAGATCCAAAGCAAGAGGAGACTACCTGCACCACAAAGGCTCGCACCAACTGATCCAAAAGGCCTTCTACTGGTGTGCATCCATCCTGACGAATTTCCCCAAGATTTGCGCGACGGATTCATCATATGCGGATGTTAAAATTGACACATGTTTCAACCTCGATCCAAACGAAAGTTGAAGTCAATTTAGCTCTTGAATGGCAAATGGATGCTAATTGGAGGCTGGCAATGAGCCTAGGAATTCAAACACCAGAATCTACTGTAGTCATTAACCCATAGGATCCATGTATGGTATATATGCTAACATTTGGGGTATATTGATGGTAAATGTTACCATATATAGCATACATGGATCCTATGGGTAATTGATCATATTTCAAGAAAAAGCTTCCCCCATCACGTTTCATCCCTATGAGATTTTCAATGTGTTCAACCATATTTGGGACATACTAAGAACATGTTACCATCCACGGCGGGTGGTGCCAGTGCCAGCTATGAGTTGGTTATTAACGGTGGTTTATAATCTGCTTTGAACTATAGTTATATCATGTTATATCCCCATAAACATCCATAAACCCTAGTATCCCTAGGTATAGAGTTATCTTCACCAACCCTTTTTCCACCTATGAGGTCACCCAACATATCAAGCCGAGAAAGCTCACCCAGGATCACCATGGGCCTCTTCCCCAGGAGCTATGGAACTGGCGCCATAGAACATGGCCGACAGGGCCCAACCACTGTAGATCTTCCCCAAGACCACCGAGGTGCGAACCAGGCAGGAGGTTGCTGGTGAGGGGTGCAGGATGTTGAACCAAATACAATTCATTTGGTACCAAAAAGACATCTGTCTTCCTTGGCCATCCAGGATGAATGGGGTCGAGACGAAGAATTTAAGGAAGATTTGTCCTATTTTATCATAGTTCCAGTAGATTCCCCATTTCGAGTGCTTAAAATAATGGTTAATGGATGTTAATGGGAAAATAAAAGGCGGTCTTCACTAAGTCCACGCTTCCAAGATGTTTTCCTTCAAACTCTTGCAGAAATGCTTCGGTCCTCCCATGCAAGACCGTGTGCCCGGATTGATAGTACAACTTCTTCAGGGCCCCCAAACTTAGACCAGTGTGGGCTTTGATCATCTTGGAATAAGCCATTTTCACCGGATCGATATTCGTGGCATGATTGAAGCCATCCATCAGATACTCCCAAACGCTTTCCTGGCGTTCAGAGGCGTTCTTGAGCTTCTCCCGCTTCAATCCGTTGAGGATCGGCACCACATCCAGAGCTTCTTGATATAAGTTATCTGCCCTGCGAGCCATGACCAGTAGCGCGGCTCCAACCATCAGCATCAGCCAGTTCAAGACTGCCGATAGCTGGATGATCCAACTTGGCCGTTTCACCAAGCTCTGCAGCCCCTGCAGCGAAAAAATGGCCGCCGCATTGCTGCAAGCCAGGGCCGCATAGACGCTCCGCAGGATGGCGCCGAAGATCGACAAGTGGCTGGCGGCACAGACCAGCATCCCAGGCATCCCAGGCATCCCAGGCGTCCCATCTGCAGTAGACACCACAGAGACACCCACGGTGGACCATTCATTGCGGTCTTCGTCCAAATATCCACAGACGCTTGGCTCACCGCTTGTGGCTAGAGTCAACTGAAGTGGTTCCACCAAATCTGTCACCGCTGTGCCATTGACCAACAAATCCAGACTTAGAATTTCGGATTGAAGACCACCCTCACTGCTGTTGAGTAAGCTGAACACTGGGCTGCTGGTGGGGGTAACTCCCATCACGGCCACTGCCAGGATGCCACTGCCGATGTTTTCAAGGATTGCCGATGGCACTTGCACACTGACATTGCCATAGCCAAAAGAGACAGAGCTCCCATCCGGCAGCGACATGACCACAGCCACCAGAACGGTCCCATCCGCCAGTTCTTGCTGTGTCTGCAGCAAAAGGCCACTGGAATTGCTGCTTTGCACACTCACCGATGCGACGGATGCCAAGGCCTCTTCGGCCAAAGCCAACTTCCGATTTTCCAGGTCGACCAGGGCAGTCTGCCAGGTTCGTACACGTGAGGTGCTGGTGGATGTGCGAGTGACGCCTTCAATGAAGAACGAACTCAATGAGACCTGGAGACCAAGGCATTACCCGAACATAGGCACAGTTCATTGGATGAACCTCGCTAAAACATGCTGAAAACCTACTAATGGCATGAGAAGTACTGGAAAATAGTATGCAAGAAGCAATGGTTTTCTGAATCCAGTTTCATCTTCAAGAATTTCAGTAAAGTGTTGTGGTGGTGCTTGCTGCTGCTCCGGTTCTTCTACCATGACGGGCCCCCAGCCAATCATGGCGTCATACACACCAAAATATCCTACTATCTTACACCATTTTTCACTACTTGGAGGTTCATCTCAGATAGGCCAAGTGATTTATAAATGTTGACAACATGTTTCAACCCATAATCGGGCTATAATGTAATCTGGGTCAATTATGATATTTCACTAACCTGAAAACCTCGGCTATATTGGGATAGTGACCGTTAGTGACCCCTACAATTCCCATCATTCCAGGGTTTTTTCTCGTGAGGTCCTTATAAATTTACCTAGATCCATTGACACAAGATGTTCATCCAATAACCATCCACTAAGTCACTAACCATCCATTTCCCACCGTGGGATGCTCCGATTTTCATCACGAGTTTCGCCGCCTGGCTGTCGGCTCGGCGACTGGGCGAAGACATTTCTTCTGCAAGGAGAACTTCCACCTGGTGGGGAAGGGCTTGGGATGGGAGACCCTTGGGCCATGCCTTGGTGATTTATCCAAGTTGATCTAAGTTCAGGGTGAAAATCATCGAATCTATCCACTTATAACACACTGGAACTGCACACGAAACATATTTGGAAGTGGGGAGAATGGAAACGTTGTCCCTGATTCCAAGCCATGAAAAAACATGGTGATGATCAAACTTCAAACAACCCAAGTGGGCTACGATAAACGATCTTCTGCCGATAAACCATCAGAGTCTGAACGGCACACCAGTACCATGTAATGCTTGCGCTCAAATAAGGGCATTTGGGTGGTCAAAATTGGGATACTTCAAGAATTAGATGGTGCAACTATCAAACTTATAAGCATACACTAAGTCATCAATGGATATCAATGGTCCCGAATCTGGCGCTGCCATTTTGACCCATAGCCTCTTCGCTTGGAACTGTGTCCAAAATGACCCGCACAGTCTCGGCCGCCTCGGGTGTCGCAGGGATTCTTTTTTAGCCCATTCTATGCCCCGTTGGGTTTCGAAAAAACATGGAGGATCCCCAAGTTTCAATACTAAAATGGTTTAGTGACTTGGATAATGTGGGGGTACTCCCAGTTTTAGGAGACCTCCATTGATCCAACAGTTGAGCGGCGTTCCAAACCATCTGTCGTTCCATGATACTGGCTGCTTAAAAACAGGATTGCCAAAGTGGATTATAACAATATCCAAGTCAATATTGGGTAGTATAACCCACAAAAAAAAAAAACATCAACCAACATGGTTTTAACCACTGCTCAACTTACAGCTTTCAAAATCCAAATCATCTGCCATCCTCTGCCCATTGACGTCTTGCCTCAATGGCGTCTTCTTCCTCCATTGATGGAGGGAAGCGAATGACCTGAAGTTTTCTCACAGTTGGTGCCCCAAAACCATGAGTTTCTCCTCACACGGACAAACCATTTTGGATGATTTGGGGGTGCCCAAAGTTTGACAAACCCCCCATCTGGAAGTGCCCAAGAAACCAAGTCCAATGGCAGATCATCAAATTCCTCACAAACAACTGCCGTTTTTGGGGCATTCGAAATCTCTGCACAGCCCAAGATGCAAACACTTCCCAACAGTGTCAATGTCTATTGCGCCTTCCTTTTTTGGATATGGCCTTCACATGGCGTTTTTTCTCCTATACCATCTTCTTATCCGCGACCACAGTTTTAGCTGTGAATGGTGGGTGAGATGATAGAGCTACGGCAGTCATAGAAGTTTTGGGCGCAAGTCAAATTGCTTTGGTTGAAACTTGTTAATAACATATTCTCTCATACCCCAATATCCGATGATACTCACAATATCTCAATATTCGTACCGCCTTACATCAACTAATATATACATAAGCTGCGTATGAAAATACGGTGTCTACATACACTGTGTATATATATATATATACATTCCATATGATATCCCCATCCCATCCCAGCTGAGTGCGCCCAACAAAAGTCATCGCCGCCACTTCGGTCGCTTCTTCCGCCAGGCGCCGCGATGACGTCGCAGGGCAGAGAGATCCCAGGGCCACGGAGACCTCCGATGAAAGGCTGTGGAAGAGAAAGGTAGTACAAAGCAACATATAGAAATAAAAGTTATTTATGATGTAATCACAAATATATATTATGTTATAATATGTTAAATAAAATGTTATATATATATATATATGTATTGGTTTACTAAGTGTGCTCAAGCTGTCATTCCATTTATAACCCTGGTTAAGAACGGGATTTCCAGTTCATGAACTTTGAGTATCCCCAAATTAAGATTGGGTTTTGTGCAATCCCCTATCATCAGCGAACAGTGGTTTTGAACACTGCTGATTGGGCACCACATTGGAGGGATTATGATCATCCTTTCTGAGAACAGTCAACCCCTATGGATTTTACACGATTTCCACATATGGGTTGAGTGTTTATAGATGCCTTCTAATGGGGGTACAAATGATGGGGAAGATGGAAACTCCATGGACCCGGAGACATAAAAATCTATCACCTCAAGTATACCCGGTCATTTGGCAACATGAAGATTTGAATACATTATGAAACCATGGGAACATTGATAACACATTATTCAACTGCTTGGTTTAATGATTCTTTTATGGTCTTATGGTTTTATGCCAATTAATGTAGTATGTCATTAAAAAAACACCATAATTGATAAAACAACTGCTTGGTTGAAAATTGGTTTCATGAAAGACTACACCCCTGCCACCCGGAGCCACCAGTCCTCAACCATCTCTAAAGTCACAGCGTCGCCGGCGGCTCTTGCAATGGTCTGAGCCCCGGTTTATCGACCGAGCTGTGGCAGGAAAATTCATGAAATAGTGGTACAATATATGTATATATATATATTATTATATATAGATATGTGATAATGGTATCTGATATTGATGTATTGTATAGTATGAAATATCAAGCTGGATTAATATTGGTCCAATATCAAGATGAAATAGTGGTATCTGATATTCTGGTTGGTGGTTGACCTACCCCTCTGAAAAATATGAAAGTCAATGGGAAGGATTATCCCATATATTATGGAAAATAAAATTCATGTTTGAAACCACCAACTAGATAGTGGTATCTGATATTGATATATTGTATCTCCATCCCAGAAACTCTCAGAATCATACTGTACACTGTTTAAAAATGTTTAAAATCTAGCTATCACAGTATTGGTGGTATTATTGAGATACTGCAGTCCATAAATAGTGATTACCTGCAACATGTTCCAGGGCATGTCCAAAAATTGGGTATACCCCTCAAATCCATGGGGTTATCATACATGACCCGTGAATCGTGGGGTATGCCAGCAATCATTGCAGTTATGGTGGATTCGTGGATATATATATATATATATAACTACGTATGGATTAATATCCATTACTTTCCCATCTAATATCCCATGATATCCCATGGTTATATAACCATAAAGAGGTCCATGAATCCCCCATTTAGTAGCACAAACTGCGGTTAAGGAAGGTTTCTCTCCAAAAGAACCCACAAGGGAGGTTTAACTTCTACAAGAATGGCCTTGTAGGTCGAAATTTCAATCCCTATCCAATCTATCCAACAATACCCATCCCGGATTAAGAAAACCCTGGTTGAGATTCTTCAAAGGGCCATCCCCAAAGAAGTGAGAAGTTGCTATTGGTTAAGTCCCCGAGAAAAAAAAACAATGATTTTCCCATTGCTGATTTTCTACGCCCATGATATGCGCTTATGGTATCTAACATATATATATATATTAATATATACATATGGTATCCCATAAAACATAGGGAAAAAACATGAAAAAACATATCATGGGATCCCAGAAACTCATCAAACTCTTTTGTGTTTTGTTTAATGGTAATTATTCCAATGGGCATACCCAATGACCATCAACTCGATCCCGCATCAGCTGGCCTTCTGGAAAGCATCGCGCAAGGCCTCAACATCGATGTCCGACACGAACAAATCCATGCCTTAGCGTTGGCTCTGGTTCTAGCGTTGGAGCCTCCTTTTACCATCCAAACGACTAAAACGAAACATGCCTGGTTCGTGCATGCAACGCCAGTGCTGCCTCGAGACATTACAATACATTGAGCATTCTATGAATATCTATATCAAATATATTCATTGTTGATCATTATTGCATGATAAATGCCAATGCAAATAAACTCTTACTGTAAAGACGAAACCAGAATAAAACAAACTGGATATCATAGCGCGAATATATGCGAATATGCCTACACAATTCTACACTGCATATTTTGGAACACCCCCAGGCAGTGCCAACTCCTTTTGCCAGGTGACAACCCTCCACTTTGGCCGCCACCAGGGTCCCAGTCGTGCTGCTGGTGAGACTCGACGACGATGTGGTGCTTCGAGCCGTGGAGGTGCGGCTGCTGGTGGACGTCATGGTCCTGGTGCTGGTCCTTGTGGAACTGGAGCTGCTGATGCTTGTGAAGCTGGTGGTCCCTGTGAAGCTGGTGAAAGTGGTTGAAGTCGCGGTGCTTGTGCTGGAGGTCGTGGTTGTGCTGGTTGTGGGGGTAATGCTGCTTGTGGACGTGCTGGAAGTCGTGATGGTGCTGCTGCTGGTGCTGCTGCTGCTGGTCGTGGTGGTGGTGGTGGTGCTAGAGCTGGTAGTGGTGCTTGTGGACGTGGTCGCAGTTGCAGTGCTACTGCTGGTGCGGCTTGTTGACGTGGTCGTGGTTGATATGCTTGAGCTCGTAATTGTGAAGGTGCTGGAGCTTGTGCTGCTGCTGCTGGAGGACGTTGTTGTAGACGTGCTGGAAGTCGTGCTCGTGCTGGTGCTGCTGGCTGTAGTGCTTGTTGTCGTGACATCGGAGTAAATCAAACCTCCATAAGCAGCGGCCAGCATCACCTGCCCGTCTCCCGAAACTGCTGCGCTGCTCCAGTCAGGTGCCCCCAAAGATCCGTCCAGTGCCCAGCTCTGGCCAGCATCCTCACTCACAGCAAAGGCTGCATACTGCACAGCCGCAAAGATCTTCGATCCAGCTTGGGACATTGAGATATCTGTGTAACTCGCAACCTGGTGAGCGGAAGTCCAAGCATAACCATACCCGCCGTCCGTCCGCAAAAAGATGTTGCCTCCAAAGGCTGCAGCTACCATGATGGTCCCATCTCCATTTGAGGCAAGCGCCCGCCACTCCATGGTGAATCCTATGGTGGTATCCTCAACAAAACTGGCACCACTGTTGAAACTCATCCAAAGGTTGCCGTCCTTAACACAAGCCAGGATCCATTGACCATCATCTGTCATCACCACGTCGTGCCACTGTCGAGAGGTAGCGCCCAGCGGCTGAGTGAAAGAAACTGCAGTGTCGGTGCTCAGCCAAATCGTCCCAAGCCAGCCGACTATGACCAGTGGGTTTCCAGTTGAACTCATTGCAATAGCCTTCAAATTTCCCTCGACGACCCCAGGTCTGGAAACCCAAGTTAGGCCACTGTCAAAGCTCATCCAAAAATCGGTAGTTTCGCTGACAGCACCCATGATGCTCCCATCTTGCGTCATGGTGACCATCCACCAATTTGTGGCCACGTTGTTCATTTTGCTGCCTTGGTCCTCCCAGGTATTGCCCATATCAGAGCTCATCCAAATTGTCCCTGACCTGATGCGGTCCAGAATTTCTTAAGGGCTTACGGGAGGCGAAAAAAATAAGTGGTTTTCTGAAGCATTTCTTTACTATTTCCGGTGGATGACCATCCAGTAACCTACCATATTATGGCTGAAAATGACGGAAAATTGCCCATTTTCTCCGATGATGTAGCTACTGATTTCATGCTGATTTCATGGTGATTTCCACTTGGCTTTCACTCTGAGTTGACTATTTAAAAGGTCATTAATTATTGTTTTCAATGCCCATCAGCGACACGTCCAAGCGACCACTCAGAAGCTAACATGATTGAACCATCTTGCGACAGCGCCAACGACGTCCATTGTCCAGTCGGCCCGGAGACCGTCAAGGCAGCCTTGCCGAAGCGAAGGAGCGCCGTGGCGAAGAGGAACTTGGCCATCTCCACAGAGTTCTCCCCGGGAGTTGAGGGAAAATCTTCCACTAGTGGGAGGAAATTCTGACATCTTATATAATGATCTTATAATAGATGTGGGAGGATCTCAAGACTCTATGATAATGACTCTTATTAGTGGGAGGATCTTATAATGATTTTATATATAGAGTTGTCTTTGCCAAGAAACTGACACTGGTCAAACAGTCTTCTCTCACGCTTGCTTTGCAGAGCTCTCAGTGTTTGGAAAAAACAACATTACCCATGACCGATACTTGCACGTGTTGGGCGGACCACACAAGGGTTGGAGACTTCCATTTGGTTTGAACCTATTTGGTGTGAAATGTTGTGATATTGCTTTTGTTGTCCAGGTGAAATAACATCTTTAATGTCCAAATGTCATAAAGCCAATAGTAAACCATTCATCATCATCCCAGGAAGGGGTATACCCTTCTAATAAACCAAATCAGGGATACTGGTAGTTTGGTATAATCATTCCATATTCAATCCCACACATGAACATATTGTCGGGTGAATGTCACATTGATGTTTATTGTGGTCGAATCTGTTCAAGCCGACCACAGCTGAGCGAGCAAGCTTTCTGAAAGCGAAACCATATTCCATCGATTGATTGAGGGAAAAGCAACAGAAAGACTTGGCTTGAACTCCCCCCTTATTTTGTAGGGATTTGCGGGGATATCCTGTCAGTTTTCCTTTAAACCAATTCTGGCACCTAGTAAATTCATGTAAATTCCATCCACAGCTTACTCATGTATTACTGTATATATTCCGTATTCCAAGCAAGATTGCATGTCTTGGTGGCATCTCCCAGTTTCAAACACACCCATTTCGTATTGCTTCATCCATGTTCCATTTCAGCTTGAAATTGGGAAGCCTCAATCACTGGTCAAGTTATGTCAAGTTCCCCTAGGGGTTTTTCGTTTTTTTCCCAACAAATTGCCAAAAATTCCTCGAGATGGTGAAACAGTGATGTTTACTCCATATATCTGGGTAAATTATAATATTTCACTAACCTGAATTAAGGCTATTTTGGGATATTTTCCCTTACTAACCATAATTCCAGTGAGGTCGCAGTGAGGTCGTTATAATTTGCCCAGATATATACTCCATATTTTCCAGGTCTCTTCCCCATCTTTTCGGGGCTTCCCCATCGCTGGTGAAACTAGAAAAATCGTTGCTTGATTAATATTCATCTTGGATCATCGGGGTTCACACATGGAGTTAACTGTTACCCTCTGGTAATTTAACATAGCTATGGAAAATCACCATTTTTAATGGGTAAATCCACTATTTCTATGGCCATTTTCAATAGCTATGTTAGTTTACCAGAGGGTGAACAATGTTAAACATATTTTGACATGATTGACATTGATTGACCCATAGCGATTTGTATAGCGATTTGTATCAAGACAAATCGAAAGTCAGAGTCGAAAACCAACTTGTCTCCACCTGACTCCGGTCATTCCACATTCCAGGCTGGTCACCGTCAGTTATGGAGGCCATGGCGCAGAGCTAGTTCGATGAAAAAAACATGATGATTCAGCCATCAAAAATGCTGATTCATCAGTTTGCCAACCGTCGAATTACCAGTTTGGGTAATACCAAATCAATCACATCATAATTCCCAAACTGGTATTACCAATAATTAATATCTGATTCCCAGTTTCCCAATAATTAATGACCAGTCATGATATCTGATTCCCAGACCATACTCACGAGATAATTTTCATATCAAATATCTGGAGCTTTCCTGAGTCATGGGGGTACCCCCAAGGTTATCTTCCATTTTCATATAGGATCTTCCACTCTAGTCATAAATCATCCAGCTATTGGGCTGGGGTACCACCAGTTATGGAAACCTCCGAGTCGAAAAATTCCGATCCCAGAAATTCCAGAGCTTGCCTCGGATCTCAGCGGCGATACCATGGTATACCTAGCCCTCTGAAAAATATATGAGTTCGTCAATGGGAAAGATTGATTATCCCATATATATCCATGTTAATTGTTATGGAAAATAAAGAATATTTGAAACCACCAACACAACTCATCCATGCTGCATGTTGTCAAGGAAGTGACAACTCTGATCAAAAGCTGCAAAAACGGGTCTTGTGCCACAATAAGAACTCACAAGACCCATGGTTTACAATCTCAATTTTCCCAGTGATCAAAACTTTCATAAAATTCTAAAGTTAAATGATCAAGCATTGATCAGCAATTTCCTCTTTAAAGCTTGCCATGTTTGATGACACTGGAGGGTGGTCGCTTGTGCTCGGTCGAAGAAAGCTTCCGAATTGAGCCCAAGAGTCGCAAAAAATGGATGGGATATGATGGATGTAAGTTGAATTGATGATCTTGTTGAGGATAGGGTACTATATTGTACTATGTAATAGCACCAGCTACAGATGGATAACATTCCATTTTAAGAGATTCTCCTGTGGCCAGTTCTGAGAAAATCACCTCCGCTGCATCATTACTTGTCAATCATGAGTTGTTCCTGCCAATTATAACACTGTTTTTGGAGATCAAGTGCTGCTGGAATTCGCTGAGAGGACGGGCTCTTTATGAAGTGGGGGCTATTCTGATGATACCCCAAAAATCCAAAAGACTCTGTCTCTTCGCTTTTTCAACGGGCAGTCAAAACAAGTGTTCACAGCCACAAGTAATGGGTTCATGGTCAAATGATTACCATGAATGATCATGAATTTCATGATATTTCAGCATATGTGGCTTTGTCATGGTTTGTCTGAAAATGGATGAACATGGGCATTCTTCCTTGCCATTTCATAGGGACAATGATGATTCACCCGTGAATTTAGGGGTACCCCAGTGGCAGAGGCGCCGATTTTAGCCCAATGTCCCAATGGGATGCATCCTTAATTTCATCGCTGCGTCCAAGCATTGTCTGGTATTGACCTATCAGCCATCTCCAAAAATATGTAGAAATATGGGTTTCCTCATGTTTCCTGGGCAACGATAGATCTTCGATTTGAATTGCAGTGGGCAGGTCTTTGCCTACAGAATCTCACTTGTTCTTTGCCAAGAAAGCTTCCCGGAGAAGATTGTACCTGAGCAAAGCAGCAACTCCACTATATTCATCTATATTCACTATCTCGACTCATCTGCAAACCATCTGCAATGGGGCTTTCCATAAATTGGGGACTAAAATAGATGATTTATAATTGAAGATCCCAAACAAAAATGGATGATAACTAGGGGTATCCCCATGACTTAGGAAACCTCCACATTTGCATGTAAAGGCATCAAAGGGAAGAGAGGTTTACGAAGAGCCCAGTGGCCCAGGTAACCATCGCGGTAACCATCGCCCCCATTTTGCCGCAACGGCAGGTCTTTCTGTGTTCAGCGAAAAAGTGGCGCCCTCTTCGTGGGAAGAGAAGAACTTCAACTGCCAACACCAAAAGAGAAATTCTCAACCAGCACAATTCGACTGGCGTCACAGGTCTCTTTGAAGTGTGGCTGGTGAGCCATAGCACCAGCAAACGCGAACATTGACAGCGCAGGAATTGAAATGGAAAGATCTGAGAATGCAACAAACAAACAGCAACCTGCATGATCCATGATTTAATCAAAAATTGAACACTTATGACACAAGCATCTTCTACAACCTTCCAAGAATATGGATTCCGCCCTGAAAAAATCCTGTCAGATCTTTCGTATTCCATTCCATGTCCGCAGCCATTAACACTTGTAACGTCCCCGGCCGCTTTTTGGACCAGGCTGCGGCTGGACTTCCGCCATTTTTCGAGCTCACTAAAGCTCACTTTTCTCGCTGGTCTTTGCCTTGAGGATTGCGATCTTGTATCCTGTCTTGTCCCTGAGCTTGCTCAAAGACTTCCTGATCGAGGGCAATCTGACCAAGCTCCCGGCAGAATCAACAAATATCAACAGAACACAACAGCGACGTTGGACTTGGACTTGGACAGTGGTCAGGAAACACAATCTTTATATTTTTATGGACTTGCTGCAATATCTTAAGCTATGAATTGTTCATGTCGTCCGTCCACTCAAGAAACACCTTGATACTGGCTGGCGTTCAACGTATGTTTCAACCATTGGGCCCCCATTGGGCCCCATTCCAAGCCCCCTGCGATCCGAGAGGCTTAAGGTCCTCGGACCTTTTCATGGTCGCCATGGCCTCCTCCTTCTGCTTTTCGAAGAGAGCGCTGGAGGCCTGGTAGTCGGCCTCCAAGTCATCCAGCTCCTCGACGGCTATGGCGGTGGTGTCCGGGCTAGGGACAAGCAGAGACCCATGGGGACAACATGGGGACCACTGATGGTCTTACTGGGGTAGCCATGGGAAACCAATGTTGACTAATGTTGACCCACTTGCATCTGCAAAACAAAGCAGTTGATCATGGGATGATCCCATGGGCAACAAATGCCGAGCCAGTACCCTCTGGTAAACTAACATAACTATGGAAAATCACCATTTTTATATAATGGGAAAATCCACTATTTCTATGGCCATTTTCAATAGCTATGTTAGTCATTACCAGAGGGTAACAACCTGCGTCACTGTCGCTGCGCTCCTTTTGCATCTTACTCTTCGCTTCCTGCAGGCTCTCGGGAGTCATATCTTTGATCTCCTGCATCGCCACTGTGGGTCCATATTTGAACTGCGGCTGGTGCTGGAGTGTGGTCCCATCATTTTTTTGTCCCAAAACCCTGCTGCTTGGATTTTCTGAGGCTATCATTGTGGTGAGCCAATGCAAAACTTGATCTTTGGGTCGTTGGGCATCACCATTCCAACTATCATTGAACCATCAAAAAAAAAGTCAATATAGAACCAAAATCACCAAGCATTCATGTTTTCTCATTTAATGGTTTTAACTCAGTTGCAGTATCCATCATATTAAAAACAAAATCCCTGGAATATCTACGCCTGTGAGGCACCCGAGTCGCCTCGATGTAGGCCGTATCCTTCTTGTCACAGTTCTCGCCGGAGTCTGGAACGCAGGGCAATTTAGAGGCCCTCTTCACAAATTTGTTCATGGCCTGCCACAGATGCCGCTGGGCGTGCCGAAAATGCCCAAAACGTTAAAAAGATACCCTTCGGTTTTTCGGGCGGAAGATGATGATTCGAGAATCCGTTGGAATTTGGATACCTAAAGGATTGTTGTTTTTATATTGTTGATGTTTTATGTTGGGAACATGGTGATAATCCTGGCTGGACTTTGGGCCCATTGTTCATGAATAACTCCTCTAAGTTCAGCATTTCAAAACGGGCACCATCAATTTTGCACATCACATACCCTCTGGTAAACTAACACAACTATGGAAAATCACCATGTTTAATGGGAAAACTCACTATTTCTATGGCCATTTTCAATAGCTATGTTAGTCATTACCAGCTGGTAGCTTTGTCCGGACATGGCAACAAGCCCCTTCAACCCCCTTCAACTTGATGACCATCTGTTGGCGCCTTGAGATCACGTGCATCCTCATATACATCGCCATCCTTTGAGGTCGTGGGGCTGAAGTACTTCAATGTGGGATAGCCCTGCACCCCATATTTGTTACACAGGTCTTTGGCATCGTCCGTGGTGCAGTCCACATCCACGATCACTGCGTTTGAGTCAGGTTTGTTCCACTTGGAGGCAAGTTTGTCCTTGGCCGACGTCGTTTTTATCCCGGGATTCATCTTGACCCCTGGTGAGTTTGAATCACTTTGAATGCTGGGTTCTCATTTTAGCAAAAAACATATCTCACTGTTCGAGGATAAACCGCTGCCCATGCTGACTCAACCAGGGTCTACTAAGTCTACTCCGAGTTGACATGGGAAGCAGAAAGATGGTCCGGATTCAAAGGAGATCCTCGGCATCCTCGGCGTATCTTATAGAAGGAGATTCTTATGGCATCTTTGGCGCCGCGGTTGTCAGGACTAACAACAATTGAACTCGAGTTAATTCCTGTTGATCGATACTTCCAATATATCCACAATGACATGCTCGAATTATGTCGATTTGGACCCCAACAGTTTGATATTCATCAACTGCCATAGATTTTCAACTCCAGCCCCACTCACTTACTCCAGTTTCGAAAATAGGCTACCAAAGAAAGTGTATGGCTGATCATGTTCCCATGATTTCTCCTATTCATCATGCAGTTATCAATATTTATTCATATGGAAATTCCATGGGATATTCCATGGATATTCCATGGGGCATAAAATGGCATTAACGTGGCATAACCTCCATATCCTCCATTTCCAGTTCCTCCGAGCTTCCCAATCAGGTTTCAGTTTCTTGCAATGACCTCACCATGGTGCCTCAGTCTGTCAGTGCACCAAGAAATCCGAAGGCACCGAGTTATATTGGCACGTTCCAAGTCTGGTAGCTGTTATAAGTTTCATATTTTTCAAGCACAAAGACTTCAAAGGTTCCTGGAAACATATGGAAACAAACCAACTGAAGAATGGTGATGGTTTACGGTGACTTTTTTGGTCGTTTTTTGAAGAATCTTCGTTGCGAATTCGAGGAAGACGCAGTGGTTGCAGTGGTTGTGCTCCTCCCTTTTCACAATGATTTCCCTTTCCAGCGGGTGCTTAGATCCTCCAAGTACCCCAAACAATGGTCAAAGTACTGAGAGTGTTAACATATTTCGATGGCTACGTCTAGGACACCAAAATGCTTGTCTTTTCTGGGAAAATGATGATCAACTAGGTATTGGATGGTATTGGGGTACAAACCATCATACCGATAGGCATCAACCAATGGCATGTACATACCTTTTTCCACGTCAATGGGGGTCTTCAATCTCGGGATGGGATGGCATAGTGTAGACATACCGATAAATATCCTGAGCTATCACCGGCTGTGCCAGTAGACATTCTTATCATTACATATATCTTATGTGCACAATGCCTCATGTCTATGCATGATTTATATGATTTTGATTTCATGATCATTGCATATTGTGGCTTCTCTCAACTTTTTGAATCCAAATAGTGTGGTAAAGCCAATACAAAAGATAAACCCAAAAAATCGCTATAACTGGGTTACGTGCAGCATCATCCCCAAATGGTCGGCTTATGGCATGGTGTTTCGCACATTCCTATCTGGGTTTATCATCATTTGCCCAGGATTTTCCCCATCAAACCTAAACTGAGGCACCAAAAACTTCACAAAGGCCATCTTCCCCGAATTCACGGGTTTCATGACCTTCTCCTACGGCAAAATGTCTTGAATTTTCTGTAATGCTTTGGCTTGGTTTCAAGGAACATCTACTGGCTGATGTTTTTTATCATTAAATGATATGGCAGTGTGTCAAAACCTTGTACCCCTGGTGAACATCAAAATAGCTGGTAAATGGATGTTCATTCCCCTAAAAATGGTATTGATAGGTATTGATCCATACCCATATTAATATAGACTTCTCCTGCTAGACTTCCCTTGATCCAATTGCAGGATGTATCTTTTCCAACTATAGAATATGGATTCTGATCCGGATATAATACTGATTATATATGATAATTTGAGAAGTCGGCAGAAGAGATTGGAACTGACAAGTCGACTCTTTCTTGGGTGTAATTGACGTACATTGCTCTGGCAGTATTTTGCTCATCTCTTCCATTATATCTAAACTTTTCACATGTCATGTTTTTTGTATAGGCTTCACACCCTTCACACCAGTCACCATGGGCGTTAAAAAATATCGGCTCCTCCCAGTTCTTAGACGTGGCTTCGAATGCTGCGGATCCATCCGCAAGCAATGCCACGGCCACCAAAATCGCCGCTCGCCGCATCTTCCGCAATCGCAGCGCAGCAAGTTGGACACACACCGTCGCGGCCGCGGCCGTTTTATAAACTCGCGCAAGGCCGAAGCAAAGATTGGAGCGGCAAGATCGCGCTTACCGATCACTTGTTTGAATTGGGATGTCCCTCTTACTGAAATGTACTCTATCATACTCTGCCATTAGTACTATGAATCATTACCTTTCATCATTACCTTTCATCAATTCATCAGAACTAATCGCTTGCAATTCTTCAGAAACGGTTTTCCCTTCGGTTTACTATTCAAATTTCTGAGTTTTCTCTTACCATGGCACCCTGTTTTCTCCTGACAGTCACATCACGTCTTCCGAGAGAGTGCACCTCTCGCGCGGAGGCAAATGGTTCTGATCGCCTTGGCCGAGGATCCCACATCAGAAAGCCCCATGTAAAGGTGGGAAAATCGATGGTTTCCGGTGAAGATTTTCCCAACTAAACCAATCCATTGAAATTAATATTACAATGGAACATTGATGCCATGCCCATGAATGGATCAAACTTGAAAATGGACATGTACCGATAAAAACGGGATTCTATCTCAAATTTCATGCCCATTTTCACTGCAAACATGGGTACAACTGTGGTACTATGATGATTAATGATGTTCAAAACCATGGCATATTGATCATATTGGCCCATTTTTCAAACCCATCTGCCGTTCGGAACTCTGCAGAGATCTGCTGCGCTGAGGACAGAACGGGATCGGTGCTCTTTGAATTTCGAATTATCGACCTGAAACAAATTTTGCGACATCATTGCAACAAAAACCTGGCTGCTTACGCTCACTGGATTTTCATAGATCCTGAATGACACATTAATCTTCAGTATAACCTACAAATATACCTATAACCCCCCAAAACATTCATCAACCACAGGTCTTTTTGGGGGTCTTGAAGACTGCTCGATAGAAAACAGCTGCCTTGCTGAGCTCCCCACCCTGTCCTGACCATTTCTAGGTGAATCCCGTAAGATATTCGAGGAAATCGAGGAAACGGAACTGGATCTGGATTTCGACTCCTGCGAAGAAAAATGGGTCCATAGGAAATTCCGACTCGGCTGATGCTTTTTGATGGTTTTTGAATGGTGAGAAACTCAGAGCGGATTCGATGGCTGTCATTTTTTTAAATCGTGAGACTCTCATGGACTAGGAAGTCTACCAATTCAACCATCCAATGGTCTTGAGAATCATTTTCCCTAACAGGACGTGGGTTGTGTTGGGAAGATCTACAAGAAACGATGATTTCCTACCCTCAAGGCCTGCTTTGAAGGACCCTTCAAGGCCTGGCAGTGGAGATCTCCTAGCCTCGAGTAAAACTAACATATGGACAATTGCCCATATGTAGATGGTGATTTAGTGATTTATCTAAATGAACAATGCTGATTTTTCATCATGTAAATTTAAACAAATACCCAGAGGATAAGGATGATATTAATGGGGGTGAATCAAAACAATGTTGTGTATGATGTGGGTCAAGTAAAAAGGACAACTTCAGGATATTGGTGTGTCTGAAAATGGGGGTTTCGCCCCCTAAATAGCCATATTCGAGTGGGAAAATGACCAAATACCAGAGGATTCCGACAATCCGATGCCCATCAACGCTTCTGCGCCTCTCGAATTGGGGATAGCCCAGACAGAGGATCAACCTGTGATTCCAGTGCAACCACAGGCTCAACCCATACAGTAAGAGTTGCTTGAAACTTTGATCAAGGAATGAACATTCAGCACATGCCTGACATGCCTACATGTTTAAACTATAGAAACGCGTTGACACTCAGAACTATTGACGAAATTGACGACTTGAGCGTCAAAACCGCAAAAAACAAATCCCTATGATGGTTGATGGAGATTCCCAGTTCAAGGACAACATGATCATGTTCAATATTTCACAATTATATGTATTGAGTAAATTGGGTATAGTATAATCCTCTGTAATCATCAATCTGGAGCTTCACCAACTGCATTAGCCACGAAAAAAAACATGCAGAAGCACCTGACATCGTGTGCCAGTGCTGCGACGCGCTTGCCTGGATAGCAAAATGCACAAGATTTGTCAAACCCCCTACATCACTAAATCCAGTTGTGTCCAACAAAAGTACCAACATCATCTCAATCACAGAAAAGTGGATGGGGTTCTATCCCCAGCTTTCAGCTTTCAGCAGTCGTTGCACCCTAAATCCACTGCTGTTCCAACGTCTGGTGCCTGGATTGCGAACGCCGTCGTGACGCCACGGTGTCGCTCAAATATCGTGGACTTTGACGGGCGACGACCTTTGAATGGCGATGACCGGGTTTTTGAGCTTTTCTTCAAGCCCTGGACAGTCTATCGGTGAATTGGCAAAATCGAAATCACAAAAATTACGGAGAATCATATGGCATTTTTAGTATTTGATATTTAGTACCCTCTGGTAAACTAACATAGCTATTGAAAATGGCCATAGAAATAGTTGATTTACCCATTGAAAAAGGTGATTTTCCATGGTTTTATATATATGTTTACCAGAGGGTATTTCAGACTTTCGAAAGTTGGAGATCCAGTAAATTCGCCACTTTTCATGCCTTCGCCCGCCTGTGGAGAGGGGCTGCGGGACGCTACTTTGTCCTGGCGGGGGTCAAAAATGGCCGGCCATCCCTGAAGTAAATGAAGGTCATATCGGATACAATATGGGATAAATTAATACGAAACAATATAGGATAAATCTGGGTAAATTATAATATTTTAACCTGAATTAAGGCCCATTTGGGGATGATTCCCCTACTAACCATGATTCCAGGGCTCGGTCGCAGTGAGGTCGATATAATTTACCCAGATTTATGGTGATAAATTGATGATAAACATCTATAAACATATCTGGCATATGTGTAGGATAATCATTGAAGTATTGCGGGGCCGATTTTCCAGCTATGTTGGATGACACCAGAGGTCCCATGATAAATCCAAGGTCCTTCGAGGAAACTCGTGGCTGCGTTTCGCGTCCTTCCAAGCGCGCGAAAACCATGGGAATTCCAACGACTACTGGTTGGTGGTTTCAACCAACCCCTCTGAAAAATGATGGAGTTCGTCAGTTGGGATGATGACATTCCCAATATATGGAAAAATAAAATTCATGTTCCAAAGCACCAACCAGATTAATTGTATATGCATGTATATGCTATATTTTGCTGTATTATGCTGTATTATCATCTACTAGATATCATTATATTCCAGCTTCGAGCTTCTATCATTTTCACAGATTTCAACATCTCATTGAACCCCCAGTCTTTAATCTTTGTGAATCTCAAGTTCGAGGCCCCCACTTCTCTCCGAGTGAAGTGGAGTGTAGTACCCTTGTGATCGCATCAGCCTGATGCGAACGGCTGCTCTGCTACCAGGACAGCATGCGAGTCTCAACGGAAAGCATCATCCAAAATATTTTGTATGTTTGGTGCAGAAAATGTGTTGAACGTGATGATGATGATGATGATGATGATGATGATGATGATGATGATTGCTACTTTGTCATCGAAACCTGGCGATGAATCATGAAAACATCTGGGGGGTCCAAATTCTGAGACCAAATTCTGACACGATCGCTGCAAGTCCCCAAGATCCTTAAGTTTGGATCTAAAACTTTAGTCTCTATTCATCTTCAATATACTCCAAATATATATGTAATTAATTAATGTTTATATAGACATACCTAGACCCTCCAGTTGTTCCAATGTCATTGGGAAAGAGTACAAAGATTATGGGGGCAACATATGTAAACTCATGTAAAATAACAATGTTCTAGGTACAACTGGAGGGTCAACCTCTCAAAACACATTTTCCCAGTTTGGATACAAGTCCTTTTACACGGTTCCAAGAAATCAGACTAAGTCATCAACGGGTGCTGAGCCACCTGACAGACCAGATAGCAGGTGGCACCATCAGGACCATTGGGACAAAAACCGAACCAGGATTCCAGAGATGAAAGTGACATTTCCGGAGGGTAAGAGCTATCTAAATACCCATAGGATCCATGGTGCTGGTATATATGCTAACATGACTGGGGTATATTGATGGGATCCATGTTATATAGCATGGATCCTATGGGATAGATAATTATTATGACTTTCACTTATAGCTTTAAATCCAGCTAAAACACACGTGAAATTCAAAACATGACCGATGGTATGCAGTTTGCCAATAAAGAGATTCAGTCCAATTGTCTCCGAAATGGTGCTATATGGATCTATATAGTCTGTCTTTGCCTTTGTATTCCGCGTTGGACAGGCTGAAGCGGGTGACTTGTGGTTGATCCTCAGGGTGGGTGAAAACCGAAAGTATGTGTCCTCCTATGCTATTGCCACCACTCAATGCTTCAATTTAAGATCGGTTTAAGGCACAAATTTACAGAAAAACATTGGTGTTTTTTCCTCTCTTTGAGACACACACATGAATGTTCGAGGCTTCAAATTCCTCAACCAATGGTGACATGTTGTCAACCAATTTCCAGAGGTTTCAAACCAACGGTTTCAACATGTTTCAGTCAATTTGAGTCAACGTTCGCTTCAACCAATTCTCCGAACACCCTGGGGAGGTCTGGCCTCGCCAAGCTTCCAAGAAGGCCGAGCCTGGGTCTCGGCAAAGCCCAAGGCTTCGATCCCTTTTGGCTTGCAGGGAAAATACCATGTTTCAATGATCTAATTTCAAGGATGTTCCCATGGATGTTTCATGTTCCCATGGATTTCAATGAGTTTTCCTCCAGAACTGATGGTTCAAGGATTTTTCATGATTTTCCACTCCGTTGGAGGTGACCAACCCCGGTCTTTTTCTGAAAATGATTTTTTCCCCCAGAAATCGACACCCAAAACGGCCAAGGTCGCTACGGATGGTCGATAGCTGAAGGTCCTAGGATTTGGGACATGGAATATCTGGGACAGCTAAGGTCCTAGGTCCTAGGATTTGTGGCATGGTTTTTTTCGACATGAACTTTGCCGGATTTTGCTGAGTCGTTTCTGAAAGGAGATCCAATCTTGGCCGCCGGGGCCGTAGATCCTCGACTCTCCGTGAAGATTGAGCTCTCCACTGTGAGAGTCGGCCGGAGGATCGGTTCCGGGGATCCTGAAATGGGTGGAATTTCACGCCACCCCCCTGATTTCATTGGAGGTTTCCCAACCTGGTGGGTACCCCGAGATACCATGTCAATTCACCTTTCCATTAACATTTATAAAAAAATTATAAAGCATCCAGCTATTGGGGGATCCTCAGTTGTACCATTTCTGCAAAGCAGCAGATGTTTCCCCAAGAAACGTCCGCCTCGTCCTGGCAAATCTCCTGCTCCCAGAGTTTACACCACCAATAGGGAGATCTTGGGGATATATCATGAAAATTCATGAAATATCTTGAAGTTATATTACAGTATATAGCAACAACTTCATATTCATGGCTTCATATCTGATTCATGGCTCTGAACATGGCCAACAAACTCCCAGGGGGGGGGCATTTTACTAAGGAAAAACACAAGAAAACCTATGATGAACCAATGGGTTGTACCCTATCTTCATGTGTGGATCTCTGTGGGCCTGACTTTGTGTCAGGGTCTTTTGGCGGGGTTCCTGATGCCACACCCATTGGCACAGCCATTGAAACCCTGAGATGTAAAGTTGGAATCTAAGCATTTCATAGAATGTCAATTGATCCAGAGGATCACATCACAAATGTGACTAATCTGTTTGAGACCCTTCAAAACCACCAACAAGAAACACCAACTTGCTCGGGCAAAGCCAGAAAAGTAACAATCTGGCATGAAAATTGCCTGAAAACCACAATCCAGTTCAAGCCCCACTTCCTCTCCCCCAGTTCATAGCCACAGCATGCCACAGCCACAGTGTCACAGGCTCCTGAAGCATCAAGTGGAGCTGATAATTCTGCCTCTCCGCTTGCTCCAGTCTGCTTTGCATGCTTTCTATCTGTCTCATGACCTGGACAGAACAAGATAGAACAAGTGGAGCGACGACCAAGGAAGGAAGTCATGGGGCTACCCCGAGATATCAGCCCATTTGTTATATTTTCGGATCCATGAAACCATCATAAACCATCCAGCTTTTGGGGTACCAAAAAAATTCTGGAAACTCCCAAATCAACTCCCAGTCGACAGCATGAAAGCTGAACCTCACCGCTTCGCCTCGATGTCACTGGAAATCCACGACTCCAAAGGCTCTTGTTTTGGCCATTTGCCAAGGGTCTTTTGAGGTTGGAAACTGCTGAAAGTCCGACTCGGAAGTCTCTCAAATGTAATGGAACACCTATGAAAATTCAAAAATCTGAGCGACTGCTCAGCGAGATTCGTCTTAAAAAATGGCTGTTGCTGGTGCAAACATGTCCATGTGGCGATGCGCACATACTTATACAAATCTCTTCATCAGTAATTAATGGCTTTTCAAAGGATGATTCCAATCTCATTCAACTGTCGCGTGGTCAGATCTGAATTAGTCAGGGTATTTCAGCCTTTCTAAGCCTTCCATGTCAACTTTGCACTTGGCGCTAAAGCCCAACGGCCAGGTCAATGAAAGCAGCAGAATCACGGCCCTTTTTGGTGGTGGACATTCTGGAAGCCCAACTCACAATGCCATTTGTTGAATATTTGTTGAATATCTCAAGATCTTGGCTTTACTTCGCATTCAGATTCTCACCTCACGGATACCTTGGTCATAGCGTGTTACCCTCAAATATCTGGAAAATCCCTCAACGATTCGATGATTTTCCCCATGACAACGAGGCTAACGTGCCATCCCCATTGTAGCACCATTGATGGCCATGGCAAAAAACACTCCCAATTTTTGTTGGACAACTCACTTGGAAATTGGAGGTGCCATATATCACTTTTATGGCTAGGATCATATCAGCTATGGCTATATCCCAATTATATCCCGGTTATATCATGGTTATATCCCATTCTGGAAAGGTTTATATATCCCATAGGATCCATGGTGCTGGTATATATGTGCTAACATTTGGGGTATATTGATGGTAAATGTTACCATATATAGCATATATGGATCCTATGGGTATGGTTATATATTGGATGATATCCCGAAAGTCAACCCATTTGAGTCCCACAAAGGAGTCCCGATAGTCAGAGCCACTCTGGGTAGCCAGGGTATCACAGCAAATCTCAACTCTTGTACCTTGAAAAATTGGTCTTTTATCAGTTACCAATTCTTGTGGGGACTGGGAGGGCATAGGGATATCTTGAATCATATCTTTCAGTATTTATCCATATTTATCCAATATATATTCATAATGGGATACAACTTCACTAACCAACCAGCAGCAGATCCTGCACACTTTTTACTGACACGTTGACAAAGCTTCATAATCGAAACGAAAGCGAAGCCTCACAAGCTCTGCGACCTTCGAAACGAGTCCAGCGGACTCGTCAGTTTCTTTTGGTTCGAAATCTTGAGACACCCGGAGAAAACTCGTCATTTATCAACGAACTATGATTCAACTAACATATCAACTAACTATCTATATCATATCATATTATATCCTCATACTTTTGATGCTTGAAGGCGCCCCGTTGTGTTAAACAGTGCTGAACCGTTTGCAGATTTTGAGCTCCTGAGCCAACCACTTCGCTTGACAGACTTTGAAGCGACTCGCTTTTGGGCTTCTTGTAGAACTTCACCGCTGGGAATCGTGGGAGAGGTGTGCAATGGCCGTAGCCTTGCGATCAGAAAACTCTCACGGTGATTTTCACCCCAAAAGAACGGATTTTTCGAGACTACAAATACTACAGCTGTATAGGTGGTATATATGTGTATGGGAGCTTTACTAATGGGCAAGTAAATTCCAGAACTGATTGCATCGTTTCTATTTGGCTTTAGCAAAAGCCAGTTCTCCGTGCCTCTGCAAAGTGCGTTTTCAACACGTTGCAGAGATTTCTCGACGTCCTCTAAACAGAAGACCACGTTCCTCAGAAGTGGGCTATGAAGAACATTATATTCATCATACCTAGACTCTCCAGTCAAGAAACCTCCAAAAAAATATGCCTATGCTTACATTCTGCTTATCCTATGAACAGTTCGTACTCTCTCCCATTCCCATGCTCCATGAATGGGATATGTTTACCCATTTTTACCTAGACGATGTTCCTACGTATTTACCTACATTTACCGACGTATTTGGTTCATTTTGGGCTAATTTTACCTTGGTACCCTCTGGTAATGACTAACATAGCATAGCTATTGAAAATGGCCATAGAAATAGTGGATTTTCCCATTAAACATGGTGATTTTCCATCGTTTTTTGTCAGTTTACCAGGCCGGGTAACTCTTCCATCCACCCAGCCATTGGGGATTCGTAACGCAAAGCACCAAGCGGCCCATCCCCCAGCCAGCGGTGCAGTGCGGGACGGACGTGGTCCAGATCCTCCGTGAGCTGATCCGATTGGGGGGGAGGTCCTCCGGGGGGAGGTCGTCAGTTCTCAAAACATTCTGGGGCTTAAATATATCCCCCACATATGGTATATAACTGAATGTTAGTATAAGCTTAACATTCTCAAAATATCTGGAAGTTATGGTGTGTATATATATATAATATGTGATATACATGGTATATATAATAATTAAACATCTTAAAACCATAAGACATAACATGTCTTAATCTCAGAAAATGCATAGCATTCAATTCAGACATGATAAAAGAACATGACACTGAACTTAAGTGGGTTTTGATTCTGTTCCTGCTGCTATCCTGATAAAACTTGGTATCCTTGCTGAGCTTCCCACACTGGCTTCAAACATGGCCGAGGATCCATTTAGAATCAACTCCACCTCGAGTGCCGCAAACCGACCCAATTTCATAAACCCCCAGAATCACCATTCGAATTATGGTTTGTGTAAACCATCCCCAAATGGTATTTAGTATTGGGTTTTTTTCATAATTAACAAGGTCTCTATCTTTTTTGGTGGTTCCTGCGGGAACTATCTTCAAATATGAACTTTTCCAGGGGGGTAGCCGTCATGGGTGATCATTTTCGTCGTGGAAACCTATGTCTCCGGGGATCGCCCACTTTGAAAACCACCCTTTTTTTCATCAAAATAAGCTGGCGCAACACTTGAGAAGCTGACCCAGGTTTCAAAAAGTGCGTGCTTTTCCAGCCGGTCTTGTCCTGGCCTCTGCCCAAAAATGCGGAGATTCTCTGAAAACGGATGGGGTTGGCCAACAAACATCCAATGGTCATTTTCAAATATGGGAGTTTCCTAAGTCATGGGCATACCCCAAAATTATCCAAGTTACCTCCATCTATTTTGCATGGGGAAAATGGCAAGCACGCAGCAGGTTTGGGGTATGTCTCAGGATTTTGAGATGTATCGAAAGGTCGATTTGAAATTTGTAGAACGTTTCAATGAAGGCTGACAATGTTGGAATTCCTCCAGTCACAAGTGCTGGAAACGAGAGAGATTGATCCCAGAAATCTGGGCGTCTGGCAAGAGGTGCCCCTTGTTGGGAAACCAATAGCCATGATAGAAGCTGGACATCCTGGGGCTCCAGTCACTATCTATGCTGCAGGAAAACTTCTTGGTTTTCTTTGGGTTCATATGATTAGGAATAAAACATCCAGATTTTGAGGGGACAAGTAGGAGACAAGTCTGACCCATCAAACGATATATTCATGATATATTCTTCTGTTGAATTTAGGCTTGGTGAAGCGGCCAACTGCCGAAATCCCAAATCAAGTGCGCTTGCAAGTCTCAATTCCGGAGAACTTTGAAATACTTTGAGTACAAATCTCAAGTATCTCAAGTGCAGAGAACAGCTCAACCAAAGCCTTTGGATAACGATTTCAGCAGTTTTCGATGCCTCGCAACCGGATCACGTATGAAAACCACACGTAGCCGGCCCGCCGCAGTTTTGCAACAGCTTGGGCATAACCTGGCGGAACGAATTCCACAAGATCCCACCCTTGTTGGGTCGCTGAATGTCGACCATGTTGATCCCATGGCCCACATATATCCAATAGCCCTCTAGAACCTCTGTTTATCTCTGTTTCAGTATTGGATCTATACTAATTTAATTTTTGCGATTTGTATTGAATAGTAATGAAGGGAAGGAATTAGTTGCAATTCGCATGCCAAGTATCAATGAGGCTCTCGGGGTCTATGACTTGTGATACTTGTGGCATGCAAATGCATTCAACAGGAAGGGTAGACGCCATTGGCAAGCCCACGCGGCCCTCATTCAGCATGTGCACACCCTGCAAAGTTGCAAGTCTCAAACCAAAGGTGGAAATTGGTGAAAACCGCATCACATTCGCAAAAAGAAGGCTCAAACACGAAAATAAATGTCACAGATCGTTCGACAAATGATCGAATCAAAAAAACACGTGCAAACAGAGGACTGGTGCATAAAAAAATCGGCAACACTGTATTTCTAGGCAAGAATTGCACAAGAGGGGAATCCTCTAAAGAAGGGAAACGTATTGGAAAAACAACGATGAATTTCATCTGTAAACAAATCTATGGATCAATATGGGGGGGATGGTGATCTGTATCTAAATATAACATGGATAATAATACTAATAATAAATTAAAAAAATGATAACAATGATAGTAATAATGATAATATATATATATATATGTATAATTATGTATAGTTTGTATCCCAGCAGTCCCTTATTCAGCAGGTTTCCTTCCACAAACATTTTTTTTTAAACGCGCGCCTCAAAAAGGTCACGTGCACGTAGACACAAACAAAAAAATAAAGTGTTCCCACTGGCTGAATAAGATCCCCATGAAAAATCTGAAAAACATCCGTTCAGTCACCATTTAAGTCCCTTGAAATATCCCCCAAAAAAATGGGTTATGATAAATTCCCCATATATCATCCCATCATCCTCCTGAAATCCCCATGAAATCCCTGGTGAAATGGCACCGAAGCGCACCCTCGAGATGGAGAAGAAGGCCAACTCTCCAGGGCATCCCAAGCGCATCTCGTCATGCTCCAACCACTCCTGGTTGTTTCATGGGTAATGTTGATTTCACCAAAATGGATGCGCCGACCCCAGCCAACAGCAAGGGGGAGCGCGTCAGGGCAAAGAGGTTGTGAACAACACAAAGAAAAAAAACAACGACGACAACAACAACAGGCCTTTTGATGGTTCCTAAATGTCATCCGAAAATTGTTGCTGTTAATACGGAAACCAACAATTCGCCAATGTTCCGAAACACACACATGGATGCACTGTTGAAGAACTGCATTGAAGAATTAAATCAAGACTTTCAGGTTGAACTTTCCCGGACTGCATTCCTGTGCAGTCTACTGCTGACTTATGTGGTGGCAGTGCCATCTCTACCCATTTCAAACGTGCAATATCCAACTGATCAACTGAATCTAATCCCCTTTTTCCAGCCAAGAAGTTTTTCTCCTTCTTTAACTTGAGACTTTGCCGGAAACCAGGGTTTTCCCAACTCCACGGCCCATTTTATCCCGCTCCCGTGCAAATCGTCCGACTTTGCTGCCCCCAGCGTCATCGGAATCGCTCAGTGAAACCGCCTCACAAGCTTCGGGAAGTCACGAACAAGGTATCCAATCCACCGATCTTTGCGAAGCAAGATCGGATTCTTGTGTTGTAATCAACGTGGGCGCCGATGGGTGATTTCTTTCAAGCCTCCGTTACTGAAAAACTTGGTATATCATGGTATATCATGGTATTACCCACAAAAATTGTTAATGTTACCCCATCATTTTAGGACTTTTGCCATTTTTTATGGCTACTGGATGGTCCACTTGGGTCGACAAATCCAAGGAGCCAATGTCCGCCGTGCCGACACCACGCCAGGCATTAGGCCTTCGAGCCTTGGACAATGAATCTGGAATACCCTCTGGTAATTTAACAGTTTGCAATTGAACATTGCCCAGTAGAATTCTAGTTGATTTACCAATTTTCATAGCATGGTGATTTTCCATCGTTTTTTTGTATGTTAGGATCCAGAAGGTAATCTGGATGTGACACGTTGAGTTTTGCGGCTGAGCATGAAACATGGCTGCCCAAACAGTGGCCTTGGCAGATCAGATTTTTCCAGGCGACACTTCCTTCCATCATTGGTTATATGGCTATGGATCAAGTGAATCTATTATAAGTTATTAAGTTCTACTGTGTTTTCCCATCATTGTTGGTGATATTAATCTATTTCTCCAACATTCCCCCAAACAAAACGGAATCCGTTTCATCCCCGAAGATTTCTCCCGGACTCTAAGATTTCAGCTGAACGACTGCCCGCTTTCAGGGTCAACTGCAAAGCCACCGGCCTCGTCCGGGGTGGCCCCCAAGAAATGACTAGATTCGATCAACATTCACTACGGTTCCTAGAGGTATTTTATACATGTTTAATCATGTTTATAGGTGTTGATGTTAGGCTCTGTTGAATTTTCCAGGAGACACAGTGGAAATCCAGGATGATATTTGTGCCCTGAATTTCCCAGGTGTCCACCTTTCCAGCGTTCTATTTGGGGGGTTTACTAATTAAGAAATTATGAACGGGAATTCTTCACATGGCAGTGGGTCAAAACCTTGTACCCCTGGTGAACATCAAAATAGCTGGTAAATGGATGTTCATCCCACTAAAAATGGTATGTATAGGTATTGATCCATAGCCACATCCGTTTCTGAAGAATTTTCTGACTGTTCCAGTTTCTGAATGTGTTTTTGGTGCTTGAATAAAACCCATTCCCAAAGCATGGCGTCTGGATCTACCCTGAGTGGTTGGCACTCCTGGAGGACAGTAGAACCTCGGGCTGAGAGACATGGCTTTCATGGGATCCCCAGTCGTCACCATAGCTTTCAATACAAAGTCATGGTCATGGTCATCCATGACGACTGGATGATTTTTAGGGTCCCTCCATGAAAACAGTAGGAACTACCCCTATTTGACGGAAAAGATTCTGAGCCATCTATACTTTGGGGTTTCAGGTCAGGTTTCTGGCACCTGAAAAAACGTGCTGCATTTCACAGTGTCAGGTTACCGGCTCAGCTCTGCACTGTCCGGTACGTTCACAGGACGGCGCGTACCTCGGTACGAAGTGGCCGCAGGATCCATGGTAGAAATTTGTTTCCAGGGAACTCAAATTTCCATCATGGGATTTCCATGGATTTCCCCGCTTAGCATGCTTGATGCTCCCTGAGCCCGGGGCAAGAAATTGGAGTCGCCAAAATCATAGGGAAGTCCCAAAGAGACGTGACAGCGTGGTAGAGAATATTTGCTCAACCTCAGATTTGCCCATCTTTTCTTTTTTTCTCCCATCTCCCATGGCCCATAGGGAAAACAAGACCTAAATCAGTGGTCCCAAATATGGGTAAATTCCATATAAAAGCCATGGGTTTCGTTTGGGGGGTGTTTCATTAAATTAGCTCGACAAAAAGGGTCGACAAAAAGGGGGATTGGATTAGTTCCTGTGATCTCAGGCGCCATGTTTCCCAAGTGACTTTCTCTTTGGGCGCAGGAGGGTTGGTTCATCGGCAAAATCCCAAGACTTCAGCCTATGGCAACCCCCCAAAACGATCAAAAAAGACATAATATATACATATATATATATATTATATTATTATATATATAATTATATATATCATATAATCAGATTTCTGCATATATCTTTCTAAAAATAGTGGTAGTATTTTAACACCTTTCTTGTGAAGAACAAATTTTATATCACATATCCAATTAGTGGATAATCTTCTGTTTTTTTCCAATCCTTGTGGACCTCAACGGGCACCCTCAACTCGCGCCGGGCGACTCATCGCAATCCGACCCGGTAAAGCAAACTTTGGCCACGACCCGGTGCACGTCAGCCTGATGTCATAGGATCCATGTATGGTATATATGCTAACATTGGGGGTATATTGATGGGATCCATGTTACCATATATAGCAGCACCATGGATCCTACGGGATATGGATAGAAATTTGCAATAGATCAATGGGATAGATATATTTTCAGCCTATAAATCAATGGTATAGATATAATTTACAATAATATAGGATATAATTCCAGTATAATATAGATTAATTTACCTGAATAATTTGGGATATCAATGAGAGGTAAATGTTAACTATTCAGGTACCGTATAGATCATTGCTATCATTATCATTGTCAATATTATGAACCATTATAACTATTTTTTTGTTATTGTTATTAGTCTGGTATGGTTGAATATGGCTGGCTAGACCTTCCAAGTACCCATGTATAAAAGTACTTACATGATGGGGTAAGGTACCAATTTATATATGGGTACTCTAGTAAATTCCCGTAAATTCCAATGTATTGCTGGTTTATGCTGGTTTTATATCCCCAAGTTATTGCTGCTGATATCCAAATTACCGAAGTTTTTATGGTGAGATCACCAAATGGAATTGGTTCAATATGATGCACCACCACAATGATTTGCTCGAATCTGGAAGTGTACCCTCTGGTAATTTAACATAGCAATGGAAAATCACCAATTTTCATGGGAAAATCCACTATAAATGGCAATTTTCCATAGCTTTTTGTAAGTTCACCAGAGGGTATCCAATTTTGCGTATCGCTGGGACTTGCAGAGATCTTCCCCTGAGCCGTTGGAGCCGTTGTGATCCGTTGTGAATAAAATCGACAGCTGGGGTGTCGGACGGAACACTCCATGTGCAAGGAATGAAAGACTTGATGCTGAAGTCTCTGCGGCCTTGGAAAAGACAATGTCTTTTCCACCATTTCAAAAAAACATCAGAAACTGATGCTTGTTTTCAATGGGTGGCTTGAAAAATGGAAACATTGGTGGCTTTTAATGGAAAACCCATTGAATTGACTTTCAACTCCACCATCCATTTCTGGATTTCTGGGTTGCGAGTTCCCCACCCAAACAAGCGGATGAACTCCAACTCAGCCTGAGAGCATCAGAGTGCGAACTGCGCGAATCACCACTGCAACTGATGGGACCATTCGACTGTGGGATTCCTCTTGGTGTCTTGGTCACGCACGATCTCTGGGGGAACACTGCCATCCTCCGCGGGAAGAGATTTGGATAGATTTGGTGATTTCCGTTGACTGTTGGTGATGATTAAACTATATACCCATGACGGATCCATGGTGCTGGTATATATATATATATATGATTATATATGCTAACATTTGGGATATATTGATGGTAAATGTTACCATATATAGCACACATGGATCCTATGGGATAATTCACACAAATGAGAGCAAAACATGTTTCTTAAGAGTGCCAAAATCTCCAAAACTGATCTGACTGAACTCATATCCACAAGGCAGCAAGCGCCTTAAGCGTCAGAGTTGCCAATTCTGTCAAAATCGTGAGTGTCCCATCCTCATTGCAACGCGAAGCACTCGCGTGACATGTTGTTTGTGCAATGATGACCAAAGACACCACTCCAAAGCAAGGGTTTCCACATTAGATTACAAAGAAACATGTTTAAAACTGACAAAAAAAACAAAAATGCGGTCTTTCCATAATTATCATAATTGGACCATAGTAATTCATAGTAGTCCCAACCAACAATCATTTTCACACAACAAAATCGTTCGACCCCCCTCTGCGGCCTGACACAATTCCCTTGGCACAAAAACTTGCCGATCCGATCGTTCAGGTCTCGCCGATGGCCAGGGCTTTCCAGGTTCCCCTGTCCTGGTGCAGTTCTGCACTGTCAGAACAATTGTTGAACAGTTATGACAGTTATGACAGTTATGACACTTATGATGTGTGTTATTCATGTTTTTTTTTTGGGGATTTTAATGGTTTTAAGGAATGTGTAAAATGGTGATGAAAGGCATCTCTTCAAACGTCCATGCACTATCTCCTGGTTTTGGGCTCTGCACAGGGGTGCCCAGTACAGCGTTCAACCACCTTGGCAGAATGTCAGTCCATTGGGATCACGAAAATGAATCAAAATCAGTCTGCTTCACTTGAAAAATGGGATTCCATCCAAGATCGAAGGTGGACATAAGAAGTGAAACCCATAGTGAAACCCATGGAAACCACCAGGCGGTTCCGAGTTGGCAACACAGCTGTCCCCCACATGGAACGCGATCCAGGTAGGCCCTGCGAAATCCGAAAACCCCCGTGCCAGCCAAAGGGTGGCTTCAGCAGCACAGCCTGCGGATGGGTTGAACCATTGGAAACGATTAGCAAAACATGGGAAAAACAACTTGGGTTCGTCTGAACATTTAGGGGAACACACCAAAATCCCATGGTCTATCATAAAATATGATCGTTATCCCCATTCAGTGGCCATAATTGGGTCTATAATTTTTCCCCATTCCAAGACAGACCCACTTCAAAATCAGTGGCAATCTGTCCTTCAGCAGCTGGTTCGGACACAGCAACCTGCTTGGCCAAGGTCTTTGGCACCAGGTATTTTTTCAAAAAAAAACGCTGAAAAATGATCCCACCTCTGTAAGTTTTTTGCAATGACATTCCAGGTTGTCAACGCCGACGTCCTTGAGGCGTCGATGTGGCATTTCTTGGTTTCTGCCTTGCAGTTGTTGCATTTCTTTGCCCGCCCTGCCCCCCCCACACCCTGAACCTATGACCTCCATCTCAACCCCAGCTGTTTGTGGCTCTCAGGTCCAAACGACTTGCTTAGAGCTGTGGGACCTAACAGAGTTGCAACTTCTGACAAACAAAATTATGGTTTTGGTTTAATTTCATGTTGGCAACCCAATAAACCTACCATGACTGGGCGTGGTTTATACTGCCTATGTATGGTGATTTTGGGGATGGATTACTATTATTGTTATTATTATTATTGGTATTTCATGATTATCATTATTATCATTATTATTGGGTTTACCACATTCCAGAGTTTGTGTGCCTTGGGTACCATACTTTTCAAAGCTTCAAACCTGGTCTAAGGTCGAGACAGAAAGGGAAAGTTCTCACATTTCACCCACGGCCCAGACCTCGAGGTCAGGGGAGACACAGCATGACCTACGCTTAAAATGGAACAGCCACTAGCTCAACTATGCTCAACTCCATATTTCATCTGAAATTCGTCTGAATTTGTTGGCATATGTGATTTTAAATTGGGTTTGTGATATGTTTCGTGTGTTAGAACATATTAGATTCCAGTGGTATACCATGCCATACCACTATATTACCATATTTTACCATATTTTACCACTATTTCGGGACACAGAAACATAAGAAGCCATAAGAAAATCATACGCCGCACTTGTCCTCTAGCGATCTGAGTGTCAGTACCCATCCGTCACCAGAATGTTGGCGAGCAACTCAGAGGACGATGGAAGTGCCAGCGTGTTCCCCTACAATGTGGGGCCCCCTAGATAGCTAAGTTGGTTTATAAACCCCATTAACTATAGTTATAAGTATAATACACTATAGTTATTGGAGTTGTAAACCAAGTTAGCTATCTAGGGGGCCCCACATTGTATACCAGTTGGCTTCGTCCAAACTTCGATACCCCAAGCTATTTCCAGGTCTATGCATATTCCATTTGAATGTCGACAATTCTGGCCATATAATCCCATATCATCCATGAATCCATATATATATATTATATATATATATATTTTATATAATTATATATATATATACCCTAGGATTCCAAAGTCGGTTTTAACAATAGTCTTTCTCCAAAAGACGGTTTCCAAGTGTTTCGAAACAGCCTTTCCCAAATCACGATTCACCACCCTGCAAGACTTCTTTCTCCCATATCAGCGATCAGTGCTGCGATATCCGCCCATCATGTCTGTCTTGATCTCCGTGTCCTTAAGTGCACAAGGCTGAGATTTGAAAATAACCTCTTCAAACACTACAAGCACATACAAACGCTGCAATCCCCCCTGAGTCCCTCAGTTAAACCATCCAAGGGTGGTCCTCCGGGACTTCATAGATTTCATCGATAAAAGCCTGCACTCTGGCAGGGCTCAGGATTGCATCTATACTTATATCATATACTTATATCTCATCTACCTCATACTTTAGATCTAATCATCATTATATCGCATTATGTCAGGGTATGTCAGGGTGGCCAGGATTCCCACCATCACCTGAAGTTCAACTACAATTCCCAAGCCTCAGTTTTGTTGTTCGCAATACCCATCTTTCACGTTGTCGGGGATGAGCACGGGCAGATATGCCTCAACCCAGCTACATCAAACCCAATGGGCTCCACCCCAAAAAGTGTAATTGCATAAAACCCTGTGGTTAAAACATTTGTCCAAGGGGCATTTGACCCACTTCATGCTGTCCTCATCCACAAATGTATGGGTAAATCTTGGGTTGACTCCTTAGATCCAGAAATAAAGCACTAGATTTCCAACCCTGCAATTGCAAAAAACCCGAGCAAGCTCAAAAATTCACCAACCCATACCATCACCAGGATTCTGTAGGCCAGTGCATCCATACATATATGCGCAAACACCTCATCACCAAGTCAGAACACTCGAAGGGATGATGAAAGATAAGGGGCACTCACCCAAACCCGTTCATTCTTCATTCATTAAAGCAGGTGAGTAACATGATATTTCGGTTTGAGCAGCCACGCGGATACACCCTTCCTGGTTGCACTGTTGCGCACCATAGTTTGCACACAACTGTTGGTGAAAAACACCTCTCACCACAAGTCATATGTTCATGAGATGTGTTGACAACTTGGCCTGATGTACTCCAGGCACAAGATCTTGTAGAAATTCAAGAAGCGGAAACCAGCATCATGCATCGATTGCGCGGCCGATGCAGTCCTAAGCCAAGCCATTCATATCAATGTCATCCAGTTTCTTCCAAGAGGTGTTTTAGAATTCTTGGACTAGTTTCACAATGGATGTGAACGACCTGCCCCCAATCACTTGTATGATAGACACCAACAGGTATGGATACCAGGGATACTCGAAGCAATATAAGTCTTTGGATGAAAGGCTTGTGTGTTATTGTTTGAACACAACTTTGGAATGCTATGGAATAAAACCGACTTTGGAAATTTAGAGGGTATATATCGATATATGACATGATATATCATTATTTTAACATGAACATGCACACCATATGCTACATGTTTTCTCTACATGCCTTCCTGTCACCAGTGTCACCGCCATGGTGCAAGTGCCGGGGGTTCTCCTCCATCAATGCCATGAACTTGGCCAAACTGCTCCTTGGCTGATCGGCTGGGAGAAGCTGGGAAACAATCTTAAATACAGGATGAAATAAAGCGTCTAAATCATGGGCCGGATAATTCATAATATAACACTTAGATCCACTTGGACCCACCAACAGTAATTTTGTCACATGACATTTGTGTGTGAGGTGTAATGTCAACCCTGGATCAATAAATACCCTAGGTTGTTTTATTGGGGGGTAACAATTTATTTATACAAGTAGTATCATCTAATGACTACTGGGGGACTACTCATGGTTTGTTAATTCAGGGTTGACATTGCATAACAACAAGGATATCTCATCATTCAAAGTCTTGGCCGAGAAACTTCCGAGTTACATATTTTTCACATGGAAACCTGGATTCAAAAGTTTCCCATGTATCCAACACCAGGCCAGGAATCATAGCGGCGCAAGTAAGGACCAAGATTTCATGGTCAGGGTTGTGTTGTTCAGAATCCAACAAGCAATGTGTGAGCCACATCAGAATGACACGGCCATTGTAGGCCTTCGCAGTGAACAGGTTTTCACCTGATTTCTTTTTCACCTAAGCTATGTCCAAGTATCTCCCAATGTCAATTTCAAGGCACAGAGTGGCAGGCTCAGTACCAAGAGAACACGTGAAAAACATAATTGAGATTGACAAAACAAAAACCTCAACAATACAGAAGCAATGATAAACCAAAAAAAATGGATTGGAAATTGATTTCCTTCAGGTGACCATCTTTCGAGTAAATGGTGGTTGTGAATGCTGGATCTTGCGACTGCGGCAAAAGGAAGTGAAATGTTGGTATGCCCTGTCAATCTGATCGCCAAAAGTGCCAGGCCCAAAGTACTGAAGCTCTTCAGCCAACAAAATCCTTAGCTGCTGAGGGGACTGTAGCCCTAGACAGCCGGTATAATTCAATAGCATGCAGCCCACCAAATTGACCCAACATGGGCCCAACATGGGCCCAACTAGGGCCCAACTAGGCCCAAAATAGCCCAACATTGGTCCAACATAGCCCTCCAAGTGCCCCCGAAATGAACCTCAACCGAAAAGTTTTCGGTTGGGGTTGAATGTTTCATTCTAGAGACCTCCATGGAACCCCACATAGCCCACCAAATGACCCCAACATGGACCCAACTAGGCTTAAAACGGCCCAACATTGGTCCGGACATAGCCCTCCAAGTGCCCCCAAAATGAACCTCAACCGAAAAGTTTTCGGTTGGGGTCGAATTTTTCATTCTAGAGACCTCCATGGAACCCCACATAGCCCACCAGATGACCCAACATGGGCCCAACTTAGACCCCAAATTGCTCAGCATTGGCCCAACATTGGTCCGACATAGCCCTCCAAGTGCCCCCAAAATGAACCTCAACCGAAAAGTTTTCGGTTGGGGTTGAATTTTTCATTCTAGAGACCTCCATGGAACCCCACATAGCCCACCAAATGACCCAACATGGGCCCAACTTAGACCCCAAATTGCCCAGCATTGGCCCAACTATCACCCAAAGAAACAATCGCATCATAAGGATCCTTATGATGCAGTCATTTTCCCTCCCCCAGAGACCTCCATGGAACCCCATATGCAGCATGTTGGTTGCTCCTTCGAGGGAACAGCCCACAATAATGGCGACAAAATCGAACACATGAACCATTAAAACAGCTGAGGGTCAGAGATCCACCATTTGCTGTAAACATCAGGCCCAAGTTTAAAGTGTGCATGGTGCACCAACGAAGAATGCTAGGGTGAAACCGTCTCAATTTGATCAGCGGACCTCATTGGCAACCGAAAAAAAACAAAGCCACCAAGGAAGTTTCAATCATCTGAAGGCCCAACTCAAAATCAAATCAAAATAGAAAAGAACATTTGCAACTTTCGCACAAGTAAACCTAGTCATGAGGAAGCAAGGTCTGGCCAAGGTGCAAAGGTTTCTGGTTCTAAGCCGTCGTGCGATGAATTGCTCAGTCCCAAACTCTTGATGTTTCCATTCAGAAGAGTCCCCATAGTTCCAATACAAAAGAGGTTCTGGGCCCTTTGCCACACAAGGGCAGCGAAAGCAAGTAAGGTTACCATTCCAACTTGCCGTCGTCCACCACAGATCGCGGTGAAACTCCCAGTCCCCTCGAATTTCTGTGAGGGCGAACTGGGTGTGAGAAGGTGTAAGGGGAACACCGGCACGATCAGCATCATGCTTCAAAAGGGATGATCTGCCAGGCATTGGGCCTACTGGGTTAATACCATCGAATGCAGCTTCCAACGACCAAAGCACTCGATTCATCAGGACGTTTAACGTCCTGTTCTTCACGAGTTTATGCCTAGGGCATGTGAAAATCACAAACCGTGAGTGCCTGATGCTGGCTGGCCTAAACAACACCAAGTTGATGCTCAAAGCAAACACTTTCTGGAAAGTGTTTTGGCTAGCCATGCGGGCACAATCTCCGTGTAGCCCTACAGGCAAATGCTGGCTTGATGCCTGGCTGGAGGTGGCCCAGCCCTCGCCGAATTCACGGCTGTGCCTCCAATATTCAGCAACTTCTGCAGATGAAAATTCCACCCCCACTTCTGTCATTATGTATGCCAGCACACGGTGCGGGTGCAAAATAGGAAACGTTTCCACTGCAATGCGATCAGTTTTCTCATCTTTTACTGGAAGTTTGATGGTCTCGATCTCCTTAACAATGGAAATAACCCAGCAATTGGTGCATTCAGAATGAACCTGTTGTCATATGTGCCATAGGTCCCATGGGTGCATGATAACATATTGGGGGATGGCCCTCAAACCAATAATTTGGCTAAGCATAATTCTTAGGGATTCCGACGGTCACACAGAGCTGAACTCTTATTCTGGACATCACAGTTATACCACAATCTTGTGGGTTGTTACTTGGTGTTAAACTTTGGGGCAATTACATATCTCACAAAAAGAAAAAATAGAATTGCGGTATGTTGGAACTTACCTCCATCCTGAAGACTGTGCCAACCCCAACACCATTTGATGTTGTAGCTTGCATGATTGGTTATTGGAAACTCAAAACAACATTGGGATATGTTGAAACCTGTTGATGATTAATCCACATGTTTCTTTCCAAGGGCAATTGGTGTTATAATTTCATGATATCTGATATGTTTGAGTTTGGAACCGGGAAGTCAGGACATTGGAGTGTGTTGAAATGTATCTCCATTTCGATCGTTATTCCAACACCAACACCAGGTGGTGTTATATCACGCATCATGATTAATTGAAACATCAAAATAATTCAAAGTAACAGTAGGATATGTTGGAACTTGTTATCATTTTAATCCATCTGATGCCATTCCCATGGGTCATTGGTGGTCCTCATGCCTCATGAATCATACCTGATATGTGATTTTTGAACTGGGAAACTAAAGCAACATTGCAGTATGTTGGACCCTGTTCTCATTTTGATCCATTTGATGCCATCCCCAAAAATTCATTGGTGTCATATCTTTATGTGTTTCTTTGGGACTATAGGATAAGAAAGTAACATTGGGGTACATTGGAACCTATCCCATCTTGATCATTTGAGATCCATCCATGCCACAAAAAATCCGAGCCACAATAGGGATGTCAATAAAGCGCCAGAAGTCCCGTGGATCATTTCGACCAGACGCTTTCCCAAGAGCCAATGTTTGAGGGTGGCATGCTGTTCCACTTTCCTAGGCATCATTAAAAAACATAAGATGATCATAAGGAACCCTGGATTGGTGACATGCTCCACTGCTTTGCCTGCCAACGGTCACACATGCAGCCGAGGAGCTGCGACATGATCACGTACTCGCTGCATGACCCGGGAAACAGATGAGGCCTGGATCTGTGTAACTGCAGGTGTGTCATAAATATATCACAATGTTTGGGGCCCCTTCATTGACCAATGTTCCTGATACATGATTTGTTGATACAATTTCATAGTTATACTATATGTCTAAGATTCCCTAAGAGAGTTATAAACATGAAATATGATCTCCATTTGGTTTCGGAAACGATCCCAAGCCATTAAGCCAAAGCTCACCAGAAGCAATGTCATCACAATGGCCACGAATAGCCACAGGTTCCCCAAGATCAGCAAGATCTGCGCAGGGATGTTGAATTATTGCATTCACATGTGTGCAAAACCAATTCAATTATGTTTTTGTCCACCACCGAACAAATCTATGATCTATTTGGATCATCCTGAAACAAGAAAAGTTCAGTGAAACAGTGAAACAATTATTTTTTGCCGGCAATGACATCGGTCCCTCTAGTGAACAGGATTGGGGTTTGAAAGCACTTCAGCTTCCGAACCAAACCCAGCGTGATCTGACACACCAGGACATATGACCCAAGGCCATGCAAATCACCCATCCACTGATGCAGTGGCTAAAGGTGAAATAGCCGGCAAACCCAAAATGTTCAAGGGCCACCAGGATTACCCCCATACTCGGCTCCATAAAAACTTGAAACATTGTGAGACCATATACGATGGACAAATTGATCAATTGGACATGGTTGGATATACTAGCTACTACAATGATCAAATGTTATACAGTTGTTCTCAGGTACATAGACCATTTGGTTCGAGATTCCTCATCTATATAATCCAAAAAGTTGTAGAGCTGGGAATTGAGAAAACAACCTTCATGAACATGTGGAGCAGGTGCCGGGGATATCTCACTACACTGGTGGACTTCCAGACATACAGCTTCCAAGCTGCATCACCAGTGCCCAGTCACTTGACATTGTAGGCAGCAAGAAATTTGTTAAACACATCCAACTTGTTGTTGGCGCAGTCGATGTCGGCGTACAATGACCCCAGTTGGTCCACCTGCATTCAGGTCAGGTGCTCCAAAGTCGGATAGATGGTGGGGAGAAGTACAAAGATCTAACATACCCAGGTAAATACCACGTGATGATGTTTCTGTTACTTACTATGAGGTATGTGTATGTGCTACCCCACCTTTGCATCATCAACAAGCCCAAGCAAATACCAAGTGATGATGTTCTGTTGCTTATATACTATGAGCTATGTGCAAGTGATGATGCTTCTGTTACTTACTATGAGCTATGTGCTACCCCACCTTTGCTTCATCAACGGATTTCTGTAATTTCTGGCGGGATGTCTTCAGGGCACTGATGTGGGGCTTGACTTCTGCCATGATAGCTGTCACCACTGACGGACTCCTCAGCTGATCAAACCACGAAAGGAATGTTTCGGGGGATCAGATCCTAAACTAAAGCTTCGACTGTAAAGGACTGTAGCGATGTTTTTGTTAAGGTGACCTACCAATTGTTTGTTCAAACCGTTTGTTCAAACCGTTCGTGTAACATTCAAACATTTGATCATGAATGCTGAGGCAGGTTGGTTTGGGCCACCATTGTGACCACCCTGTGCACCAGCGAATCCAAGGATCATTTTCTGCAAGCTGCCATCAATGTTGGAGCCTTTGGCTATGGCTAAGCCAAGCTTTGTCAGAGCCTGGCAACTAGGAGGCACTTGGTTTAAGTTCGAGGTGGGAGAACCAAAGGAACAACCAATGTTCCAAATTCAAGTTGATAAAAATTGCACCTATATAAGAGGATTGGTTTTGAACTTTGTATATCTCGGTGTTGACAGGGACCTTGCCATCCAACCCTGAATAGCTTGATTTCCCTTACGCTGGTCTTTCTTGAATGCATCGGTCTTTTCTTTCTCTTGTCTTCGCTTCTCTTTCTCAGCCTCCTGTTTCTTCTCCCTTTCTGCTTTTGCTTCTTCCTTTTGCAGCCTCTTCCTTTTCTGTGCCTCAGTCTCAGTAGGTTCCTCAGCAGACTCAGACTTTGAGCTTGACTTTGACTTCGATGCCTTCCTTTGCTTTCTTTTCTTGTCACCTTTGGCCTTCTTGACCTTCTTACCTTTGTCTCTTTTCTTCTTTGCCTCCCACATGCAGCAGTGCAACAATGGATGCCGAGGCCTACCATCGCAGGTTGATCGATGAATAGTTTTTTTTTGAAAAAAGTTCAAGAGTCTGGTCAATAAGATGTCAATCCTTCAAGGTTCCCGCAGACATGATAAGACATGATGCGCCTCACCATCTGACGACGAGATCTTGGAAGAGCTGCTTGCACTTTTTGAACTTGCCGAGCTTGAGGTCGAAGTGGACCTTGATGCCTTCTTCTTTTTCTTCTTGTCTTTGGCCTTTCCAGCTTTTGCCGTGTTCTTCTTCTTCGACCTAGTCTTTGAACGACCCCTGGGTGGATCATTGTCAGCATCATCTCTATCAGCTGCACGGAAAAGTGTTTCCGTGACATGATCCACACTTTCTTCTGTTCCCTCACGGTCCCACACAAGGTACTGCCTTGTTTCCTGGGCAAAGCAGGAGGAGCTAAGGAATACCAGAAATTTGCACAAAAATAATTTTCCAAATAGTTCTGGGGATCACAAAGTAGGACTAAATATTTCCGACATTAATTCACAATCAAGAGTCTGGGGTATCAACCCCATGTAAGTCGGGATTCGGGCGAATCTGGTTCTTGCATGCTTCAGAATCATTCTCTTTGGCAGCCACTATCTGGCGTGCAGTCTCTTGCGAACCAAATTTTGCGGCAAGTTCCGCCAAGCACATCCATCTACGTGATCCATAGGATCTGTTTTTACGTTTCTGACGCATCTGAAGAAACATTTCACTCTCCGACCATATTCCCCCACATGCCGTCCACTGCTCCATTAGAACTTGGAGCATTGGACTGTTGTGGGCTGCTGCCCGTCCCGCTCTCTGCACTTCTTTTGGTGTTCTGGGACCTTGGTATGGACACATGCACATATTGATCTAGGAAGCTGAAACTTATCAGGGATAACTTCTTTGCTGCTATTTTTTGGGACATGGATATTTGGTGACAACATTGGTCACATCGGAATTGTTGAGATGTAGGACAAGGATGTGAACCTGTGAACTTGTTCAATAGACCCCAAAGCATCCAACTGTGTATAGGCTTGATCAGATCTAAAACATATTCCAATCTTTCTATGGGTCAGAGGCAAACTGGGATACTTATAGAATTTTGCAAGGCTGCAGGACTTGAATTCACAACAATGGTTGAATCGAATATGAACCAAATTGAACCAAGCTACTGGTCAAACTCCTTGAGAATCTCATATACCTTGCGTGTGCTTCACGTTTTGCTTTGGCAACCCTGGCTAGTCTTGCAATCTCCTCCTCATCAGTGTCACTTGACTCCTCCTGGGCATCATCAGGTTGTTGGCTCTTCTGTGTATTCTCTGTTTGCTGTGTTGGTGTCCCTTGTTGAGCGATCACACCTGCGGCATTTGCTCCACTGTTTGGGGTTGCTGTGCTTGTCGAAGTCGAAGGTGCAGGGCTAGGACGACCAGGTGTCCTATGGAAATTGTCGGTTGACTTTCGCCTCAAGCATTCCCGAATGGCCTGTGTTTGTGGGGTATTTGGTGCAGTGGCACTCTCAGTCTCATCCTTCACTGGCTTTGTGGGTGCAGCCTTGGCTTTGACTGCTGTCGACTTTGCTGCTGGGTGTGTGACTTGACTTTTGGCCTCAGTGTCTGCGCCCAAGACCTGCTTGCTCTGAATGGCTCTACTAAGCTTCGGTTGTGAGGCCTCATCATCAACTGCTGACGGAGATTTTTTGATTTTTTTGTTCATCGGGGTGGTGAGTGCTTCCTGGTCTTTCTTTGCGGCTTCATATCTTTGCTTTGCAATGTTTTGCACTTCTTCTGCTGATGCTGGAACAGTTGATGCATCAGAATCTGGCGCAAATAGATTACACAACCAGGCCCATTCACAGAGAGGCATGCATAAAGTGGATTTTGAATAGTTGCGAATATATGAAGTACTATCATAGATAAAAAAAAGTTCAAGCTTTGGTAAAATTTGATCGAATCATATTATGAACATGTTGCATAGGTCTGGCCAGCAATGTTTTTCAAACTTGAAGATTAGATGAAGATCCAACAGAATCTGCTCAGGTATCCAACACTACGATGGCAATTTGGACATCAAGACTGTCATGGCTGGTTCCTTTACTGTATCTCATCAGTGGCTTTGTTTGCAAGCTGGGACGGGAAGCTGCCTGCTTCTGGAGGTTGTTTTCGTCGAGCTGGCTTCGGTCCTTCATTTTCTGGCTTCTCATGGGTCCTTTCGCAAATGATATACAGATTTGAGGGAAAATGAGTGAATATACCAATTCATTTTCATTTGATGGGGGTTCCACAATTAATAAGGGTCCCAAAAATAATAGGGTTTCAAAATGGTGTGTTAAATGCCAATTTGGCATCCCCATCTGTTTTGGACACCCCATTCAAAGGAAAAATCTTTATAATTGGATGGGATGACAATGCCAAAAAATGAGACCAATCAAACAGCAGATTATCAGTTTGCCCTGATGGCAGTTGGACCAAAAGATCCATGAAGAACTTTTGGTCACCTTGAAAAGGTATGACACAGTGGTCACGCAGTTCTTATTTATTATTTCTTTGCAAGCTTCTTGCGACAAATGAAGTGGAACACACCCCAAACAGCAACTATACTTAAAGAACAGCCACCACTTAATTTCAATTGAGGGCAACGGTGAATCGGTTGAATCCAGGGTCAACCCCAATCCTTGGCATCTTCACATCTTGTTCTTTCCCTTGCTCACCATGATCCCGGGCAGCGGCAACCCGCTTTGCACGACGGGTCGCCCTCTCCACTAGTTCGGCAATTTTAGCAGTGGACATGACCTAGAGCCTCAAATCGCTACTCAGGTAACCAATGGTAAGCAATCATCAGAAAAAAACAATCACAAGTGACAAATCCTGGTCCAGACCATGGTGAATTTTGTTGTTTCACTGTTCATGAGTGAAATGAGTGTGAAATAGCTGTTTTTGGGGAAACAGACTTTCACGCCTAAAAACGGTCTTTCACGCCTAAGAACTGTCTTTCACGAAAATTTCACGCTAATTTCACGGTGATTTCACGGTTGATTTTTTTCTTAAGGACCAGGTTTTGGATTGCAATTCTGTACGCTACAAAGTACGGCCCCAACGCGCGATGCCCTAGATACCAACCACTATTCAAAAGGATTTCCTATGTTTCCCTGTAATCTATTGGAGAGATACCACCATGAGCTCATCAGGGCAGCGTTGGTAGTGCAAATTTTATGCACCATATTGTATCAAGTTGAAACAGTGCATTGATAGGGTTTGAACTCAATCATCCAAGCCCCCAGTCAGCAACGGATGGTAATTCCCGGCATCCCTCTCAGATCTAAGCAGCTCACGCAGCTCAGAAAGGGCTGCGTGCCTCCAACCATAGGGAGCCTGCAGTAATTGGAGCGGCACTCATAAAATGCCTGTTAAATTAACTTACTTGTCATGACAAGTTGTGGATATGGCCGGGATATGGCCAGGCAACACCACAGCCCACCCTCAGCCTTCGTCACATTTGGGCGCTGTGGGTCCAGCAACGCACTGGTAGGTGGATACATGGCATTGCGAAGCTCTTGGACGGAGTCAGATTCTGCCTCACAATCTGGGAGGTGACTGCCACTTCGCAGCATTCAGAACACCAAACGGGATTTTCACAACACAAATGCGCTAATAAATAAAATATTATATAGCCATGATTCGGGGATTTAATAACCATGGGATGATCCTCCAAGTGCCCATTACTCTTTCCTCAACTGACACACTTTGCGTGGTTGAATGGGGATAGGATACATTCAGCCAGGGATCTAGCCATTTGCGATGGTATCTGCAAATAGCCTTCCCATATCCAGGTGGGTAGATCTGCGAAGCACGAAGTTGAGCAGGGATTCCACACCTAAGTGAGAAATCGCACATGAAGTTAGTATTCAGACCACTAATATTGTTGATGGAGGAAATCCTGCACAGGGCATAGATGGTTTTGAAATTATTGATAGGGTTTTGACCATAGTAGGCGGTGCAGAATTTCCTCCATCAACAATTGTGAGGGTGGTCAATGGTACTTGGTGTCAACTGTTACAAAACCAATAAGTTTGGCACACCCTTTTCTGACCATTCTTATCCACATACTTCCGAGCCAACGCCTTGTTCTTTTGCTGGTTCTTCTTAACCCGCTTTCGCACTGACTGTGTCAGCTTGTGTTTCAATCGGTAGGCCCAAGGACTCAGTGGGAGTCAACATGCCATACAGGATTGCCAATTTTATGGATGGACACTAGAATTCACATTGCACCAATTCTTGGCCCCAAACGCTGTTCCAAAGGTCAATGTTGGCTTCAATGTTGAATGGCCAAAGGATCCCATAAAACTCAGGGCAATGCAGAGATGGGTTCGGTTCATGTTTAATTACAAAGGTTTCACATTCAAACTGGTGGCTTAAGGCTCCAGGAAATAGTGACCCAACAATTGTAAATTCTGAGGGTCTAACAATCTCGTGCTTAGCCATGGTCGGAAGAGGGCGATAGTCTTGGCCAACCAAACAAAGTAAGGGAAGAAAATCATCAGGGTGGATGATGGCTGCTCCACCAAACACACCCCAAGCCGAACAAAGCTTAGCAAGATGAGAAGGCAAAGTCTCGTTGTAATCCTTGGCCGGTTCACCATGGGAGTTCAGGGGTAGTAGGGTAAAATATTCATCTACTATTTCTGAGGAACCATGGCTATTGTAAAATATATACCACATTGATTAAACTATATGGATATAGACGATATAGATAGATTTAGTCACAGTCCAGTGCATAGGTAAAATCCAAAACTATTGGAATGTTTGGTGATGAAACAAATGAAACAACCCATACATTTGGATTAGTTGGGAACCACCCACCCTTGGACTCAGTCCCACCAAACAACAACCCTGACCAATTGAGACTATGTTCTTGTTGGCATTCTGGACATATGCTAGTCGAGCACCCAGTGGCCTCCACCTGGTCCTTCCACTGGTGAACATGTTAAGGAAGATGAAACTTCCACACGGAGGTCCCGCTGTTGTCAGGGCTCCCGGTTTGCCACGTAAGATCAACTGTATACTTCGTAGGAAGCCTTCCCTGCAACATAGCAAAGGAATGCAAATGTCCAGTCCAATGTTGATCAATGATATATTGTAGTAATTGGTACTGTATATATAATATAATATGTTATTATATTCTATTAAATTATATTATATTATATTATGTTATATTATACGTGCATAGTTTTATACATTTTATATTATATGATTATTATTGATATGATATTATATGGCATATATGGCTTTTCATTCTTTTCTTTTCTTTTTCTTTTCTTTTTTTTCTCTTTTTTCATTTTTTCCCCAAAGCAGCTCTGTAGCCAGGCGGAGGAGGAAAAAAAAAAAAAGGGAAGAGGCGAAAGTTTGTCGAAGGTCACGTGGCCTTCCAGGGTGTCAGCCGCGAAGTGGTTGGCTGCCCCCCCCCGGCGCTCCTTACCAGCCGGGGGGGGGGGCCCACAAAGGAAGGCAGCAGAAAAAAAAAAAAAACTCCACAAAGGGAGGGAGGGAGGGAAGGAATTAGAACTCACACTCAATCTTCTTTCTCATTTTTTGCCTTGACAATGGAATGATATATTATACACTATTATGATATATATTATAATATCAATTTTTATTGATATATATTATTCTATAAAATATTAATATATTATTAAATTATATTCTATATCTTATCCTAGTTTGCAGATACCCTTGACACTAAGGTTTCGTACCGACTGTTTGGTTAAAAAAATATACAGCCGTCACTCCAGTGTCGAGAATTAAGACAACCCTGGTTGCAGATTGCAACGAATCAGTGAGGGCTGGACGGGGTAGTGATGTCCCCACATCTCTGAGACAGTTCAATATCGAACCCTTTCCTCAGCCCAAGAACTTAATTCAGTTGTGCTATCACAAGTCTTCAAGGAAGCATCCCTTAATGGATTTGATTGTATGGATGCATGCATCTTGTGTTGAACCATATGTTTGTGATGCATGAGGCCCACACGATTTGAGGTTCTCGTTGCCTAGTGGCATCATGACTGTGGCAAAACAAATATAATATATGTGTTAAAGAACATTGAAGTCTCACATAGTTATTTCAAAGTGGCACTGTGAGTTGACAAGAGAAGTAAGGTTCCCACAAAATGCTGTATTGATTGCTCCCTGCCCGCTGAAGAGATCAATATTGTGAAGATCCTTGGTGTTATGACGTCAGGCAACCACCATCTTCAATAGATAGACAATTGGTGAGACAACACAATTCAGATTGCATAAATTTGCAATGAATGAACTAAGTTCAAAACTCTGTGGGACAAACTCGCAGGAGTAGTCTCGACCACATAATCGATGCAATGCAGACTTAGCTCAACATGTGGATCGTGGACAGTTGAATTTTAAACCATAGGATCTGCACATGGAATAATGGCCCACAATAACATAATCATTTCATACATGTAGGTCCTTCGGGGAAAATTCACTGACACATTTAAATACATCCATCCCCTGCCCAAACAAACCTTGGGTGCAGCCAGTTAGCAACACCAATGGTGCACCCAGGTACACCAGCAAGCTCGAAGCACGACGGCTCAAGGCCAGGGGTGAATTTGGGGCCATTTTGATGTACCCTATGACCCTATATACCCTATCAAAACAAATGCCAGAAGCTGCGGGATATAGAACGATGTTGATGCAAATCCAAGGTGCTAGTGCCATGAAGCATTCCCAATCCAAAATGAGAACATTGATTCAAATCGAGTTGAAACAATGTAGCATTGGTGACATGGTGCATTGAAAGTGCCTTACCTTTTCTCTTGCACTGCCCACCCATGGGTCAAGACAACAGATCAAAAGTTTGTGTGGACACACACACATACGCATGGAGCTAGCCAGGGGTCCCTTCGGAAATCAGTTCTTGGGCCAAGTAGGTACAAATGATATCGTCATAATAGTGAATCATAGATGCTGACCTGGTTGATCATAATTGTTGAACATATTGATAGCCGTTGACTGAACCAAGACCCCCCTATGCGAACTACATCGCAAAACCCAACTGCCAACAGCAGTCATCAGTCAACATCTAACGAGTTGTTTTGCTCGTCATTTGCACCACTCTCATTTCCACCATCCAGTTCATCCTCATCCGAATCTGGGTCATCGAGTGGGACCCAGCCAGCAAGATGCACAGCGATTTCCCACCTGGGCAAAAGTGGAATAATCTATACAACTCAGGGGAAGCAGCCGAAAGTGGGAATCATCTAATTCAGGGGAAAGAAAGAAGGGCACATAATAATGACAAACATGCCATATACACTAGCATTGCCATACCCTCATGTCTCAGAATGTCATAAGGGCATCACGCTTTGTCATAGTCGTACTTTGACCACGCCAAACTTACACCTCTGCGCACATTGGCCTTAGCTATAGCAGTGTCTTGAAAAACATATACTATGTCCAATAATTCAAACAATGATTGCAGGTAGGTGTGTTGACAACTGACATTGTAAGATGTCTTGCTGAGACACATTCAACGGTGGGGTGACTTTGAATGCCTCATTGATATCCAAGATCCGCTGCTTGGGAACCTTTGAGACAAAGAAGGTACGGGTGTCCAACCTTGGAATCATTGAATGCCACTATCAGGATACCCCAGACATAGGTTGAAATAAGTTCACATCAGTGTTTAACTAATGTTGAACTGGGTACCCAACACTACTCCAATCGATCCAGGTTCCTCCACAGCTCCTGCTCCGAGATCCTTCGGCATGGTGAGCGTGAAGGACCTGGGCAGAGAGTGATTCTCCCAGGGGGTACCTACAGTATCACTCGACCATGTTACATATTAGATTAGTAAGTTGCAAAGACAAAGCCTCTTGATGTTTCTACTCAGTAATTGTTCAGTGTTTGTGGAAATTGTACTTCTAAGAATGAAGCTTGCGAGGGTACGTGAACTCCCCTGTTCTTTCAAAGTCTTCGACAGCTTTCTGAACATCAGCAGGGACAACAAAGGTAGGTGAGTTCTTGGATAGCTTTGCCACTTTTGCCATTGCGATCTCCTTAATTGAGCACAAGAATTGCCCGGGGAACCCTGAACCTGTTGAACCCCCAAGCAATCCCAAGTAGATTATATAGGTTGGGTGTTCATGCCACAAACTCCATTACCATAAATTATTGACCCGAGCAATTCATTGAACCAAATTGCAACTGGGACTTGTTGTGGCTTTCTGGTTTCAAGATAGATATGTCAAGAATATAGCACATAAAACACACTATTGTGATTCAAATGGTGGGCCCAATCGGAATATGCCCGCAAAAATTTCTGTGACTTTAAAAATAACACAATCTTGGGCCATGTGCATGTGGAGACACAAGCACTTAGAATATACAGTAATCCTGCAATTAAGTTTCCATAGCTTCTTCATCAAACTTTGGAACTTTCTTGACTTTCTTTGGTTTGCCATTCCCAGCAAGCATAGCAAACTCATCTTCTAGGTTTCTCCTGACCCCCTCCGAACCAGATTGGGCCGCCTTCTGTTGCTCAACCACCCGCTTGGATGCTGCGGATGCTAATTTCATCGGACTTTGCTTTGTCTTTGTCTTTGGTTCTTTTCCCATCTCCCCCTTTCCCTGTCCTGGATCTTTGTCCTCCTCCATGGCTTTCTTCGCTCGGTCTTCTTTCGACTTCTTCTCCTTGGCAATCTGTTCCAGGTCCTCATCCTCCTTCATGCCTTTCTTCCCTCGGTCTTCTTTCAACTTCTTCTCCTTGGCAATCTGTTCCAGGTCCTCATCCTCCTCCATGCCTTTCTGCACTCGGTCTTCTTTCTTCTTCTTCTTGGTGTTCTTGTCAGTTTCGTCATCATCCTCCATGCCTTTCTCCTGCTCGTTGCGGTCTTTCTCTGCAACTTTATGTTTTTCATCTTGGCTCTTTCTCTTCTTCTTCACTGTAGGTTCTGTCTCTGCATCTTCTTTGTTCTCTTCTGCAGGGGATTTGTCTCTTTTGGCAGCGCCTCCTCTGCCTCTGCCCCTGCCCTTTCCTCTTCCTCTCCCTCGTGGTTTCTGTTCTGTGGATTCTTCCTCAGCATCACGGATCATTCTGTCCTCATCTTCCATGCTTCCTTCTTCAGCACACCCTTCACCTTCTTTCACAGTCTGGCGTATCTTTCGTTGAGCAACGATGATATCATCATTGGTTGTGTAGGAAGCTTTTTTGGTGATCTTCTCTGCCAACTTGTCTGCCTTCTCCTCCAGTTTAGGGTTTGCGTACTCCTGGGGTCCTACTCCAAGACAGCCTTCAGTGTCTTTGAAAGCGCCACTTCCAGGGTCTTCATCTTTTCCAGTTTCTGGGCTGTCGTCCTGAATTTCAATTTCTGCATCCTTCGTCTTGCCTTCCTGAGTCTCATGGTCTATGTTTTCTTGTGTCTCCTCACATGGTTCGTCCCAAAGGGACTGCTCCATGTGCTCTGGGGGAACTTGGCTATCCTGCACTTCTTCCTCAAACATATCATCTTCCTGAGGCTCCTCAATCTCCTGAACCATTGCCTCAGGGATCAAAACCTCCTCAGGTGGATCTTCTTCGTCTTCCTCCTCTTCCTCATCCTCTTGTGTTTCCTCTTCTGCCTCATGCTCCTCGTCCTTGGCTTCCTCCTCCTGAGTCTCATTTGCATCTTTGGAATCTTTCTTGTCAGTTTTGGACGGTTCTTCTTCCGTCTCTTCCTGACTTGCAGTCATGTCTCCCTCTGGTGGTGAGGATATGTCCATGTATGGTAAAGTCTCTTGCTCGTCTATGTGTTTCATCTTGCGGATGGACCCCTGCACCACCTCTTTTTTCTTTTCCTCCCCAAGCTTCTTTTCCGTTTCATCTTTTCGGTCCTGGATTTCGGAGCACATGGTGCCTCTGAGTGTTGGGTAATGTTGAGTAAGGACCAGTTTTGCAAGTGGATAAGAAGAAAGGCTGACCTGGGGAAATAGAATAGCTGCCTAACCTTCAAATCACATTTTTTCCCAAATCCAAGGTTCTCTGATGTTACTTGGGTGATGAAGCATCAGCTGGTCCTTTCTAGCTGTTGGCCCTCTAGTCGCAATCTTCTTTCCAGAAGCGCTGAGCATGCCGACAGCCTAGTACAGAATTTCAAAAAGTATATATTATCGATTAAACATGATTAAACCATGCCGTATCATACTGCATGGGGTTGTCACAATGCCAGGACTGAACAGGAATGGAAAACAACATAGACATAGACACACACACACACATTTCGATGCCAGCCTGCAATTTGGCCCGTATAATGCTCTTGAGCTTGTTCATCTCAGTATGTCCACCCCTTGGTATTCCACTAAGATTGGAAACTGATCCAATCAGTTTGATGGATTCGCTGATGGCTCATTCTGTAACACAATGCCCTTACAGTAAACAAAATTGAGCTAAGTCACCGGGCTTTGGAAGCCTTCTGAAACCGGGTCATGGCATATTGGGCCAGCGCACGTTGCACACCTCCCTCCATACTGGCCCAAACCTGGCTGGGTTTGGCCAGATCAGTAATTCAGTGAATATACCTGCCCTGAGGCCCCCAAACAACAGCAGCATATTACATTATATATGAGGGTTTTCATCATATTATTAAATTTTTAGTGCTCCCCAAAACTCCCAGAACTGAGTTGTGGCAGGAAACCCTGTGGTCTGACTCGTGCTTGAGTTGCGGGTTGAGGCCGTACGTGATGCTGGCCCATTTCAAAGCCTCCTGAAGCCACCCAGTGTAAGTTGGGAAGTATCCCCCTTGAAGATGGCATCTAGGTCAAAATACAAACAACCTAGGTGTATTCTGATGTAACAAGCATTGTATTTATGACCATGGATGTGTTTTGGTCCTCCGATTCGCCATCACTCGGAAGTTTGTCAGCGAACTGGGCCAAGTACTCACTAAGAAAGTGGTTGTTGTCCTCCTGTATGACCTGCCATTGGCATATAAAGGGGAGTAAAGGGACACTAGTTTTTTTCACCAATGAACACCTGTAAATCACCCACACTCAACAAACTGCTTTGATGCATTTCATCTGTATCAAACATGGCACTTCCATTTCATACACTGTCTCGCCCTTGCAGAACCGATCGACAAAGCTGAATGGTGGCACCTGAGTGAATGCAAATAGATTGGTATGGCGGATGCTTCCTGGGACCTTATAGTGTTCCCCAAATAGATGGAAAAGTAAAATTCCTCATAAATAATTAGCGATAAAATAAAAGTTATTTCCATCTCTTTGGGGGCCAGCATAAGGCACTAACTAAAATTTGAACATTCCATCTCTTCATTGGGATCAAACCATTGGTTGCAACCATATGTGCATACTAGTCACCATTGAATCCTTATCTCGTAACCCTGCCCGCTTTCTCAATGCCGCCCTCCGCTTGATGATGTAGCCATCCTCATCCAAAAGATCTTTGTAGAACTCCTTGGCTGCCAGGGGCTCTAGGACAGCATGGAGAAAACCCAGGTGTTGATAAACCATGGACCAGGGAATTATTATCCAACATTACCAAATTTGTATGATTGTCACCCTATTCTTATTGGGCGGTGATGTTCCCACTAACCATTATCAACAATTTTTCCTTATTGCCCAATTACTATTTTCATTATTTATCCCATGCTTTTGGTTTGTGATGTTCCCATTAACCATCACCACCCATGTATTTATTGTCAATTTTTATCCATGAGGCTGATAGGGATTAATATTGTTGCTGGAGGAAATCCTGTACTACCTGGGATGTAAAGACCCTACAAACAATAGAAATAATGGGGTATTTGATATACCAAATTTCAAATGGTGCACGATTTGTTTCAATCAAGAGTACCATCACTGTCATTTTTGAGGGTTGGTGGAACCGGGTGGAACTAGACATGGGTGCAGATTGAACACCTGCGGTCTTCACTGGTGCAGGAAGCCGTCATTGCTTTGTCCAAAGGCTGCCCGTGGTTCAATGAATCCATTATATGATATGCATTAATTAATTAATTCATAGATTGCTTCTTTGACATCTTCCCCAACAAACTTGAGTTGGTGCTTGGTAAAATGGGCACTTGAACCAAATGGGCAAAGGCATCGAAAATTAGATGCCTCAAAATACCGTAACCCTGCACAATTGTGCGCAATCATTGAAAAGCTGGCGGGTGTGGCACGGCTGTGGGGCTTGGCACCTGGATGAGCTGGTTGGGGTTGCTCAAGGCCAATGTCAAGGGCGCGTCCTAGGCCAAACTACTACTATGTGAAGGAAAAGGGGCAAGCAGGGGGCAAGAAAGGAATTCAAACCATCCAATGTGTTTGTTCGATGCTGAGCTGTGAACTTCTTTTCAAAGCTTGCTTGATTCTCATCTGTAGAGCTGTGCCTAAGATGCACAAAGAAGTTCGAAATCAAATCTTTTATCCCAACATTGAGTGTTGGGTAAGTAAACAAATAATGGGGTTGCCAATAAGGATTTGCAGCCGAGGGTGCTGATGAGTTGGTGCTCACCGCATAGTTCCAATAGCAGTAGCAGTAGCACAGCGAGCCATGGGGCAGGCATTATCGAAGAGCGAATTGATGTTTATCCCATTGATTTATGATACGATAGGATTAATCGGTTACAAGTATATGCTATCTTCTTTGATGTCTGGGTACCAATTGATCTTTATCCCATTTAGTACCATGTATTCACTAATTAATAGAATTAATAGGTTACACATCTGTTATTTTCTATGATATCATATGATCTCCTCCCTTGAACCAGCTGGTGCAGAAGGGTGAAACAGACTTTCCTGCCTAAGAATGGTCTTTCCCGAAGGACGGTTTTAACAACTGTCTTTGACTAACAGGGTATATATATATATACCTAATATCCATACGACCCAGGGATTTTGGGGGTAGCATCTTTTCAAAGACATTGCCAATGAACAAATCTGGGTTCCCTGCAATGCTACACAGCCACATCCAAGCAACATACGTTGCGTCTTCGATGTCTTCGCAAGCCACATGGCATTAATAGGACCGAATGTCCTGCCCTGTGCATGTGGAATTCATTGCAGGAAGAATATGGAAAAAATATGAGAAATGCTGTAGCCGAAACTAGCGCTCCACAGTGCTCCGCACTTCGTTAAGTCGGCAATTTTGGGGGCGGCTTCGCAAGTTGAAAGTGTTGAACAGTGTTGAATCAGCTTGAGGTTTATGAATGCAGCTGGATGGAAAAATGATGGGCTGCAGGTGGCAACCCAGTGGGTCCCCAAAAATGCCCAAACGCACCATTCACTTGGAAAACCCAAAAGTATCCAAACGTGAAAACTTGTCGAATCACTGGCTTTCAATATCTGCCGCAACATTCCTTCACTTCTGAAACGCTCTTGTAACACCCACCTACAGCAACTCAAGACGTTGGCTGAAGGGAAAACCTGCAGCAACTCCCCATAATTCATGGTTTCCAGTACATCTTCCAACCAATCCATTTCATCACCTTACAACCACAACCAGCACGGCCCTGCAAGTGCCACTTTTTGTTGCCTCTTCGACGTGGTGGTTTCTTACCATGCTCGACCTCATCATCGTCATCGCTGTCTTCCTGGACAAGTAGCCATTCCTCAGCGCGGGCCGTGGTCAAACTTCAGAACTGAGCTCAATCAAAATAGACAGATGTACACTATGATCATTGTATAATTCATCGCAACATATGCATTTAGGCAGGTCACACGGACACAGATCGATATATATATATATATATATTTATATTTGTATATATATATATATATTCCGTAGATATAGATATATATAGAAAAATGATCCATATGTCTTGTCTTTTGCATCTTAACCTTTGCTGGAGCGCAAGTGGTCCAAGTGAGCAAAAGAAACACGACACATCCTCTCCCATACCATGAAATAATCGTTAATAGTCTAGGTATCCGCTCACTTGTGGCTTAGAAATGCTTAGAGAACCAGCACCAATAGATTAATTGGGCAGCAAGTACTGTAATCCTTTATAATTAATCACCAATGGTCCAGGGGTTGCTCCCAACACCCCAGATACAACGGGGAAAAACTAGGGCCTAGGAAAATAATGGAAAATAGATGTATGTAAAATGACCAATCATGAAACATAGATGTATGCAAAATGACCAATTTACCACCCTTTCTGAATGTGATTCAGCACCAAGTTGAAGCATCCCTAATCCAAGTGTCAAATTCTGGAGCTTCCTTCCCAGCAGCGTACCATCGAGCACATCGCCGGTTCCGTCGTAACTCCTCTGGGTCCAAGCAGAACCGCCGGCCCGTGCCCCACCAAAGCAGACAGGTGCCATAGTCATAGCCTGAAAACTGCTGGGTGCCACAATCATAGAATTGGATGATGGGAAAATTTACAGGAAAGCCCTATATTTGATGGTAAAAACAATGGTTTCCTGTAAATTTTCCCTTAAACCAATCCAGCGACACAAAATATGAGGATGTTCATCTTGGATTTGCTTAAGGAACCCCTGAAAAAAAAAACAGAACTATTCTCCATAGATTTCCCCGTGCAGTGGATTTCCCATGGGGAAAATACAAATCATCTTCAGCAAACCCAGGTAATGGAAGATTCTTGCATAGCTCGGGATGAGTGTTGGAGATTCATGGGATATTCTTGGAGAATTACGGGATACTATTGGATATATTTGGAATTGTTTGAATATCTATGGCATGTTCATTCGTTGTCTCAATTTTTCGGGGGTCACCAATTTATCTATAAGGCAGTTGCGTATCTTCAAATACATCTTCATGGGGAAAATTATCATAAACATTGACCGTTTTGGGGTTCCAAATTTTGAGACAACCCCAAAAGAAAGTGCCAACTTAATCTGCATTGGGACAGTATGAAATGCATGCAAATAATATCAAATAAGTATTGATGCTGGATCTGCATAGCTGTTGGCTTCAACCAAGCCCAACATATGTTGTTATTGTCAATTCAAGATCACCACCCAAAACAATCAAGCCCAAGGATGGACAAACTATAGATACCCTCTGGTTATTTAACATAGCCATGGAAAATCCCTTGTAAATGGAGGTTTATAGCTGGGAAAATCATCTATAAATGGGCCATCTATACCATGGCGAACTGTTAGTCATAACCAGAGTGTAACAGAAACCGCTCTGAAACATGTTGAAACAGTTTCCAGTGGCGTACGGAGAAAGTTTTGCTGCTCTTCTTCTGTTCTCGTGTGCAATAGCCTCTGACCTCCTCCGCGCCCGGTTCCTCGAACCACATCTGATAGGTTTCACCTTTGGGACCTTTCCAAACACCATCAAGGCACTTCGTCACTCTTTCCCAATGCTCGTCAAAGTCGGGCCACCATTGTGACCAGTCCAGTTCACTAGAATCACTGGAATCACTGGACTCATCGCTTTCTTGAATTTCTTTGGCCTTTGCGGCTCTCTTGTTTTTCTTTCTGTTCTTCACCTTCTCCCTGATGTTCTTGGGGTGCTCTTCCGTGACCTTCACCGGTTCTTCCTCTTTCATATCTTTCATCCCTTTCTTTCCTCCTTTCATTCCTTTCCCTCTCTGACCTTGCTGACCTTTCTCCTGTTTCTCCTGTTTCTCCTGGCTCACCGTCTCCTTTCGCGCCTTGTCAGCCTTGCCGACCTCTGCGACCTCCTCCGGCTCACTGGAAGCACTGGCAGAGTCGGAGGAGAATCCCGGCAGTTTGTGCAGTGGGTCGAAGCGGCGTCCCGTGGCAAGGCTCACCAATTGATCCAGGCTGCTGGACAAATCGTCCTGCTTCAACTGCTGGAAGGCCGACTTTTCCTTGGCCATGTTCACATTTTTGCCAGTCAAATGCGTCACAGCATGGCCCCAATGCCAAACTAAGGTGCTGGGAGAAAAATCCCCAGAGTCACCGACTGCCACTAGCAGACCCGCAGTGGAGGAATCATATTTCTTCCTCAGCCCATTGGGCACTGCAAAGAGCACATCCGCTTCCACAGCCACTTTCTTGGGCCAATATTTGGTAGCCGCCCTTTGCAGCACATAGAGCCTGCGATTATCCTTAGTATACCAATGCTGCATGGACTCCATTGGGATGCTTTGCTTGTTCCGCATTCCTGGTGCCCAGCGAACGATTTCGATGTTTGGAAAGGGCGGCTTTAGCAACAGATCGTAGTTGTGTGGGGACTGTGGGTCTTTGGGACCCTGGAAGGTTTGAACTTCGACCAACCCCACAGCTGCCTCTAGGTTCATTCCATTTCGAAAGGTGCTTCTCACATGTTCCTGTGAAAATCTGACCGCAAGCGGCGAGATCAACTTCTCCTCATACACGGGCATTGCGTCAAAGGCAACAAACCATTTAAGCCGAAGAATGCGTCTTGATTTCTACAGTTGTTTTGATGCAGCATGTTGCAACTGCTCAGAAAATTAATTTTAAAAAAATGCGGCGCATTTTACTGTGTTGCATGTATTGGTAAATGTGAAATGCGAACCATCGGCGTGTTGCCCAAAGAAATGCAGCAACTGATGCCATACGAAGAAATGCGGCCGCTTGTGCCAGGAAGCGGAGGCACAAGCGAAAAATCCGTGACTCGCGCGTGGGACAACCACCCATACAGGCCATGTCGCCCAAATGATCAACATGGGCATCATCAGTCCGCTGAAGTGACTTGGAACAATGCTACAAATTACCATCTGGTTGTGACTAACAGTTTGCCATGGAAAGATCCACCATTTTTAAGAACGGTAAACCATCTATTTCTATGGGCCATCTATACCATGGCTATGTTAAATAACCAGAGGGTACTACAAATCTTAGTTAGTATTTTGTCCTTTTCAGGTCTCCCCATGCAAATGACCGGCCGAACTCCCAAGCTGCATTCTTGTTTATGCCTCTGGCAATCAACCATGTCTTGCTGGAAATTGCTGCATTTATTTCAATCAATTTTCCCATTCAAATATATTCATAAATGCTCATTATGAGGCATGTCCAGTATTTCCCGGCGGCCCATTCCCATGTTTGATAGCAGTTTCGCGGGTACATTTTTTTGGCTCCTCAGCATATCAGTTGGCATCCACTGCTTGGCTAAGCATCTGCAGTGTCAAGCAAGCACAAGCGAGTTTGCTGGCTGTCCCAGCGACAGAATTCTAGACAGCTGAAAAGCAAAGGCGGGCTGCACAGTTTGGAAGATGTATCTTCAAATATCTGGAAAGAATCTTATAATATATTACATATATGTACATTGCATGAATATATCACACACACACAGATAGATATATATATATATATATATGCGTGACTCACATATATACAATCTGAATATATATATATAATACATATATAATATATATGAATCATATCATAAAATATTCCCTAGACAACTACACGCATTCACCGGTTTTTTAAGCGCAGAATTCTGTCAGTTGACTTTCTCAGCGCCTCAGCGCCGCTACGTCCCGGCGCAGCGAATGTCTGACTCGATTTGAAAAACAGGGTCATCCTCTTACATGGTAAACATTCAAGGGTAAGGGGATGTTTCCCCCATAAACTTGGGTTTACCCAATTATTCTAGGGTTTATGGATGTTTATGGGGGAAAACATTCACCAAGTGTTGGAAAAAAACAGATTACATGGTATAGATTCATTAAACATGCGGTCAGATTGTATGGTATAGTAACCCCCAAAAAGAAAGAAATTCGTGTTTCCAGGATGTTGGCAAAATTTTTGATTTACTATGAATTACTTTACATTTCCCAGGTTTCTCACTGTCCCATCTTCTGGGGTAACACTTTTTTAGTACCTTCAGGGAGTGAAACATGTGAAAGGCACATAAAATATCACGAAATCAATGGTACACCTAGACCCTCCGTACACTAAGTACTCATTAAACATTGGTGAACGTATTGAAATATCAATTACCCTCTGGTTATTTAACATAGCCATGGAAAATCATCATTTTTAATAGGTAAACCCAGGTAAACCATCTATAAATGGGCCATTTTCCATGGCTATGTTAAATAGCCAGAGGGTAATTAAGATGTTAAGGGAAGAAACCACTTTTGATGGGTACCTTGGAGGGTTTAACACTTCAGTACTGTATGCTGGCTTCAACCCTCCATTTTAACATGTTATTTCCTATCATCATCCCAGATGAAACCACAAAACCAAACATGTTCCCGGTAAAAAAACTCACACTCCTAAATGGCTCATAACTTCATTCAATTTCATTCATGTTCATTCATCTACCAAGGATTCACTGGTCACATCGCCGGGGGGGCATTGCCGTCAAGCCGGGGCGATCTTTAGCAGCCATGTGGCCCCGCTGTCCTCCAGATGCAGACTGTGTCACCCTTTTCTTCCACGACCGTTCGGTCCATATTTATAACCCATAGGATCCATGTATGCTATATATGGTAACATTTACCATCAATATACCCCCAATGGGATCCTATGGGTAAGAACTTATGTAAATATTCGATATTATCGGACATAATATGATCATAGTGGTCATACACATGGATGTGTTAATGCAATGAAAAAGATGTGTGGAAAAATGTGTAATTGGAGCTCTTGGCCAATTTGATGCGTCGCCCCTTTTGGTCCAAACATCTGATTGACAGCTAAGAGCATAGGCCCGCGTAGGCTATATGTTCCATGATGTCAAGATGCGCCTAGAATTCAAGACCTCTGATTCATTGATGAAAAGGAACCGTCCAAATAGAAGCTATGTTTGGACATAGCAATGCTTATGAGACTGAGCCTCGTGCGCATCATACTTCAATGACTTTAATGTATTTCCACACATTGGTTGCCACATGCATTGTGCTGCTGTTGTATCTACATGAGTCTACACGCACAATGCAGAATATAATGTACAGTAAATATCTCAATGTATGGGTGCATGTAGTAATATATATATATTCATATGTGGGTACTACGGAATGATGTCAGAAAGAAGTCACCACCACCCTCTTCAGGGCAGAACATAAACACATCTGGGCTTAAACTAGTTGATGTATCTAGGCACCTACTTGAACATCAGCATCCATGCAGCATCTCCATAAAAATGGGTAAAAGATGGTAAAAACGAAACTTGTGGGGAATATTACATTTATTTAGCTTGTTGATGGTCTAGGAAGAACCCTTTTCTCATGTCTTTCGTTCGGTTCCAGCTGGAATGGTGGGGTGCGGAAATGGTGACTGAAGATAACACTATGAATTTTGCTGCACGTTTTTCCCATTCAGTCTGAATTTTTCGGAAGCGCCCTGTGGACAGCGATTGGTTCGCTCCAGCCACACTCGGAGAACTGATTTCATGGCCACAGGAGCACCATTTTGTGTGACTCCTGCTGCCTAGAAGAGCCTCGAAAAGCACCCAGCAAGTTCGAACAGTTTAGAACGATGAACCAGGAACCTTTTTCCGAGATCCAAGTGGTACAATTCTCTGAATTCAGAGTGAGATTCGCCAAATCTGATGATGTCACATTCTAGAGAACACCCAGCAGAGGGAACTTTCCGCTGCGTATTCTCCCACTCCCTCTCACACCTGCACGAGACATGCATTCTCAACTTTTGCCTCACAGGGTGACAATTGACATCAATTGGCGGCTGGAAGGGTATGTTTTTGCTATCCTCTCCTTATAGGGCATGATTTTGCGATATTTGCCGACTTCAAAAAACCGGAGGAATCTTCAGCAGTCCATGTCCAAAAAAAAACCGATGATTCGACGATCATAGTGCCGCAATTGCTGTACTCAGATCACCTGCTGATCCCTCCAATTCCCCAAAAGATGTTTTTCATTGTTTTTCCATTTGGGTACTTCGACTCCATCAAAAAGATTAAGTGATTAAGCTAGCACTCCACTCCAAACCAAATGTTGCGCCAAAAACTCTGCAGTGCCAAAATCCGCTCAGTGTCAGTTCATCTCAGTTCCGCGCCCTGCAGATCGTAACTGGGAACCTGGGAACTAGTCGCGCAGTTTGTCCAAAAGCGGTCCGTCCATCTTCAGATCTTCCTCATCGATCTCGATATCCAGGTCACCATCATATTGAACCTGGCAATGAAGACGTCAAAAAGATGTCGTCTTCCAAGTGCTTCAGATCTTTCAGCCTTTTCACAGATACATCTATTTATCTTATAAATAATTATAAATATAAATATAAGTATAAATATATATATATACATATATGTACAATTAATCAAATTTATATATATATGTGTGTGTTAATATATTATACTATTATTTGGAGGTTTCCTAACTTTTAAATGGAGCCCAAATCATCCAGTCATGGTCCCATGACTCATTCAAAAAGCTTCACCGATGCTTAACCCATGGTGACCGCGCCATCACGTTGATCACATCATAGACAACCTTCACCTGGGCCACCAGCTCCTGAGGTGACGCCGGAAAATCGCCATGGCTTTGTCCAATCATCCAATTAATATGTGCCACCGATGATGGGGATTCTTTGGCATGCGTCCCCTTATCAATTGAATACAATTGAATTATGTTCACATCCAATTTCAATCCAATTTCAATATCATTGTGCCAAAATATGCCAAATATATGCCAAATCTATCCAGTGTGGAGCCTTTAGACTGACATAAAGTCCTCGACCGCCCAAAAAGTATAGAAAAAGTCCTCGATTTCCGGATCATCAAAGAGTTTCAATGTCTTGGTGCGACATTTCTTCTGAGGGGTTGGTCGCTGCCTCAGAGGTGTGCAAATGCAAGATGTGAGCGCCATATATAACATGTTTCATCACCAAAAAAGTATAGAGAGTAAATAATGTAAGATGCAAATCTAAAGAATCAACATGCCAATCCTTTTTGGTTTGCTTATTTTATATCCACAACCCACGACCAGATCGGCATCTGAGGCTTCTTGCAGGACAACACGACGGACAGCATCACGTTCAAAGACGGAGTCCTTTAAAAGCAGCTGGCTTTCAGAAAACACCACAACTTACTGGATAATAATGGCTATCTTGTGGTTGGGAAACTCAATTTCGTAGGTTGTTGGCTGGCTCTTTTCATATCAGAACGGGATGAATTGGATACCCACATCGTTCCCAACAGGCTCCTAACCACTGCATAGTTGGATAACCATGGATCAATCATATCTGGTTGGTGGTATACCTACCCCTCTGAAAAATATCGGTCGGTTGGGATCATGAAATTCCCAAGATATGGACAAATAAAACATTACATGTGCCTAACCACCAACCAGATATTCAATTATAGTAAATTCAAAATAGTACTGATCCTTACTCAATGGATTGATAGGGTGTGTTGGGAAACTCTTCAGCGAAAACATCTGGAAACCATTGACACCAGCTGCATTTGCCGACTTTTACCCATCATTACCCATCTAATTTTGGAACCGGAAAAACATGGATAAACCATGAAAAACCATCCCCCAGGTCATCACCATATATGTCGTGTATAATCCTCAAATGGTATTATTGGCTCCTCACCCAAACCAGTGGATCCAGCATGATCCAGCTCCTTCCACCATGAAATCATGGGCAAAAGTACCAATTACCCAGAGAAAAATGGATGTTTTTCCGTTTTTTTCGCTTATCATTTTACTGGTTGGTGGTATACCTACCCATCTGAAAAATATGAAAGTCAGTTGGGATTATTATTCCCAACATATGGAAAAATAAAACATCTTCCAAACCACCAACCACTTTTCTACCTCTCGGACTTTCCGACACTCCAGAAAACAATGTCGGGTACATGGCTTTTCCATGGTTTTTCCATATGTTTTTCCTGGGATGCCCGACACCGACGCTGATCACATTCTTCCAGCTCTGGTGTTGGTAGCGGGAGTAAAAGTCTTTAATTTCCTGGGCGAAGGCGACCTGCCGCGGAGCGCATCGAAGGTAGCCATCATCCGAACAGCTGTTACCCTCAACAGATGTTACCCTCTTTGATGTGATGAATGGTTCATGGTTAGTGATGAATGGTTAATGGTTAGTGGTTAATGAATGGTCAATGTTAATGGATCATTAAATATAGCTATTGAAAATGGCCCAGTCGAAATAGCTGATTTACCTATAAACAATGGTGATGTTCCATAGTTTTTTGTATGTTTACCAGAGGGTCTCCGAAAACATCATCCACATATACCTTTAAACATCCACTGAGCAATGTTCGGGACCATAGCTACGTCATTCCATGATACTGGCTGACAGAAGCATGGGATTTCCAGTGAAGATGAGACCCTCCGGTAAACCTTTACATAGCGAACTGGGAAATCACCATCTTTAATAAGTAGATCAACTAAAACTGCTTGGTTGTATACCTACGCCTCTGAAAAATGTGGAAGTCAGTTGGGATGATGAAATTCCCAATATATGGAACAATAAACAATGTTCCAAACCACCAACCAGATAAATGTGCCATTTTCAATATCTATGGTAAATTACCAGGTTTCCCCAATAGATATTGATTAGCATATGACCCCCGACAAAAGCATCCACCTTTACCGTGGCGGTATACCGTGTATCTTTCCCTCATCATCCATCAGCCCAAGAAAAAATAAGCAGTAAATTCTTCCTATACGGTTGGTTAATGTTGGTTATATAAATTCCCATTACATCCCCTTAATTCTTACCCGGTCTTACCCAGATCTGATGAATTTACCAGATATCTCCGCAACAAAATCCTCCAATCCACTAGTATTGGTTATCATTATGTTCCATTAAATCGTATTCATCATCCCAATCCCATAGGATCCATGTATGGTATATATGCTAACATTTGGGATATATTGATGGTACATGTTACCATATATAGCAGCACCATGGATCCTATGGGAATTAAATACCATCAACTCACCGGAAAATCTCTGTGGCTCAAGGCCTCTTTCCACTTTTGAGGGGAAATCTCTTGCGTTTGCTGCTGCTGCGCCATCTTGGCATTGACTTGTTGCAGCCGATTCCTGAAAGTGGGGCCCAATGGTTGACACGGCTTTGGAAGGCCTTCCCTGCTTACATTATAGTTCATACATGTTAATGGTTGACAATGCTTAACTGGTTGGTGGTATACCTACCCGTCTGAAAAATATGAAAGTCAGTTGGGGTTACTATTCCCAATATATGGAAAATAAAATTCATGTTCCAAACCACCAACCAGTTAATGATGATCAGTGGTGATAATGGTGAATAATCAGGTTTACCACATTACTCCGCTAGAAACCATAATGACATGTAAATTGCATCTATTCAGTTGTTCCTTACAATTTCTGTGGCTTACTGCCATCTTCACTTCGGACTACAGTGACTACAGTAGTACACCAACATACATTAACATACATTAAGATACATTAACATACATTAACATTAGGGCAGGGGATTGTTTCAAACATTTTTTAGCACAGGGGAATGGTATCCCTCAGCAAACATCGTCGATCCCTCAGGAGTCGGCAACGCCCCTGAATGGGACTTGCGAGCTGTTCAAAGGAACATCATCGAACTGGAAATGGTGGCTTTTCCTTCACGAATTCCATTGATATCCCAATTATTGCAATGGTAATTATAGTTCATTATACCCCGTTGTGTCACGACTATTCCATCATTTTTGTTGGCTAAGTCCCCATATGCCCTCCGATTATTTAACTGGAAGCCATCGCAATTTAGTTCGATGATAAACATTCTTTACCTATCAAAACAATGATGCGTTTTCCAGTTCGCTACGTGAAAAAAAGTTCCAAAGGGTATACCAAAGCGTAGTCACTTAGAGGATCATCCCACATTTGAGACCGGTTCAAAACCTTAGTTACCCTAACATACCCTCTGGTAATTTAACATAGCTATTGAAAATGGCCATAGAAATAGTGGATTTACCCATTAAAAATGGTGATTTTCCATAGCTATGTTAAATTACCAGAGGGTAAAAACTATGGAAAGATCCACCATTTTCAATGGGTAAATCCACTATTTCCACTGGGCCATGGCTTCAACCGGGCTCCAGGCTGGCCGTTGGCCGCGTACATCCCAGGCATGGCCATTCGAGAAAGCGGGGATGACCCCCTGGGACAGGCATCAGCTGGGATTTTCTCGGAAAATGAATGTTTACCCTCTGGTAAACTCATATAACCCTTGAAAATTGGCATAGAAATCGTTGATTTACCCATAAAACGTGGTGTTTTTTCCATAGTTATACTAGTTTACCAGCGGCTAATTCATGGGAATTCACCTTCAATTCATTTATTATGCAATTTTCCCAGATACGGAAGATGATGAAACATTATGAAATTCACCGTGATCTGAGTGAACCTCAAAAAAATGGAACTTCATCCATGAACTGAGTGAAAATATGTGAAAATTACCATGAATTTCACCACGGTCACCGGGCACAAAACCCGGGCATGTCCCATCTCTCAGCCATAAATCACACGCTGTGCCGTGTGCCTGCTTGGGCTGCGTGCAACGTCCACACCTGCGGTGTCGGTGCCAGCGCTGCAAGTGATACGCCCCAAATAAGAAAGTCCTATTCAAATGGATGATTTTGGGGCACCCCCATTTTAGGAAACCCACAATATCCCACGATTCAAGGTCTCACTCAGCCGAAACGTCATCTTTAAAAACCAATGGCACTAACAACCAGTGTCTACTATAGACTTCCCATATAGTTCCCCCCCAAAAGTCCAGGTTTCCCAACACAATTTTCCTTAGATCCAGCCTTGCCCTCCCCAAATCGCCTTGCTGCTCGAAGATGGAACGTGCATAGATCACCGGCAAGGAGCTCACCAAAGGAAGCAGCGAGGGCAAAAAATTCCGACACGACGTCTCCACCCAAGGACTTAGCGCAGGGGCAGAGGAAGGCCAAGAAACGCCAGGCATGTTTTTCCAGCTGGTTGATGGTGAACATGATCCCTTTTATAGATTCTTAATGATTTGTATAAGACATTATGAAACTGTATATAAATATCACACAGTGGACTTGGGTGTTTGATATTACTTCTGTTTAAGTTGATGGCCCGCTAGTTAGAGGTCTACTATGTTCTACACCGATCTTAGACGGTCCCCAAGGGAGGTGTTTCATAGGGGGATTAGTTGACTTGTGAGATATTAACCATATGGTAATTATCATTGTATCAATATTCAATCAACAACACGTGATATGGGTTTTCAATGGGTTTTCAACATGTAATGGGTGTTCCATCTTCTTCAATTTTTGTCATACCAACCAACAAGTGTTGGTCAATGGTCACCTCCCTTAATTTTGTCCATGGCTGTAGCACAGCAAATGGCACACAGGGAAGATCATCAGGCTCCAACTCCATGGCATTGGTGACAATGACAACCTGCAAGGAGAATGCTGAGACATGGATTGAACATCTGATTGAACTATGGTTGTTAGAGCCATTGAAGAAAACAGCCAACGATACTAATGAATCATGGTTTTGTTCTGGCAAGAGAAGCGAAGCCCTAGAAAAGACCATGCCCCTTGGAGCCGTGCCGTTCCCAGCTTCATAGACATCTTCAGCAGGACCTCGACAGCAGCCTGCGCGTGACGCGGAAACTGGGACACAGCTTGAAGGTGCAGGTGAGGTTATTGATGGGCAAAATAATCACTGTAACTATGGCAACAACCCCCACAAGTTGGGATATAGGCCCCATAAGTATGCTGATAATATATATATATATAAATTATGTGTGTGTGTCCACTGGAACTGCACTCCCAAGCAGTTATTTTGCTCTTTTTTCTTGGCATGGCAGCCATTCAGCTGCTAAGTTCAACCTACCGAAGCTTCGAAAGCGAATCGCGCCTGCAACTCCCTCAATGGCTTCTGGTACTTCTCTGTAGTCGGGGCAGGTTTGAAGAAGCTCAGCACCTTTTTTCCCATGAAAATGGCCAGTTGTGTCTTGGGTGAACATGGCAACCTGGTTGGTGGTATCAACCTACCCCTCTGAAAAATGATGGAGTGAAAGTCAGTTTGGATGATGACATTCCCAACATATGGAAAAATACATGTTCCAAACCAGCAACCAGCAACATGATGATGGCTATCCCTTTTGGTCAAAGATTGTCAAGCCGTGTGGGTTTCAACATGTTTCAGTCAAGGAATCAGCGAAAACCAATCGGAGCTGATCACCATTTCGTCTGGATACTGTGGGGGAACTACACATTCCTAGACATTCCACTGGTTGGTGGTGCAATAACCATCTTGAAAAATATGAGTTCGTCAATGGGACGGATGACATCTCATATTTTATGGAAAAAAATGTTTGAAACCACCAACCAGTCCATTTCCCAGTGCTTTGGCTCAACTTGCTGATGAAATCTGATGATCTTGGAGGATGAACCAGCCGCCCCCAGCATTTCGAAAAACTCATAGGGCTGTTCCGGGAAAACTGTTGATGGACTTAACTCGAAACTCTCCGGGCTTAGGGCTTGCGCAACACTGCTACAAATTCCAATTGCCACACACACACACAGATAGATAGATAGATAGATAGATAGATAGATAGATAGATAGATAGATAGATAGATAGATAGATAGATAGATAGATAGATAGATAGATAGATAGATAGATATATGATATAGATATATGATATAGATATATGATATATGATATATGATATATATATATATAAATAATATATAGATAGATAGATAGATAAGATAGATAGAAGATAGATAGATAGATAGATAGATAGATAGATAGCTAGATAGATAGATAGATAGAGAGATAGATAGATAGATAGATAGATAGTAGAGATAGTATAGAAGATAGATAGATAGATAGATAATAGATAGATTAGATGATAGATAGATTGAGTAGATAGATAGATAGATAGATAGATAGATAGATAGATAGATAGATAGATAGATAGATAGATAGATAGATAGATAGATAGATAGATAGATAGATAGATATATGATATAGATATATGATATAGATATATGATATATGATATATGATATATATATATATAAATAATATATATAATAATAATATATATATATGTATGATTTTATATATATATATATAATAATAATGTATATGTATATAGACAATGCCATTGACTTGGGGAAAATGAGGTTCCAATCCCTTGAACGCAGTTTCCACATTTTCAGACACTCAAAAAACGCCCTGTTTGAAGCAGCGGGCCGCAGGGCGCGGGCCGCCAGCGGGCCTTCTTGTTTGCGCGTATCCAGCTCGAAGGGCAAAGCCTCACCACATGCCCCCCCCGTTCGCAGCCGTCAAGGGCATCCAGTGGGTCATTCCAAAACGGTGACTGTGGCAGCCACGTATCGTCCCAGTCGAAAATGATGATGGTTTGCTCCTTGGAGAGATGGCAATACACGGCAATACGGTGGCAACACATGGCACTACCCCTCTGGTAAACTAACATAGCGAACTGGAAAATCACCATCTTTCATAGGTAAATCAACTATTTCTATGGGCCATCATGGGCCATTTTCAACAGCAAACTGTAACAAATTACCAGAGGGTACATTGATGTACATTGCATCCTGATCGGATGGGATTTGCTTAAGTGACATGGCAATAGACCATGAATCACTGATGGGAATGTCACATCGGATTGGCGGCGGAGTTGAAACCAGCCATGTTTGATGACACCCGAAGGAGAACATCCGTACATCCCCTGTCTCCCCATTATGGCACTTAAACTTTATATGCTTTTCATATGCTTTTCATATGGTGTTTCATCCCTATTTTTGTTGGTCAAAGCCCCCAAAAATCCACCGAAACATCCAGCTCTGAGATGCCCAACAGGTCGGAAATACTCAGCCTGGCTGCCTGTGCTTACCATCGACCTCGGCGTGGCGTGCTTTTGGCGTTTTCAAGGGCGTTTTTTCGGTCCTTGAATCACTGAATCATCAAAATGTCTTTCGAATTTTCTAGAAAAGATCTATCCCACAATATGCCGCAAATCCAAAGATCTTCAATGTCTATAAAAGGTCTTAAGTCTTAAACATACTATAGATATCTATAGATCATTCTATGTCAACATCTGCAACCCAAAATCACCCAGGTTACACTCTCGGTCCCATGTGACGTCCTTTCCGCTTCGTTTCATCTCCCAGCTGGGGTCGCCTGGGTTGCCGGGCTCTATGGTCTTGCGGATGCTCGGTTTCTGTTTCACCGCCAAGCCCTTTCCAGGGGTCTGCATGGCGCGCCTTCAGCACGGACGTCGGCCACCCTGGGCCCTCCGTAAAAGTCGCCCATCATCTTAGGACTTTTACCTATCTTTATTGGCAATTACAAACGGAGGATCTAGTCTATATAGGTCTCTCTCTAAGTATTGGAACACCATGGTGAATAGTTTGATGCAATTTAATGATATAATATATATATATATATTATATATAATGTTTACTAAAACACGCATGTCTGTGTGTCCATTGGTATCTCAGTTTTGACCCATAGTGAAACCAAATGGGTGGGGCACCCTCCATTCAAACAGATTCGAATATCATTTGTCCCATGACATTGTAGACCCCAATCTGCTGGATTAAAACAGGCTTGAAGCATCAACGAACAAAAGTAGGAAAACGACACCAACAACCAACAACCATCTGTTTGGGTTGTGCTTACATCCCGGCTCCACGTCACTGACAACAAAACAACCGCAACTCGGTTGGGCTGGTGTACCAGCCATTGACAGCCCCTGTTTCACAGTTGGTAAACCATCAGCCGGAACCTTGGAACCATCGCCATGATGAGCAAGTGAGGATCGGATAAGCCTAGCGTACGTCAGTCTCCCAGTCTACCCTGTTGCTGAGCCAATGCACGTCATCCAAGTCACTGAGACGAAGGAACAACAAAAAATTGCAGTGTCAATGGCACTTTGCAACGTCACAACGCAACGCCGGCAGAAAGTCATCCGCACTTTTTCGGGAGGCGGAAGAGTCTAAGCATCTCTAGTCATCATCATCCAGAGCCTGGCGGAACATCTCAGTCACCCACCCTTTTCGGACAGGCCAAACATGTGTAGCTGGGCATGGAGTAGCATGGAGCTTCCCCCCATTTATATCCATTTATACGGACATAAAATGGTTTCAAACCTGCAAATAGCATCGTCAATTGGGATGATCATCCCATATGTCGAAATGATCAGGAAATGACAGGGAATCAAGCCATCAACATACCCTTCACCAGTCGCTTTCCCAAATAACATAGGATCCTGCCGGGAAGCCTCAAGCTAGTAACTGGTATATTTCCGGTTTATATCCAAATATATCTGTGCCAAAAAATGCTATAAACAATGCTGAAGTCCACGGATCTTTTAATATTCCCATCATATTCCCAGTATACTTGTGTTCTTTCATGGCTATATACCATAAAACACCACCATGTTATTGCCATAATATGCCCATAAAATTCCCCACCGGATCATATAGGCTATTCCCTTAGCCCCTTGAACCTCCATCTCGGCAGGAGAATCCACAACCTGTGCCCTGCCTCCAACCACGCCTTTTTGTCCTTATTCAATCTTTCCCAGCGCTGCTGAGCCATTCGTTCACGGGCCTGAAGTGAAGGTCACTGGATGGACATGGCGGCTTTAGAGGGAACCAAACGTTGAAACATGTTGAAACACTCAATGAGTCTGAAAATGAGGGATGTACCACCATGTATGTCAGTGAAAAAAGGGTTCAAACCAGTGGATCAAATGGGGTACTACTCAGTAGCCTAGGCCTATTTTCAGACAAAGCTAAATGAACGTGGTTCAAACTTGGATCAACTCTTGGTTCTCAAAATAGGTGACCCGTAGTCTTCGCGGCTATATAAGACTAGGAATTCAAAAGAATTGACACGGCCATGGTGAGATCGGTTGGTATGGTCCGTTGGTGTCGTGTTACCACCGATGGAATTCCCTGTTGGTGGATGAAGGCTTTAAATCCCCGTTGCAGCTTCCTAGCTTGAATACTCCCCCCAAAAAATGGATCAAATGGAGAATTTATCACAAGTTTAGTGGGAAACACACTGGTTACTACACACACATATAGATATACATATATACATACATACATTACATTACATTACATTACATTACATTACATTACATTACATTACATTACATTACATTACATACGTACATATTAATTATATATACAGGATATAAAAAGATAGAGAATCATGAAGTAGATAGACAATAGATTAACCAACTTCTATCTTTTTGGGGATCACTTCTCCATAGAACCCATAGTGCCTCCTGCAACTCTTGCTCTTCCTCGGAGTCAAGAACCTGGCAGATTTCCTGGTCGTGGTTCATGTTGGGCAAATAAAGGACCTAAAGTTGCTGGTGCTTGCAATGAAGATATATTAAAATAGTAGTGGTATTTGAACAATGTATAGAAATAGTTAGTTAGTTTGTTAGTTGGTTGGTTAGTTAGTTCGTTAGCTAGGTAATTAGTTAGTTAGTTAGATAGTTAGTTAGTTAGTTATATATATATATATACATACATGTATGTACTATACTATATAGTTCTTAGACCCACAACCAGCTCTATGAGACACCCTAAGACTTGCCTCTCAGCATTGAAACAGGCCGCCCAACCTCAGCAGAAGCTCGCTCTGCCCAGGCCTTAGTGACTCATCATGGCTGGGGGTCCACAGGTCCAGCGGTCCATGGTGCAGTCAGGGCCTTCTCTTGTGTTGCATAGGTCTTGTAGTGGCGCTCATACTCCTCAGGACCGAAAACCAGCTGGCCGAAAAAAAACGGAAAGTGCGGTTAAGAAAGCAGCGACCGAAAATTGATGGTCATGTTTTGCGATGCCCCCTCTAGATGGCCAAATTCATGTGTAAAAAAACAAACTCGACTGGGTAAAGCTATCATAACCATGTTTTTTTTTCTATTTTCTTGATGATGGTTTTTCTATGGTTTTTCCATGGTTTTCCAATGGTTTTTCCCATGGTTTTCCCACTGGGCTGCCGGCTTTTCGCGCATCAGGAACTGGAGAAGGGGACCGTGCTGCCTTCGATCTGGCCTTTCCACGGTCTCCAGTGGTCACCCAGTCTTTTTTTGGCTCCCTAAATACGTGGGAAAGATTTCAAAAGGCCATAAAGTTGAATATATAATCATTATATGGTGATTATGTGGGAAAACCATCATGATGGAAAAATAATGATTAGGGGAATATGATTATATGATATATATATATGGGAATATGAATATACCCTCTGGTTATGACTCATCTATATGTGATAGATATGGCCTTCAAAATAATATAATTAGATGGACTTCAAACAAGACTGGATAATGTTGAATATACCCTCTGGTCATGGAGGAACCTCAGCATCGATTCACACAGTTTTTCACCAAGCAATCATCCCAAGGAGCACGAACAGTCACAGAAAAGGGAAAACGGATCAAAACAAAGAAAGGTCTTACCCTCTGGTTATGACTAACATAGCCATGGAAAATCACCATGCTATTAATAGGTAAACCATCTATTTCTATGGGCCATCTATACCATGGCGAACTGTTAAATAACCAAAGGGTATAATGATATATTTATATGTATTATGTGATATAGCATCCGCAATAACAATGATAATAAAAATTTTGAATGCAACTGATAAATATAAATATATAGATATTTATACATATGCAAGGTATATGTTTATATGTATAATTATTATACATATACGAATCTAAATATAATATTATAGTATAATTACCATGTGTTGAGGACAGAAATCCAGACACCCCAGATGCAACAACGACAAATATCTGGGTGTATCAAATGGAAAAAGAAGCTGCAGGTAAGAAAATTGAAAAAGGCAAGGCGTTGCCCAAAACAAGCCCAAGACTGTTCAGTTACACATGACACATTAAGGACTCTGAAAACAATGAATCTTCTGTTTCAGATTTCGACCTCAAACTCTACAAGAAAAACATGTTGGACAATCCTGGCTGTAGCTTGTGCTGATGCAAACTCCATGCGTTCATGTTTCCTGTTCGCAAACTGCAAGCGTCAGTAGTTTCTAGTCAGTAGCATCTAACCCAATGTCAGCAATGTCAGCTGGTTGATGAATCTTCCGAGCTTGTTACCCCCGGTCGCGCTCCACGGGGTGAGTAAGCCAGCGGAATTTCTTCCTGTGTCAGGAGGACATCCATCCCATAATGGACATGAAGCATATCGGCAAATATAAATCATAAATCGCTATGAAAATTGGATTCGGGACCTATATGTATTAGGATAATATTATATATACCTAATGAAAAATGGTTGGATAATATTACTGTACCTATACAGGTATCTAATCCATCTAACCTGACTTTTGCCGCAGTCCTTGCGACGTGGTCTGGGAGGTATTCTGTCTTTGGGCTCTGGCGGAACTTCAATCCGCGGAGAGCCTCATGGCAAGCGGTTAGCAATGGAGAAACACAACATGAATACAACATGAATCAACATGCAATATCATTTTCAATATCTGGCTGCGCCAAGTTTCTCTTCACTTCCTCTTCAGCCTGCGAAAGACTTGCGAATCAATTGTCCAATCATCCAATCATTTATCATCTATACATCTATATACCGTCTGGTAAATTAACATAGACCCCGAAAATCACCATTTTTAATAGGTAAACCAGCTATAAATGGGCCATCTGCATGGCCCATGGCCTTTCTATGCCCTTCTTCCCAGCAGCGAACCTCGGAGGTGCCAAGGTGTTTCTTCTCCAAGTAGTCCTCGAAGCTTTTGTCGATGTTGCGATACATCTTCTTCGTCAACCCCTGCAACGAAGGAGCGATAACTGTTATGGTGACCTAATGGGGAATGGGGCAGGGGCCACCACAAAAACTCCTTGTTCCTTGGTATTAAATATTAAAATATAGAAAAATGAATTAACATCTTTATAATGTTAAGTTAAGTTAGGGATGTTAGGCTAAAAACTGTTGAGATCCTAAAGTTAGTGCCATGTTGAGCCATGTGAAGCTGAGCCTTTTAAGGGGGGAACATCTCCAACAGCCGGCGGCCTTGACAGCTGTATCCCACTTTGCACCCGGAGGCAGGTGATGCAAAAGCTCTTGTGCATGGCCTTTTTTCCTTTGGCCATCCTGGCTTCTCAAAAAAAAAAACGTGTCATTAGCACGGCTCTGGCACATGTTGGCCAAGGAACATGTTTGGTGTTGCTCCGAATCACATAATCGGGAAGTGTCATGCTTGGGAAACATGTCTACTATTATTGCTTGTGAAAAAGGGGCCCTGGCTTTCTTTACACCGTGGAGAAAGATGTTGCTTTGCCTTTGTTACATCGTGCAGGCTTGAAAACCCGACTTCAACAAGCGATTCTTGAATTTGAGTCTAAGTTTCATGAATGCACTATGAGTAGGTTTTTTTCCTGCAGCATCAAGCCATAGTCTTACATGAGTAGGTTTCCCCGCAACTTCTGCACGCAACTCCTGCTGTCTTTGCTTTTCGCGCTCAGCGTCAACGTACATGTACTGCTCCTCATAGTCCTCAACCTCAGACAAAGCTTCGAACTAGCTGAGCTGCCTGGTAGAATGTGGGGAAAACATGGGAAAACCCACATATTTGGAATGGTTGAAACAGGTGGAGAACCCCACTTTCCCCAAGGTTTTAATATTTGGAATGGCTATATACCAATTAGGGATTACCCCACCAATGAAAAAAAACCTGAGGATCGAGCGTGTTTGAATCGTTCCCAGTACTTCAGCTTGTCCCAATCCTCAGTGAGCAAGTCTGATGTGACAGTAACCCTACTGCCAGGTATTAATTATGGAATTATGAGGAGATTCTCTGTATTTTGTTGGATCCTGTGGTTACTGCATCCGCGTTTGGACAAAACAGCACTGTACCTCTGCGAAAATTTGTGTCGCCTGTGTTTGCTCAGGTGTGCTAGTGGTTGTGGTTGCCAGTGAGCTTGCTCTTTATTGCTGCTGCATGCTGCTGCTGTGTTGTTCTTGTGGCTGTTCCCGTTCTATGTTCCACAGAATGCAATAACAAAACAATTCAAGACTGTACCAGTAAGATCCAGTAGGGAATGAGCGAACCAACGAAGGAAACTTTGATGTTGAGGCCCGAGGGTCATTTGTTCGAGAACAAGTGGCAATGAAAAAATATAGAATGAACGCAGCAAGCTATGTTCCACATGTCTTGCCCGCCTGTGATTGAGTCTTTTCTTCTGAGTAGCCTCCTCTATCCTTTGACATGCCCCGCTTTGCACGGCTATTGGAGGAACTGATGTGGGACACTGCAACCAACATCAATCAACATCAACCAATCAATGGCCATTTCAGGTATCTAAATTGGAGGTATCTATCATAATATATATGTATATATAAAAAGCCTAAATTTCAGGGCTAAAATGCTCCCCAGTTCTCTGGCTTTCAATATGCTACATTCATGGGTGCGAATACCTATCAAAAGCTCCATTTTAGGCTCCTGAATTCTCCGCTGAATCCATCTGAAAAAAAAAAACGGAAACGTGTCACCGTGATAAATTTCTGGTTGGTGGTGCAATAACCTGGTCTTAACCATCTTGAAAAATGATGGAGTTCGTCAAGTTCGTCAGCTGCGTTAAGGATGACATCTTTTTTTTATGAAATGGAAAATAGTCCAGTCATGTTTGAAACCACCAAACAGTTTTTAAGTGGTTTCCGCAGCGGCCGTTTCTAACCAGCGCCTGGAACTTGTCCCAAAAGCCAGCGAACTGTTTCTTTTGCTTATCCTTCTGAAGTCGTTCCAAGGTGTCCAGACCTAGCGCCAGCTATCGCTATCGCTGCTCCAAGAACAGCCATGAAACAACCAGGGAATGCCATGTTTAGTATTTGTGATATAGTATCAAAAATGTATCAAACATCATTAAACACCCTCATGTTTTTAAAGGTTTCACAGGATTTCACCAGCTTTCACAGGCTAATCAATCGTCCATCTCCTCGGTCTCTCTTCAGCCCCTTGCGCAGAGAATGCTGGGAGATTTCGGCGATGAGCCCCTGATCATCACATGCTTCCAACGCCTGGCGCGGCGCGACACGTCAAATTATCGAGGATTCTCCCAGGGTGGCCCAGGAAGGTCAAGGAAAATCACCTGAAAATGGTCCAAATTGACATGGTCATTTTTCAGGAAATGAGCATCATGTGCATTCTATATTATATATATACATACCTAATCATACATACATATGTGTATATTTATTCATACACACACACATATATATATATATAGACCGCATTTTTGGACAAAATCATGTGCCGTTCCTTTTTGGTTTGAGAAATGCAGACCTAAACGGTTTACTTAAGAGCTCACGCACAACCACCTTGGCCAGTGCATCTTTGGCTTTGTCCAGAAAGTCCAAATGCCCATAGCACCTCGTGCCGAGCCAACGGTGCAGGTTGGTTTCCTTCATTTTGGTAGCTGTTCTGGAGGGTTACCCCCAACCATAATGTAGAGGAAATTCCTAGGAGGATGATATTCCAGCATATTCCAGTCATGTTGAATTACCCTCTGGTAAACTGGTAAACTAACATAACTACGTAAAATCACCATTTTTTACGGGAAAATCCACTATAAATCAACATTTTCAATAGCTATGTTAAATTACCAGAGGGTACCAGACTCGTTTCGGTTGCATCTCCGCCCCAAATCCTGAGATTCCCTGGCTGAGAGACGCGAAACCATGCTTTCGCCCGGGTGATGCGGGGCAAACCTCGATGCAGCGGCAGCGAAACACAGCCGTGCCCAATTTTTTGCCTTAAAAAGTGGCCATATCAATTCCATATCATATCAATCCATACAGTCATACAGTATCATAATTCATGTGCATTTATGCGTCACATATCATATGTCATCCATATCCAAGTTGTAAAAATCAAGTTCCCCATCTCAGTCTGCGCATGTCTGCGCTCCAGTCCGGTCGAAGGACGGAATTCCAGCAACGTGGCACCCACGTGGCCGTTTTTTCTCTCTGACCTCGGCTACAGGGAATATGGCATGCAGAATGCGTCCCATGTAGTCAGTCACCTGAAATATTCTGACATATATGGGGGGTTCCTGAAGTGGGACCCAAAGTCACCATGGGTTAAGCTATACTAAGTCATGGTCATCCATGACTTGGATGATTGGGGGTGTACCTCCATTTGAGGAACCTCCCACATACATTGAATTTGATTGGTATGCGATCTCTAATCTTGGATTTGCTCAAGAAATGCTTAAGAAACCACCCAAAAAACAAAGAAATTGTTCCTATAGATTCCCCATCCAGTGGATTTCTGAGAAAAAAATCCAGACACTACACTGCCAACACATTTCTGGTCGCCTAAGGCCAAGGCTCTTTGATTTTTTGGCGGATGTGCGGATCTGAAAACATCATTTCATCCCGGTGGTTGCCCACCAAACACTCCAATGCCGCCTCTAGAGATTTCTGCCACTCCTTAAGCCTCACAGAAAAGGCCGAAACAAGTGGATGCTGTTCGTTCCTGCGTGATAATCGTGATATTATAGATTACCAGACTAATATAGACTAATTATCAAACAGAATGCATTGTATGCATTGGCATCAAGAAAAACTCAACTCTTAATACAGCGTGGTTGAAACTTGAGACATCACCCTCTGAGGCTACAACTTGTAGTGGCAGGTGCTCTTGTTGAGGTGCAACGTGCTTCGGAGGACAACCACATCATTCCACTTCTTCTTGCCAATTAAAATGGACTTGTCATACGCGATCGTGAGCCTTGAAGCCAGCCAAGCGGAATCATACGTATCATGATGTATCATGTCAGAAATCAACTCACACAAATTCCAAAAAAAAACAAATAGGAAAAACATACCCCCGCAAAATTGACCTGCTGTTTTTTGTTGGCTCCAGATTTTGCAGACACATTGATGAAAGAGAAACACACAAAGATTCACCCCAATCACCAAGCTCAGTACAATTGTTCCAGCGCATCATCCTCAGCGAACAGCCATCGAAGTCATATTTTTCAGAGGGGTAGGTCAACCACCAACCAGAAAAATAGATCATGATTATGGTTATAGATTATTAGTAATTATAAACTACCAATTATTTATATGTCATGATCATGATTATCTTATTTATAGATTGTGATTATTTATAGAATATTATGAACAAATCAGGTATAGATTATGGTTCATTTTAGACTTAACTATAGATTATGAACAAATCGAAGATGCAGCGCCATCGACCCATTCCGATGGCAACTCCGACCGACAACTCACTTGAGGGCCCTGCGTATGCTACGATGGCCTGAGCGTGAGTCAACTGCGAGAACTAGATGCACTCGATCAAAAATATACCGAGACGTAAAAAAAAATGCATAATTATATTTATATATATATATACATATATAAATATAATTTTTTTAAATATAATATATATATAATATATATATATATATATTACATGACAATGACATTTACATGTATTATATATATATACTGAATAGATGCCCTGTTTTTAAAGAATTCTGGTGCGAAAATCAGCTTTGTTTTAGTCCATTTGAGTCACATTTCAGGGGCTCTGCCATACCAAAGATCATGCTCTGACAGATTCAGCGAAAAGGCCAACTCCCAAACAGTTTGTGGTGTAGAGTGCTCTCTCTCTCTCTCTCTCTCCCCATCGCCTTCAGACCAAGTTTGTTTACCATTCCTCACATTTCTTTAGCCCTTGCTGTCTGGGTCAGTTCCATCGCTGGCAAAAAACCACACCCGCAACCCTGCCTTCTCGTACCTCTCTTTGCTAAAGGCATCATTTCCGAGCGCTTTGCTCTCCTCTGCCTCAATGTTGCATCGAAAAACATTACATAGTAAATTTAAATTTCAAACAAGTATAGATCACACATATCATATATACAAGCAATACATCTAAATAACATCATATCTTATATATATATGTGTGTATATATATATATCATATCTGTAATTGCATCACTGTCCATTAATTTAACATGTCCACTTATTAGTCAGTCGTGAGTCCTTCGTGTGGATCAGCTAAATCATCCCGTTCACCCGTACGCCCGGCGCACCCGCTGCAGAAATCCATAGTCTTCGAAGAGTTCTCCGTATTCGTCACGCCTCAGCGACGTGACAGCGACGCTGTGATGATGGTCTTCTGGCTCCACTATGTCAGGTTTCCCAAGATCATCTAAGATCATCTAAGTTGCAGCTCAAGTGGCTTTAGATCTTCATGTCCTCAGTTTCCGCACTTCCCGAAATCTGATGACACCATGATCACACCATCTGATGTTCACCAAGGTGTGTGACAAATGCTGACAGGCTGTGAGGGCCAAACCATCCTGTTGACCAAGCATTTCGCGCCTGAGTTCCAAGGTAATGTTTTCGTCGACTGCTTGGACGTTTCAGGAGCCGATTCGCTAAATGCTTCAAGCCAAGGCATAGAGAACAAACATCGATCATGCGAAGACACGATATTGAACTACATTGCAATTTCGAATCATGTTTATATATGTTATAGCAATGATAAACATAAATAAACACTATATGTTGTGATTTCGAATCATGTTTATCATTGCTATATCATTGCTTATCCTCTTGCTATATCAACACTATCCCCTTCTCTCTCCCATGAGTTCACGCCTCGCTGGGCTCACTCCCAACCCGCGGGTCGCGGAAAGGGGCTGTGCCAAATCCACCGTCAGTGATTTTTCAGCAGAAAGATCGGACAAGTCGCATCCGGCTTTTTATGATGTTCTCCACCAAAAAGACCATAAAATGAGGTACCCTCCGGCAATCAAACATGGCAATGGAAAATCTGATTATAATTGTCATAAATGTCATAAATGAATGAAGATTTTAATGGAAAAAACATGGAACTACTTGAGGGATTTTCCACTGCAGGATTCCCCATGTCTATGACCATGGCTTGACACAATCCTGGCGGTTCCTTTTCCTCTGACTCTATCCGCGGCTCCAAAGGCTCTTTGTCCTTTCGGCCCGTTCCCAGCGGCGGCGGCTCCTCAAAGCAAGGCCCATCAAAAGGCGGTGACGGGGATGGTGCCATATCTGTCTCTGCATAAACTAATCTCTGCATAGCACCACATAAAATCACCGTTTTAAAATTCGGTAAACCATTGAACGGAATGGGACTTTGCCAATAGCAATGTTAGTTTACCATAGCTTAGCCTTCAGGGTAATAATATGTTTCTGTCATGGTCATAAGGGGAAGATGTTTTTTCTCCACGCCTTGTCCACCTGGAGGCTTCAGCCTCAGCGCCTGCAGTGTTCATCCAGCTTTGAAAAAAAAGCGGCTGCACTCGTGACATGCCGAGATCAAGGAGAGCGTAAATGCGCATAGTAACTAGTATGGCATAGAAATATCTCACTAAACCTGTAATGCACTGAATCAAGTGCAGATTTAACTGCTGATTTCAACATATCCAAAGGGACTGCATGAAACATTGCAGCAAATACCACTGTCAGAATCCGTTTCGCAACGTCCCAAGCCAGAATTGCAGTCAGCACATCTGGGCTTGCGGCTTCAGCAAATGAACACTTTGCAACGTGGCCTAGTGGTTGCACATCCAGCGACCCAATGTATCGATGGGGAAATGTACATGAATGTGCGGGAAACATTGGGAAAATGATGGCTGTTACCCCCAGATCACCCATGTGGATCTGGGTCAAACTATGGATGTTCATCCTCTAAAAATACAACATATACCATCCGGTTATTTAACATAGCAATGGAAAATCCATTAAACATGGAGGTGTTTTAATTGGAAAATCATCTGTAAATGGGCCATTGTCCATAGCTATGTTAAATAACCAGAGGGTAGCTATTGATCCATCCCCATTTCACACGTGACACTGACACCGTCACCACGCGAAACCTAAGATATGAAACCAACACGCCGCCGCACCGTGACTTCTTGGTGGCCCTTTTCCCGGGCATAGTCTGCAGCAGTCCTTCCATCATGACTTGCTGGGCAGCAGTGCCCATCAAGTGTATCTGGTTGGTGGGGGCTACCTACCCCTCTGAAAAATGATGGAGTTCGTCAATGGGAAGGATGACATCCCATATATGGAAAATCAAACATGTTCCAAACCACCAACCAAATAAATAAATATATATATATATAAATATGACATAATATGACCATAGAAGGACATACAAGTTTAATCATGTAGGATAATCTTATAGGATAATCATCCCAAGTGGAAATGGAATTTGGATGAAACATGCTCCCGAAAAAAAAAAAAAAAACAACTGCCACCGCCAGATGAAACCCACACCGGTCATTCCCGTGTCGTCTCGCAGGGAGGGATTAGCTCTCAACCTGCAGCTATGTCGGACTTCATCAGAAGTTTGTTCGGTCCAATTCCCTTACCACGGTAACATATGCAACATCCGGAAGCAGCTCTGGGATTTCAGCTCCAATAGGGATTGGCAAAGATGCTGACGGTTTTGCATGGCAGCCCTCAGTTGACACCAGCTGTCAGTGTCCGCAGGCAGCTGAAAACATCAGTTCGCCAAGGCCCCCGCCAATGCAGCAGAGTGAAATTCCCACCCTGAGACTTGCCAGGAACTTTCCCCAACCCTTCGTAGTATGGTGCATTGATGCCTCTGGGTACTGTGTTCACAGCTCAATCAAAATCATTCAACATCCGGAACTTGATGTAGCTGTCAGCCCTGAGGGTTTTGCCCACTCAACTGAGTCCCATCCATTTAGAACAACCTCCTTGATGATAGCGGAGTACTCCTGACACTGTCGCAGAGTGCAGATTGTAATCTCATCTGGTTGGTGGTTTCAACCCACCGGAAAAAAGTAGTCAGTTGGGATGATTATTCCCAACATATGGGAAAATAAAAAATATTCCAAACCACCGACCAGTTGTAATCTCATGCGTCTCATGTCTCATCCAGTGTCTCTGCATGTCTCTGATCATCTTTGATCGCTGTGGTCGGTGTCTTCCGTCGCCTCCGGCAAGTCATCAGGCAAGGCCAACGGTTTGGAATCCTTGCGGCCAGCCATTCACAGAGACGTATCTCATGAATTGAAACCGAGCTGATCACCAATGACATTTCAATGACATTTCAATGACATTTCAATGACATTCCAATGACATTCCAATGACATTTCCCGCCATCTCTCAGCTCTCCCACGTGTTTTTTCTCTGTGCCAAACCCTTTCTGCCCCTGTCCTGCAAGGTGCTTTGTATCATCTGAGTCTTGGCCAGTTCCGCTTCTAAGCGCAGGTTCTGCGTCTCCAACTCCTCCTGCCGAAGTTCAGCGGCAAACTGCTGCTGTTGCGCGGCTTCCGCCGCCGACTCCGCGGATTCCAGCTGGATCTGCCGCCGCTCCGTCTGCTGCTGGGCCGACTCCGCCAGGTGGTGCAGTTGGGTCACCAGCTCCGTCAAGACCATCCCCTGTCCCATCCCTTTGGCACCGCCGGCCTGGGCGATGCTGAGAATCGTCAGGTCCACTTCCGCCATCAAATCTTTCCAGGCCAAGGCGTCGTGAACGCCTCGGAACCTCACAAGCCTTGGCGAGCCAAAGCCCTTTGGGAATCCCTGGCAAAATGGGGTTTCAACCAGAACAGCAAGGTGCCCTATATGGCATATCACCATGAAATCCCCACATCCACATCACTATCTTCCTCTATCTTCCTGAGGTTCCAGCAATTTCTGAGCCAAGTGGTACTGCATCTTGAGTTGTTCCACGAGTCTCTCTCGCTCCCTCAGCCGTTCCATGTCCGCATGTTGCGCCTGCGGCAGTGCAGCGTGCGAGGAATTGAGGCCAGGTGAGTTTGGGGTCGTGCTGTCAAGAAACTCCGAGCTAGACCAAGCTAGACCCAAGATGGCAATCAAATTTACAATATCCAAAAAAAATCACCAGATGTCAGTCAGCACGGAAAGCCCTTGCTGCTCATGTTACAGAAGTCCAATTTTTACGAGAACGGTCCCAAAGTGGACGAACCTCAGATCTTCCACCAAATATCACCAGATATCTCCAGCTGAAATTAGCTATCCATTCAACCCATCTCTCAACATCCACAGATAATTCCCTGTGTTGATCAAACATAGCAATCTAAAATCATGATAAATTATGTAAAATCCACCATAAATGGAGGTTTATTAGCTGGGAAACTCAACTAACTGAGGATTTTCCGGCCAGGTTTGGGTACCAAATGGTATCCCCCAAAATATGGGAATATATGCCCTTAGCTCCCTCCATTCACCACTGGAAGGTGGTATAATCCAAATAATTCCAAATATATCCATCGGGCAAGAAGCCCTTCTGGATGGTTGGTGCTTAGTTTCACCCAATCCGCAGACCCTTAGGAGGGCCAGCTGAATATGAAAAACACAACACCAAAAAATAACGCTTTCTTCAAGTAATCCCCGCCCATTGACATTCTATCGGACATATATTCTGATGATTTATCTGGCATTCTATCTGACATCTTGTTTGACACATATTCTGACATATATCTGGCATCTATTCGGGCCGGCATCTATTTTGACATTTTGCCTGGCACATGTTCGGGTCCAGGCGTGCTCCTGCCAGTGCCCCCGGAGCCGAAGAAGAAGAAGGAGGAGCTGCACCTTTGTTAAAATCTAGAGACCCTCACCTAGCAGGGAACAACAACATCCCCAGCCTCTGCATTGGCCAGTTCCATCCTCAACCTGCTCCGATCCTCTGCTGCCTCTGTTTCCAGCTCCTGCTGCTGCCTCTCAAAGTGCCGCAGCCGTTCCGCCAGCTTCGAAGCCGAGGCCACCGACGACTCGGCGTGGGACTCCAGAAGATCCTCCTTGTCGCGAAGCTCCTTGGACCTGGGAAAAGCTGGGTTTTTGATGGTTTTTGGCACATTTTTGGACCAGAAAAATGCTGGAAGGGATTTGATCATGATTTATCCCCATGGTTCATGACAATTGTGTGAGAAGTGATGACAACTACGAGTACGGCTCTTTGGAACTGACGGTGATCCAGGATTTCAAACAACGACACGAGGAGGTCGATTGTTACCACCGGACCCTGAAAACTTAAACCTGAGTCCCCCAGCAAGCTCTCTTCCAGCCGTGCATTTTCCTCCTCTAGCAGGCCGCATTGCCGGGCCAAACCGCTTCTGGCAGCATTGGCCACGGCATAGCGCCCTTCCAAATCTTGGTATTTCGCGTCCAGCTCAGCCAGTTGCTGTACCAATTCCTGCGACTTCCCCCCGGTGGAGAGATCTTCCACGCGGGCGCGCAGTTGACCATGCCTCAGAGCGGGGCAACAACCGAGTTCAAACTTTGGAGCTCGTTTTGATACGCCTGGCCCGCCTGGCATAAACCATTTGTAGAAATTTGATTGACAAAAACACATGGGTTACCAGTTACCAGTTGCCAACTGCCAGACTTCTAGTGAATCTTCCCCACCATACACTAAAGTTCTGAAACAACGACAAAAACATTCAGTTTTTTTTGTGGCTTCCCGGCCACAGGTGATCCCTGAGCTGAACTCCACCTTCGCCCGAAGCACTGGGAAGCGTGGTAGCTGCTGCTCAACAAAGACTCCGCGATTTGGACTTCGAGGTCGGTGACCTTTTCCTGGAGCATCCTGCAGTGAAACGGAGATCTGCTCAGTGCCCAGGAGAAAGGGCTTGACAAGGATCATAAAATTATCATCATTATACCCGGAGTATGATGATTAACAATGATACTAGCACCACATAATCAGTGATATTTCACTGCCATCATTTGCACATCATCATCATCATCATCATACTCTACGTCAATTCTACAGCAAGACAAAGCCGTCACAAGATACCCTCTGGTAATTGAACATTGCCATTTATAGTGAGTTTTCCCATTAAACATGGTGATTTTCCATAGTTATGTAACAGTTTACCAGAGGGTATTACCGCAGGGCCGTGCTCCTCTTCTCCTTCTCCATGCTTTGGTGGCCCCGGAGCGCTTCATCTTTCTGCTGCTGAAGCTGCTGCCTCTCCTCTTCATGCTGGATCCTGAAACGGACTGTTTTTCCACCAAGGTGACATCCAAGAGCTGATATTTACCCTCTGGTAAACTGTTACATAACTATGGAAAATCACCATTTTTCATGGGAAAATTCATGATAAATGGTGATTTTCCATAGTTATGTTAAATTTCCAGAGGGTAAAACATGCCTTAAACTATAAAAAAAACCAGCCGTCGATTTTCTGCCATTTTCTGCCTTATTTCATCTCCCCATCCCTCCCTCTCCGTGGGCGCCTCACGACTTGCAACTCCCGGCCCTTTTCGTAGTACGCCACCCTGGACTTGTCCAGCTTCGCCTGTAGCTCCACACATCGTTCCTGGAAAATCTTCTTTTGCAGCGCCTGTTGCGATTCCACCTGGATGGCCAGCTGGCAATTTAAGCCATGTTGGCCCATGGTTGAATTGCGGTGATGCTGCTGATCCAATCAATGAATTCCTCAAGTCTGTTGTTCAACATTTTCCACAATATGCTTTCATATTCTCCAATCTTTGCGAAGATGTGCCCGTATTGACTGAAGCCCGTCCTTGACTGAAGAACTATAGGGATCCAATACCCACCCCAAAGCCACAGATTTTCAAACCAAGTGGCCTGCTTGGCATCGGCAGCCCATGCCTCCAGGCTTTGATACTGTCCTGCCAAGGCAATCTACCTGACAATGATGTACTTTACGGTGATTTTACAGTGGTTCTATGGTACTTTATGGTGATTTTATGGTACTTGATGGTGATTTTACAGTTGTTTCATGGTACTTTATGACGATTTTACAGTGAATTTATGATGATTTGATGGGCTTGACCAACAAAAAATAAAAGAACATGCTGGATTGTATGGGGGTATACTGATGCCCAGTGATCCTGAATCGGGATTTTTCCATATTTTTGGTTGCTTCCAAATGACTGTAGTTTGATCTAGTTTAATGGGGATAGTCATAGGATACTGTATCATACCAACAATATGATCTGGATGTTTGCGGAAACGGGGAGTTCACCCCCAACTTACGGCAATTCTGATGGGGAAAATGATGATTTATTAACTGCAACTATGCATTTTATGGGATACCCTATGTTCAAACAAACGCTAATATCAAACTTCGGAATATCCTGCAGTAAAAAAATCAGTAAACTCCGAAAGATGTTTGAGAGGTGGCCTTTTTAATGGTCTTCAGCAAACTGACAAAAGTGACACACATCGATTTCCGCAAAAAAGACGGCTCCGAGGGAAGAGCCACGGTTCAAAATCCTTTCGCTGTCAAGTTCAGCACACCTGACCGCCGTCTAGGGCCTAGGGGAACATGGTTTTACGTTGCCATATGAAGCAGGATGGGCCTCCCCAGTTATAAGTTAGTTTATAAACCCAATTAACTATATAGCTATATCTACCATAAACCATTGTTAACCCACTTATAAGGCAATTTAGCTATCTTGGGGGCCAGCCGGGCCCCATCCTGAAGGTATCCAGGGGGAGAAAAAAAAGGCTCTCTGGCTGGGTGGTCTACCGACAAAAGGACGCGGATTTCCCGGCCACTTTTTGATCCGTTCATGAACCGTTAACCCCATCCCCTACGTTCATTAAATACCTCCACATGAATAGATCCAATACTAAACAAGAGTTTTTTTTGGGGGGGAGGGGAATAGATTACATGATTACGATATCATATGAACAATGTTATTGCTACTACCTTACTACCATCTCTGTGTTGTAATAAAGGCTAGGCTATAATCATGAATTTTGGATTGCTTGAAAAAATGCTAATGTCAAGCAGGGATGTTTTTTACCCTCCGAACTATTTACTGTAAACCGAGTTGGTTCCATTTTAGCAGATGACATCACTGGCCCCCGATCCATCCTCCAAGGTGATGAATTTATAATCCGCCAAAAAATCACATGGTGAAAACACCAACAACTAGCTCTCAATATGTTCAGAATCCACTGCTCGATCATCATTTCCGCCATTTATCTAGGCTAAACGTAGGCTGATGTGAAAAGCCATGGTCTCCTGACGATCAACAGTGGCTTCACATCTATGTCATGTCAGGCCTGGACTTGAGTCGTTCCAGATCTTTTGCCTGGTTCGCCACCTTGGATTGCCACACCTCAGGGTTTTAGTGGTGACACAACCCCAGGATCACCTGAAGGAGTCCAATGGTTATGCCATGTTTATGCCATGTGTTCCGAATCTATTGAGTCTATTCCCTCCTATTACTCTCATTCCTCCGTGAATTCTGATGTTCTCCCATGCATTTTTCCATTCCCCCATTCCTTTTGCATAAAAATTGCCTCTGAAATTGCCATGTGCCTCCATGCTCTTTCCCACGACATTCCATGACTTACCTCCTCCACCCCCAAATCATTCTCTTCATCTTGGAGGCATTTTCAAACATGTACAATTAGCCTTGTATGGCAAGTTCCTGTTTCTTTTCCCGCATTTTCCCTTTTGTCGGTATCTATGCAATGTTCTCTGTTCTCCCCCTTCGATTTTGTGCGTCTGTTTCTCGTTTATACTATATATCCATTTCCGGTTTATGTTCTCTGTATTTCCTCATCATGTTCAAGTCTCTTTCCAACAAAAGTTTTATATTATCTCCTATTTGTTCATGTCTGCCTCCTCTTCAACAATTTGTCCAAACCCTGTCTTCCCTTTTGTATACCCCACTCATGTCCTATATAAATTTGTCTGATCTGTTTTGCCAGGTGTTTTCCATTTCTTCTGGATTTCCCGAGTGCAGCCACAAAACGCCAGCCGTGGCCAGCATGAATGAAACAAATCAACAAGGGGCGCAGTCATCGATCCTAAGGCCAAGGCAGTCGCTTGAATATCTGTTACTCGAGCACTTTGCAACAGGCCGCCTCGGCTTTTTTATCGCACGCGACATTCAAAGGCTGGAACTTCACACTTCCAATCAGGCAGAAGCACATCAGTAAAAGCCAAGAGAATCACAATGCACCAACCTCCATCAGATAGGCATAGATTCCATTGCATTGCAATGCATTACATTGCATTAAATTACATTACGTTACACCATTTTATATTACATTACGCCACATTACACCACATTACATTACATTACATGACATGACATTACATAAATACGTATACATACATGTAACACACATATACACACATATACAAACATTACATACATAACATAACATTGCATTACATTACATACCATGCAATAATATATATATATATATACACATTACATTGCATTGCATTGCATTACGTTACAAACCGATGTACATACATAACATTACATTACATTGCATTGCGTTACATTGCATTGCATTGCAAACAAACAGATATACATAATTACCTTACATATGTACATATGTATATATAATTATATATCAGTTTACATGTGCGAATCAAAACATTAGATATCTCTGAAAATATAATATTTACACTGATGTGCTTATGACATTGGCATCAAATCTTCAGAACCTTACGCTGCGCTTCTTCTTTTTGCGCAACTTCTGAGAGTTGCTCTTGCAAGTTAGCGACCTCGAGCGGGCCAAGCCCCTGAGGGAGTCTGAAAGGAGCTGTCGTGTCCAGGGCTCGGCTCTAGGGCTACTCTTAAAGAGGCAAGGCAGAAAGGGATTGCAGCTATTTCAGCTTTAAACATACTATGTAAATCTATCTATTTTATTCTATCATACTATCTATCTATTTATCCATCCACTTCCTACTTTGGACATACACACACACATATATATATATATGTATATATACTTACAAAACTGACGGAACTCTTGTCAAAGCCAAAGGGCACACAAATTGCACCTCTCAACCATGGAAGCTAATCCGCAAGAATGACCCGTCCCCAGTTCGTGGATTCTTGTTATGTATGCTCCAACTTGGGATTTCATCAGCATCAAATGGTTGATGAATCATCCAGCAATCCTGATATCCCTGGAAAGCCAGTGTGATTTGGCCAGCCCCAAGCTGACCCCGCAATAGATGCCCATTAGGGCCCTTAGATTCGCCCACATGGGTGTTTTAAAACACCCAACACTAAACCCTTAAGCCCTCAATAAACGCTAAACTAATTAACAAAACCCCTTCATAAGCCTGAATAACCCCTTAACCATGAATCATGAATCAACCCTTATTGGCCTTAGGGTTTCAGTCTGGCACCCCCCCGCCCGGGATTCCCCAACAGCTTGCTGTGCTTGTTGAAGTTCCATCTGCACCCTGTGCAGTTCCATGCGGTCCTTCCGCCATGAAACCTGTCGCCGCTGGAGTACAAAAGGGGGCAAGCCAATGCCAAAAAAACACAAAAAAAACATAAAAACAAAACTAACATTTGGGGATGGTTGTTTGATGGTGATGGTATGGGGATGGTATGGGGATGGTATGGGGATGGTATGGGGATGGTATGGGGATGGTGTATCATTGGGTTTACCACATTGTAACTGATGGGGGGTATCTGTACTCAATTTCGGTGGCTATGTTGAATTACTGGAGGTGATATCTAGAGTGAACGGTGCCCCAGTTTGGAATCGCTAAGTTGGTTTATGTCACTAGTACACAGCTTTTGGCTTTATGGTAATTACATAAATATCCCTATAGTTGCCCTCTAGTAATCAAACGTGGCAAGGGATTCAACCATCCTTTCTGTGAAAGGAGAACCATCCGTCACGGACTGGTTCACGTGAAAATTGTACAAACCACGGGTCTTACACCCACATTTTGTTCGGTTCCCGTAGATTTTCATGTTTTCCCTCAAGCCCGTTCTGGTAAAAATAGGATTGAGTCTGAAACGAAGGCAAAAGGAGAAAGATGGTTTACGTTTGCACATTTGCCGACACAAAATCCCGTGGTTGAAAACACATATATTCCCTTAAACATACATTTCTTCTGCAGAAAACCACATGGAGAAATTCAGAACCCAGCCATGCCAAAGACGTCAGCCGCGGTTTTTGTTTGCCTTTGCTCTTGCAGTTGCTGATCCGGAACCCCCAAAAAGCCCAAAGCTATTCCCTTAATCCCCAAGTCATGGATTTCCATCGGGAAAGTGCTCCAAATCATCAGCAAATCCTTAAGTCTTCGCACCTTCATTTCCAAGGCTTCACGTTCTGCTGCCAACTTGGCTTGTTTCAGCTCCTGAAGCCATGGCACTTGTAAGACCAAAACCCAATCTGTCCAAGTGGTGGCTACAACCAATCTTCAACAAATTGTAAACAACATATGTCACTGGTTTCAGGAACCGATTAATTTATTGGAGGTACCTACCATGTATTTTTGGCCTATTTTTCAGGCCGATGTAAGGGAATATCCCAGCAAAATATTGCATCATATGGTACAATACCTCCATTTTAGGATCCTGAAATTCCCATTGAATATGAGTGGCGAACAAAATTACTTTCTACCCGCAAATGGACATGGCAAAGTGGGTGGTGCCCTATCGGTTGTGCATGTTTTCGTACAAATTTGACCATCCCATGAATCCCATGTTCACTCCCCACTACTCTAGTCTTCCGCGAAAAATTTGTCGGTTACTCATATGGTATAATCTATAGTCATTGGGGTGATCATCATCCCGAAAATATGATTAAACATTAAGAATAAACACCTCAAATGAATTAACAAAGACCCTGCCAAATGTGGGGTTGGACACCTCGTTCCTCCAAAAAGCACTGTTTCTCAGGGCCGAACTCTTGCTTTTGCGGAGTATTTCCACACCATTTCCATACACCATGAAATCCCGGAAATCACTCAGTACAACACAGTATAACTACTAAACCCATGAAATCACACTAATAAAAGTCCAAATCACAGTAAATTAGTCATCCAATTTTCATGAAATCCATGTTGGAACGCGTCGCTCGCGTCCTCGATCTTTCCAGATTCTTGGGCTTCACAATCCTTCAGGCCTGGCTCTTCCGAAAAATCGCCAGCCAAAAAATGCTCAAAACCAACCAGAAAAATCGGGATGTCACCCGGTTTTTAAAAAATATGTCCGCAGATTTGGGTGAAGTTTACTAAGTTCACTCTTTACTTAACATTACTTAACTATCTTAACCCTCTCCTGACAGCATGTGACGCGCTCACCACGGGCCCGGGCGGGATTCCGACGATTCCACACAGCGAAGGATCTTGTTTTGCTCCTGAAAGCATGGTGGTTGAGCCGGGATCTATGGGGACCATCGTTCCAAAGAGGGAAAAACCATGGGAAAAACCGAAGAATCATAGAAAAACCAAGAGTCAATCGAGAATTTCTCTCCTTTGAAAAGGGCAAACATGACAAGAGTTGAGAATTTCTCTCCGAAAAGGACTTAAACATGACAAGCATGACAAACGCCACGCCTCGCAGTAGGCTTCCAAAACAGCCTCGCGACGTGCCTTGCAATCTTCAACTTTCAAATCCATGGATCAAACATCGCAATGGGAAATCCATGGAACGCCGGCATAAATGAAGGTTGATAGCCCATAAATTCATATAAAAAATCATCGAATTAGATGAGGGCTTTCCGTTGCTATGTTTCATCCACCATGGCACCACTGGAATCTGAGGTCTGAGCCAAGCGAACGTTTCTTCCAATGGCATCATGCAACTCCTACCGGATTGGGTTCGGTACTTGGAGGAGTACCTCACTGAAGTAGCAACTATATAGTTGAACTTGGTAAGTGGAATGGTAACATGTGTTTACCCAGTCACAGACGAGCCGGGCTAAAAAACTTGATAGATTCAAAAGATTTCAAAAGCTTGTAAGGATCTGCTTACGCACAGCTTACACGTTGTTTACGCCGCCGAGGATATTCGGCTTCCGCAAGGCTTCCGCGGCACTTGCGCGACGGTGGTTTTGGCTTACGCGGATCCTTATGACCGCCCGGTTGCAAGGGGTTAATAGATCCTTATGACCGCCCGGTTGCAATAGATACATAAGGGGTTAATAGCATGGCTCACGTGGTATCACTCAGTTAGGGGTCATAACATATTTATTACAGTAGGATTTCTCACCAAAAAAAAACATCCGCAGGATGGCCACACCACACCCTGTTTACATCCACATTCATCCAGCCCTTGAATGGATACCATCTGGTTATTTCAACATAGCCATGGAAAATCACCATTTTTAAGAACGGTAAACCATCTATTTCAATTAGGGCCATCGAAAAACCATGGCGAACTGTGAACGTCATAACCAGAGGGTAGCTTCCTCCAAAGCCCATCGCCTCAAAAGCCCATAGCTTCGCTCCTGAACCACGCCATCCACGGCATCTGCAGTCGCCATTGGCTCCGGGCGAACGTTGGAGGCCTGGCGAATTTGTCGCATCTCCTCGGGCGTCGTCTCGCGCACATCGTTCAGCATCTGCCGCAGTTCTTGCAATTGAACCTGCTGCGAAGTGGGTGCAGCTGGAATTGCCTCAAAATCAATGGCCGTTTCAGGAACCTAAATTGGAGGTACCTACTTGGATGGCCCGCGGGTTTGCTAACCTTTATGCAATGGATAACCACATTGTAAGCTATTTACAACTAGGTTAGAGTAATTTATAAGTAGCTTGCAAAGGTTTACAACAGCTGCCAATCATTTCTAACTTCTATAGCCCTTATATATTTTACCCTGGTTACTAAAGGTTTAGGCTAAACCCCCTAAACAAAACAAAAGTTATAAGCAAAATTCCCTCACTTAGTAAGTATTTAACATGAAGCTTAGCCCCTCTAGCTTACCACTTAGCCAACCACTTAGCCACTTAGCTAAGTGGTTAGCTAAGTTGGCTAACTGCCTAGCTAAGTGGTAAATTTCAAAGTGGTGACCTTGTTTTTTCAAAAATTATTTTTGGTTAAAACTACTTTCAACTTTGTTCTGAAATCAGAAATTTCATAATTTGGTGTTCCATTTTGGCTTTCAGTTGGGTCAATGTTAGTTTTTTTTTCAACTAATATTTTGCCAGTGCTGGGATTTCAACATGTTATTTTGGATTTTGGGTGAAACATTGGCTTGACATGGCATGTATAGGTCACATAACATGGGTGGCAAGTGACATCCTTGAAAGCTGCAAGTCATCATGTTGCATGTTTGTTTGGCTACACATTTCATGTGTGCTTCTTATTACTGGCACAGCTGGCAAGGGAAAAAAAACAGTTAGCTGCACCTTGAAAATGTGCTACTTAAAAATTGTTCTGGCTTGGCATGGTTTGTGGGTATATGAAAAGCATTAATGGAATGGTGTGTTATTTTTAGCTTTGGAATCAAGAAAAACCATGTGCAAGCCAGCTGATGCAAATATACCATGCCACCCTGTGTGCATAGTTGAAGCTGGCTGGCTTCAATGCATGTGAATGACATTGCATGATGTGCTGTTGTGTGTGTGTGTGCCAAAGCCTTGTGGCTACACATTGCATGTGGTTGATTTGCTTGCATGTGGCCTTTGTTGAACAGCCTTGTGGCTACACAGTGATTGGTTTGTTTGCATGTCACACTTGTCTTCCATGTGTAAAAATCACCCAAGCTTGAGGGCATGATCTTGGCAGACTTGTCATGACTTATAATATTGTTTGTTGTGAAAGCCTATTGGCTGGACACATGCCCCTGATGTCAAACTTGTTCAGGTGACATAAACTTGCAAAATTGCTTGCCACACAATTCACACTTTGATGCTTGCCTTGCATGTACTGTTGACACCAGAATTATGAAAATGAACATGTGCATGCTCTCACTGCATTGCAGTACACTGGTTCAAAATACAATCCAGAGAGTCTGTGTGAGTGAGTGGCTGGCCACACATGGCCATTCCTCCAAAGGCAGTTGATCACATCACCAAGATCATGGCTTCTGATTTGGGGCCCTTGCAGAAGTGGAAATCCATCAAGGACATGCTGTTGGAGTGTGGGGTTGCCTATGTGGCTACTGCAAAGGCAACAGCTTTTGTTGTTCACCCCAAGAACCGAAGTGGTGCCCTCATTAGCCCACATGGTTGTCACCGCAAAGGCTTGCAGATCATGAAAGCTGGTGCTGACATCAGCTTGTTGGGGAACAGTGTTTGCATAGAGCTGAGCCCCAATATGGCTGAAAGGCAAAAACAAATAGATCCTTTTGAGAAGCTGGTTGCTTCCACACCTTTGCTGTCCCCTTTGCTGGGCACTGAGAGGTATGCATCTCTCAGCAGTGGGCATACATGCCAATTTGTGAAGGCCCTTGTGCATGGGTGCCCAACCTGTGAAGAAGATTTGGCAGGCACTAATGGCAAGCTTGGAGCACATGTGTGGCAGTCTGACAGGGACTTGAAAACTATGGTTGAAGCTGGGTGGGAGTGGCTAGTGCTGCCACACACTGTGGAAGCACAATTTCCACAGCTTCCAGAACTCACCCAGCATGCCCTCAACTGCCCCAACTCAATCTTTGCCTCCCAATCAGAAATGGAATTGGCATCTTCAATTTGGGATGCTGTATCAAGCAACCCCCAAAAGGAAGTGAACTGGGATGAGGTGTCCATGCATGGTTGTACAGGGGGCAATGTCCAAGATTATGCCAAAACAATTGGGAAGTTTGTCAAGCTCTACTCTGGCACTTGGGTTGAATTTTTTGCATTGTGTTTTTTATGAATGTATTTTTGTTTGACTGTGGTGCACCTAGCTTATCAACTTGTCACATGATGATACCAAGGTAATGGCCAGCTACTTGATTTCCTGAATGTCTTCAGCAAAGAGTTTGGAGAGAATGCTGTCCTTGGAATAGAATTCTTTTCCTCTGTTGTTGACATGGTGATCAACAATGTGGACCTGTTCCCATTCCTGCGATGTGGCCTCATTGTGACCAACCTGACCTGTGGCAAAGCTAGGTGTGTTGATGGCTTTGCTAGGCTGCTCACCAAAAGTGATGTAGAGAGGTGCAAGGGAACAAAGCTTAGGCAACAAGTTCAAGATGTTGAGAGCTTGCTGCAATCTAAGTGGGGGGAGGTGTTTGCAGCCCCACAAGAGAAGAAGCACATCTACTACAAGGCTTTTGGTAAGTGCTGCATCAGGGCAATCCTTTTGCTTACTGGCAAATGGAAAATGGGCAGAGAAAACAAAGAATACAAGGACATTGAAAGCATCAAGGGTGCTTATGACAATGAGCTTGCTTCATCCACACCCACAGCGCAGTTGCTAGTGACAAGCCAAGCAAGCCAACCCAGCCAGTCAAGCAAGGCAGTGGATCTCCAGCAAGCAAAAAACCCAATGTTTTTGGCAATGCAAAGCATAGAACTCAAAATAGGAAACTTTTACAACCACAAGGACTTGCCACACATTTTCCTACTGAAAGAAATCAATGCAGACCACCTTGTTTTGGAGGCACAGGAGCTCTTTGAAAATACAAAAAAAACAATCACAGTGCAGGATATCAAGGTCACAAAGGAACTCAAACCCTCAAAGGGGAAGGCACCTGCATTAATTGCTGATGATGCAGCAAAGTTGACCCCTACTTTGGTTTGCAGAGAGGAAAATGACAGGGCTTACATCTATGGTGTGTTGTTTAGCATGTGCAAGTCCTACCACAAGAAAGTGTTGATCCAGGAGGACCCTGTCAAGAGGATCTACACTGATGGCCAGGCCAAACAACATGATTTGACTATGGTCCCCATGACTGACAAGGTTGACAAGATTGTCTTGAAGTCGCCTGGCCAGCTGTCCAAGTTTGCAAAGGTCTCCTATGGGGGCACTGAGTGGTACATCTTGCCACCCAAGCCTTGGAAATGTGTTGATGGGACATGCACTGGTTTGGTTGTTCCCTTTTGGGTGGCATGTGGCACCATGGTCAAGGAGGATTCCAACATGGCATTTGAGATGAAGGATGTCAAGGGCTTGAAGGTTCAGGTTCTCTCCAACCCCAAGCAGCTGCCTGCCAAGACTATGCTCTCAGTAGTGGATCCTAGTGCTGCTCACAGTAGCAAGGGCAAGGGTAAGAGTGCCAAAAGGGAAGCTTCTGGCAAAGCTCCAGCTGCAAAGAAAATCAAACAGTAAAGGAATGGTTTTATTATATGGTGTTGATACTAGTATTGCACAGGAACTGATACATGTGTGCTTTGTTGTTGTTGCTACAAGTCCTCTATACTCAGTTTCAAGCCATTGCTGCAAACAGGTAAGTGCCATCATTTCTCAAATGGCCACTGCAAGCTGGTACACAGCACTCAATATGTTGACCCAGGACCTGCATGGTTGCAAAAGAAATGCCATCCAAAGCTGCCATTACACATGGGGTGCTGCCTTAGATGTGGGAAGGAACTTGTGACCTACTTGCATGACCAACACATGTCAATCAATCCCATATTGTGCATTGTTGCTGTAGGGTTTTCACTGCCAGTGTCATGTTTTTCTGGCACCAAGTTATTAATTGCATGTGTTGAACTTGCATCAACCTTGTGGGCATATGGCCTTGTGTGCATGTATACTTCAGCAGCTTTTAGCTTTAGTATGATATCTACTTATCAGCCTGAGTGCTGCCATGGCCCAACTTTCTGTGCAGCATTGTATCACCATGAACTCCAAACAATGGAAGCTGCCAGACAACATGATCAAAGAGAAGGAAGGTGGTGGCCATTGGCTGCAGTTGAGGGCTAGCTGCTTTGGCTTGTGCAATCTACTTAGCACTGACAAGGTAGACCCCAAAGCAAGGCCTACCATCAAAGACTCTGTGGGCTACAGGGCTCTGGTGGAGAAAAGGAATGCAAAGGTCTTTGCTGCACCTCATGATGCCCTCTTTGGGCAGGAAGAAGCTGGTGAGCCACCAGCCAAAAAAGCCAGAAAACTTAAGGACAAACTGTCCCCTGATCAGCCTTTGGACATCCAGTTGAATGATGAGGGCGCCATTCTGGCTATCAAAAGTTGTGCAAGGCCAACAGATGACTTGGTGATTGACTATACCCATGACAATGTCAACATGTTCTTCTACTACATGCAGGAGTCTGGTGTCAAGATCACTACTGAGGGAGAAGGCAAAAGACCTTATTCTAGGACTGGCAAGCACAGCAAGACTGCTGATAAGCCAGCTGGCCATGCTGATAAGGATGAGTAGGGTCCATGGATATGAGACATGCTATCCACTGGCTTGAAAAATTCGAAAATGCATTCTGTGACAGTGCCTGACAGCATGGCAAACCCACTTGCATGCATGCAAGCAGCCAGATGTGTTACAAAAGTGTAGCATTACAACCATTAGCTGAATCATGTGTATGTGTGAAGGTTTGCAGGTCCTTGTGCCAGCCTTTGGGCTACAAACCATGTATGACATGCATTGCCCACTAGTGAAAGAGAATGTTTTCACTATGACAACAAGCCTGATGGCTAGACACCTTGCATGCCATGTATTGTAATTTGCACCAGTTGCAAACCACAGTGGCAACACCATGGCCACCA